AAACCAAAGAGAAAGATTAATCTTATTATTTATTTATTTATTTATTTATTTATTTATTTATTTATTTATTTATTTATTTATTTTTATATGCCGCCCTTCTCCGGAGACTCAGGGCGGCTTACAATGCGTTAAGCAATATTATTGGTGTTATTAGTAGGATTGTTTACCGTAACTTACTAACTTTGATTCATTTTGATTAGCATGAACAATTAGTAGGTATCGCTGTTATGAGGGAATTACTCATGTTAGTATGAGGTTACTAGTAGAGAATACTATTATCTTTTTTTAAAAAAAAATTGGGTTTTAACAATTAAACACTTCTTATTCAACTCTTGTGCATGACTGTGACTATTTACATATCATCACACTAATGTTCTCCTATACTCCTATATAATTTTACAGAATCTGTTGAGAATACTATTATCATTACTGGGGTGCTCATTACTCAAAAGAACTGTAATCAGACAACACGCTGTCTATATGGATTTTGAATATGCTGCTCTTTTTTATTTATATTAATAAAAAGAAAAATTATAGATATAATTTTGGGGATGTGAAAACCCAGCTATCGTTTTTTGTTGGTTTTTTTAAATGTCATTGTGGGTTTTTTTTTTTTAATCTTGCTAATGTTGGGTTTTTTTAAGCTAGGATTGATGATGTTCCCTAGTTTGGTAATGAGACTTCTGCAAGGAAATCACCAAGCTCAGAGGGCGCCAAGGACCCCAAAGTCTTCCTCCCCTCCCCTCCTCCTCCTCCTCCTCCTCACACAAACCCCACTCCCTCCTAAATTGTTAGCTGCCCAAATCACATTTGTGAGGTGTGTTAACTGAAGAATCCAACAACATACCTGAGTGTGATTTAATTAAATGGAACGCATGAAGGTGCCCGAAGATTTTCCCCCCTCTCAGCTGTTCCTCAAATAATTACAACAAACCAGGGCACAAAATGGAAAGTATTGAAATAGTTGTATCTCCTTACTTGAAAAGAAACGGAGGTCAGAAATACTTGTTAAGAAGCCTGCTTAAGGGTTGGATGGTCTTCAGTGGTTATTTTAGACTTGTTTCCAATTGTTTGTTTTATTGTACGCTGCTCAGAGTCTCATTTGTGAAATGGTTGGCTGTACAAAATTGATGAGAGAGAGGCATGATGGCTAGATGATTGATAGATGATAGATGATGGGTAGATAGATGATGATGGATAGGTGATGATAGATAGATAGATAGATAGATAGATAGATAGATAGATAGATAGATGGATGATAAACAGACACGATGGATGGATGGATGGATGGATGGATAGATGATAGATAGATGATTAGATAGATAGATGATTAGATAGATTGATAGATGATTAGATAGATGATAGATAGATAGATAGATAGATAGATAGATAGATAGATAGATAGATGATAAACAGACACGATGGATGGATGGATGGATGGATAGATAGATGATAGATAGATGATTAGATAGATGATTAGATAGATTGATAGATGATTAGATAGATGATAGATAGATAGATAGATAGATAGATAGATAGATAGATGATAAACAGACATGATGGATGGATGGATGGATGGATAGATAGATGATAGATAGAAAGATAGATAGATAGATGGACAGATGGATGGATAGATGATAGAAAGATAGATAGATGATAGATAGATAGATAGATGATAGATAGATATAGATAGATAGATAGATGATAGGTAGATAGATGATTAGATAGATAAATAGATGATAGATAGATAGATAGTTGATAGATAGATAGATAGATAGATAGATAGATAGATAGATAGATAGATAGATAGATGATAAACAGACATGATGGATGGATGGATGGATGGATAGATAGATGATAGATGATTAGATAGATAGATAGATGATAGATAGATAGATAGATAGATAGATAGATAGATAGATGATAAACAGACAGGATGGATGGATAGATAGATGATAGATAGATAGATAGATAGATGATAATCAGACATGATGGATGGATAGATAGATGATAGATAGATAGATGATAGATAGATGATTGATAGATGATAGATAGATAGATAGATAGATAGATGATAATCAGACATGATGGATGGATAGATAGATGATTGATAGATGATAGATAGATAGATAGATAGATAGATAGATAGATAGATAGATGATAAACAGACATGCTAGATGGATGGATGGACGGACGGACGGACGGACGGACAGACATAGCAATATCAATAGCACTTAGATTTATATACCACTTCACTGCCCCATCATGGCTCAGATAGCGACACAGAGCCTTTCTAGGAGCCTGGGGAGGGTGAAAACTGCCTTCCCCACCCCTGGGAGGCCCTCTGGAGGCCGGAAACGGCCCATTTGCCAACTTCTGGTGGGACCTAAAGCCTCTGGAGCCTGGGGAGGGCGAAAAACGAGCCCACCATGCCATTGCATGCCAAAAGCGGGTGGAGCATGAGGGGGATGGGGTGCATAGAATTATGGGTGTGGGCACACGCACATGTGCAACCCCACTGTGCTCCCCCCACTTTTGGCACGCGATGGCAAAAAGGCTAGCCATCACTGATCAAGGCTGTGGTTTAAAGAGTAAACCATTTGTATATAAAGGGGGACTAACCTCCTCTCCTTTCTAGCACTGTTACCTAGTTGGGTCATGAAACGCCTGCAAGAAACCACCAAGTTCAGAGACCACCAAAGACCCCGCAGTTGTTGTCTTCCTCCTCCTCCTCTCCCCCACCCCCCATTCTAAGCACTGATTATGTTATCTAGTTGGGTCATGAAACGTCTCCCAGAAAACAACCAAGCAGTCATGCTGTTGTGACTCCAACCCCCGAGGCCGACTTATCGGAGGGAGAAGGCTCCGAACGTGAAGGAGAGGAGTTGGCCAGGCCTCCCTCTCCAGGACCCTCCTCTCTGGCAATGCCTCAGGTGTCTCCCGAAGGAGAAGAGATTGACCAGGAGCCAGGTATCTCCTCGCAGTCGGACAGTGATGGAGATAAGTCTTGGCTGGATCCACGCCAGCGTCCGAGAGACAAGCGGACGCAGCAGAAAAGGAGGTGTGCCAGAGAGTAAGCTGAGTCACTGGAACCACACCCCACAGGGGATAAAAGAGGGTGAGTGGCCATTCAGACTCTGTGACGGACAAAACTAAGCTACTAGCGAGTCACATTGTATCTTTGAAACAACGTTATCTGCCTTGGATTTAATATGGACTGGACTTGACAATTCTTGAACTGTGTGTATCTTGTTTGGGTTTATCTGTCGGAGGAACAACCCCTCCCTCTATGAGTAAAGTTCTTGGCAAGCAGCTACTGGGTTGCTGCCAATCCTCTTATCGAAAGAATTTGTTGTCTGCCAGTTTTATTTAACCCCTGGCTATCTGTTTGTGTGCGTGTGTGAGACGGGGATAGAACACATGCCTCCGTAGGAGTCTGAATCTGAGACGGAAGACGAACAGCTGACAGAGAGCGAGAGAGTGGCTCCGTTGGCTATGGAGGAAACTGGGGAAGCTTGGCTTACGAGGAAGGAGAGGGCCCCGATTCCCTTCACAAGGCACACCTGGGGATGGAGTTTAAAGGAGAGGCAGTTGGGAGGGGCATTTGTCGGGAACAAACACTGAATTCATCTAGTGTTGAGAGTGGGGCCTGCATTTCTGGCATTCCTTCTGACCATTTGAATTAAGTCACGCAAATGGGACGTTTGCGGGCAAAGTTGGTGCCAATAAAGAGACTCATACAGTGGTGAAATGTAAAATTTGTTACTACCAGTTCTGTGGGCGTGGCTTGGTGGGGGTGTAATGTGACTGGGTGGGCGTGGCCAACTTTTTTTTTTTAACTTTTAAAAACATTTTTTCTACAACCTCTTCAGCTGAAGAGGTTGTTAAAAAATGCTTTTAAAAGCCTCTGATGATCAGGCAACTCAGCTGGGATCGTCAGAGGCTTTTAAAAGCATTTTTTTCCTACAACCTCCTCTGCCGAAGAGGTTGTAGAAAAAATGCTTTTAAAAGTAAAAAAAAAAAACAGCCTCTGATGATCGCGCGGCTCAGCTGGGCATGGGGGGCCCCAGGAATTTTTGCTACCGGTTCTCTGAACCACCCACCGCCATCGCTACCGGATTGGGCGATATGGTCCGAACCGGGAGCATTTGTTCTGCCCCAGCTCCGGATTTCCAAGGATATTGACACACACCAATGGTCCTTTATCAAATTTATTAAGTAGCAAGAATAAACCAAAGTCCGGCAAAGGTTGGCAGCCAGCCCAGAAAACAAGATACGATAAGACTTTTCCAAAAATGCTCTGATGATAATTACAAGTTGTTTCCAGCAAGAAACTTACTAACGGCGTGTGACTTAAATAGGCTAAGGGAGTGGCCAATTATCCTCAAACCTTACTCTCGAGGAGACCTCCTCCTCCTGAGGAGCCACTCCTGCCTTTTGGCAGCCCTGCGTGCCCGAGCATTGAGGAGAGGCTCCTCCACTTCACTCTCTTCACTTGAAGGAGCCTCTGGAGGTTCTGAAGGCCCTGGTTGAGTCTCTGCCTCTGGCATCACATCCTCTTCAGCCTCCTCGCTGTCCGACGTGAGCGCCGGCTGCGCAGGCTGCTGGCGCGACACCACACCAGCCTCCTTGTCGTTGGGATCAGCCACGATCCGCGCAGGCCGCTGGCGGGCCACAACAGCATTTCACCCCTGGACTCATACTGGTTGCCTTTGTGCCATGCCCCGGGTCATCACACAAGCCCAGAAAGCATCAAGGACCACACAGTCCTCTTCCTCCTCCTCCTCTCTCCACAAACCCCACTCCCTTCTAGCACTGATGATGTTCCCTACTTGGGTCATGAAACGTCTGCACTCCGAGACCATCAAGGACCTACAATTCAGAATTCATAGGATGCTTGTTGTGGCAACCAAAGCTGATTTTGGCCAATGCTGTGGGTGAGATATATTAGTAACTTGTCGTCAGCAAGAAAAAAAATAAAGAAAGAAAGAATTAGAAACTCAAGAGAATTTGCTTTAATTGGGACCTGCATCATGTGTGTAAAGCAAGGAACATTTTTCTCCTTAACATTTTTTTTTTTGGAGGGTAAGCCTCCTAAGTTCCACTTAGCCAAAGTTCCTCGGGGGTGAAACTTGAGAAGAAGAAGGATGAGATGGAGAAAGAAAGAAGGAACGAAGGTTGGGGAGCTTCAAGAGACGGAGAAAAGAGACCATCTCTGGCGTACGAGAGTGGACAATCCCATCCCTGAAGATCTTCTGGAGGTGGGGTTGAGGCCTACTCCTTGGCCATCTCTCTCCTGACTCTTCCATCACTTTCTCCGGCCGATCTGGGCCATCAGCTGAGCGTTGGAGGCGGCTTTGGCCCTGAGGTTCTTGGCCTTGGCAATATGGAAGAGGATGTTCATGAGATTGGTTGGGACGTCCAAGGAAAGAGTGAACTTAGCGCGTCGGTCGTTCTTGGCTTGGTTGTGGGACATCTTCCCTTTGGACTGGGCGAGGGAGACGTAGCGCGTGACGGCCGGGAAAGTCCGTTTCTCTTTCTCTGTCCCCGTGTCTTCCGAGGAGTCGGAGTCTTCTTCACCCTCCAGAGGGACCATGAAGGTCCTCTTCTCCAGGACAGAGTTCTCCGCCATGAGGTCCTCCTTGGCCTGGGAGAGAGCAGAGCTGAGGCAGCTGAAGATGGAGTCGGCGTTGAAAGACCAGCCCGTCTTCAAGGTGGAGAGAACCAGGAGAAGGAGAAGGAGTCTTGAGGGGGTCATCATGGTGCCACGGAGCCTGTGCCACCAAAGAAGGAGAGAAGGTTTATGAACATGGGCCCTGGATGAGGATCTTGGCTAACTTTCTACAGGAGCTGAGTCCGTACAGATAGTCCTCAACTTAGAACCACAATTGAACCCACGTTTTCGGTTGTTAAGCGAGACATTTGTTCATTGAGCTTTGCCCCATTTTACGATCTCTCTTGCCACAGTTGTTAAGTGAATCATGGGTTGTTAAGTGAATCCGACTTCCCCCCCCCATGGACTTTGCTTGTCCGAAGGTCGCAAAATGAACTTGGGACACAGCAACGGTCACAAAGGCAGGCCAGATTTGCTTAACAAGTGTCGTAAAACGGGGCAAAGCTCACTCGACAACTTTCGCACTTAGCAACGGAAATTTTGGGCTCAACTGTGGTCGTAAGATGAAGATTACCTGTATGGATTTTGAAACAGGTGTGCAGTTCTGGCATTCCCCCTCCACCCGGTTCTGTTTGCACGTCCATAAGACCAATTTTAAACTTTACATTACAACACTCAAGATTTTTCCCCCAAGCACCAGATTCAGATAATAAACTCATGTGAATCAAACAAGAAGCATTTGAATAGATTGCAGAATAGAATAGAATGGAATGGAATAGAATAGAATAGAATAGAATAGAATAGAATAGAATAGAAAATATGGAATGGAATAGAATAGAACAGAACAGAATAATGAAGAATAGAATAGAATAGAATAGAATAGAATAGAATAGAATAGAATAGAATAGAATAGAAAATATGGAATAGAATAGAATAGAACAGAACAGAATAATGAAGAATAGAATAGAATAGAATAGAATAGAATAGAATAAGAAGTAGAATAGAATGGAGTAGAGTAGAGTAGAATTAAGAATTAGAATAGAATAGAATAGAATAGAATCAGAAATAGAATGGAATGGAATGGAATGGAATGGAATGGAATGGAATGGAATAGAATAGAATAGAATAGAATCAGAAATAGAATGGAATGGAATGGAATGGAATGGAATGGAATGGAGTAGAGTAGAGTAGAGTAGAGTAGAGTAGAGTAGAGTAGAGTAGAGTAGAATTAAGAATAAGAATAAGAATAAGAATAGAATAGAATAGAATAGAATAGAATAGAATAGAATAGAATAGAATAGAATAGAATAGAATAGAATAGAATAGAATAACAGAGTTGGAAGGGACCTTGGAGGTCTTCTAGTCCAACCCCCTGCTCAGGCAGGAAACCACTTCAGACAAATGGTTATCCAACCTCTTCTTAAAAACTTCCAGTGTTGGAGCATTCACAACTTCTGGAGGCAAGTTTACCCCTCCTAGGCATACGAAATGAAAATAATTGTTGCCATTTGGATAATGTCTTAAAAAAAGCGGTATTTTTTAAAAGGAAAAAAATACAATAATTTAGTATAGTGGCATAGCCTTTCTTTTTCTTTAATGGTGTCATTATCATAAGTGGATGCGTCTTTGGGTTGGGGAAAATGTGGAGGAGGAGGAGGCCTGAAGTATAATGTCCTCAAATGTTCCCAGATTAAAATAATAATAATTAGAATTAGAATTCCTTCTTGGAGCGTTCAAACGGCTTTTGCAATTATTGGGCGCCACCGTGTGGCTGTCCTCCAGCACTGCAAGTCCATTCCACATGCCATTCAAGAAAAACTCGGTTAGTTTCTGGCCAGCATTCTTGAAGAGTCTGGTCGCCAACTTTTGCCATTGGCAGATTTTATGAAAAAGGCAGATGCTTTTGTGCCTTTTAGTAAATTTTGTGAGTTGGAAAAGATGGCCTCCGACTCATTCAGAAAACAGAATTCATGTGCAGGCTACTGAAGTAAATTGAAAAGAAATCAAATGTTGATGTAAGATTTCTAGAAACATTTGTGAATGTCCTGATTGTCCACAAGTTGAATGTGAACTGGCTAGTTTATTACCTATCATCTGTTATCTATCTATCATCTATCTATCTATCTTTCTATCATCTATCCATCCATCTGTCCATCTATCTATCTTTCTATCTGTCTATCATCTATCCATCCATCCATCCATCCATCCATCCATCCATCCATCCATCATGTCTGTTTATCATCCATCTATCTATCTATCTATCTATCTGTCTGTCTGTCTGTCTGTCTGTCCGTCCGTCCGTCCGTCCGTCCGTCCGTCCGTCCGTCCGTCCACCCACCCACCATCTATCTATCTATCTATCTATCTATCATCTCTCTCTCTCTTCTATCATCTATAGTCAAAACAGCAAAGGGGCAAATAAAAGCATTTAAGCAAACCGGATTTCATATTTCTGATCTGGATGATTTTTATTTATTATCTTATTGTTTAAACGTCTCCCACTCCGGAGTAACGGAGGGTTCCGCGTGAAAGCATTTTGAATTTCATCAGACTTCTGCTCAATCTAGAGTTCTTTTTCCTGAATTCCCTAAGGATTTCCTTATGGATTTACGAATCTTACCATTTCTTTTGTTAAAAAAAACCCCCCACATATAATTTTAAGGCTTTTTACATCTTTGCTCTGCTCTCCTTCCTCCAGCATAAATTAGCGTGAGAAAAACAGAAGGCATTTGTTAAGAAAAAAGCACGCTCAAAAATTCCTTTCTCCTTCCTTCCTTCCCTCCTCCCTCTCTCTCTCCCTCTCTCCTTCCTTCCTCCCTCCCTCCTTCCCTCCTCCCACTCCCTCTCCTTCCTCCCTCTTTCCTTCCTTTCCTCCTCCCGCTCTCCCTCCCTCCCTATCGTTCCTCCTTCCCTCCTTCCTTCCTCCCGCTCCCTCTCTCCCTCCCTCTCTCTCTTCCTCTCTCCTTCCTCCCTCCCTCTCTATCTCCTCTCCTTCCTCCTTCTCCTTCCTTCCTCCTGCTCCCACTCCTTCCTCCCTATTTCCTTCCTTCCTTCCTTCCTTCCTCCCTCCTTCCCTCTTTCCCTCCCTCCCTCCCTCCCTCTCCTTCCTCCTTCCTTCCTTCCTCCTGCTCCCTCTCCTCCCTCCCTCTTTCCTCCCTCCCTCCCTCTCCTTCCTCCCTCTTTCCTTCCTTCCTCCCTCCCTCCCTCCCTCCCTCCTGTTTTAATCTATTGGGCAAATACTGTATCACAAAGGAAAAAAAACCGAGATAGCGTCTAAACTCTCTCCATCTCAGTTTGTCTCTCCTGGTTTATTGTAGCCAACGGAGATTCTGGGTTTAACCAGCTTTGTCTTTACTTGCACTTCCAGGTCTATTTTAGGCAGAAACAAGGTTTTCACCATCTTACGGATGTCTTAATCAACCTAGCTGGTGCCTTCACATCTAATCAACGTCGCTAGCTTTCTTTGACCGTTGCCCATCCAATTGTATTAGAAGCATTTGTCTCTTTAATGAATCTTTAATGAACCTTCTGCTAATTAATTCCGTTCTTTCTCAACCTTAACTGGCTGGGGAATTCTGGGAGTTGAAGTCCACACCTCATAGTTGCTAAGGTCGAAAAATATTGACTTAATCGCTCCGTCTTCTTTTAGCACTCTGTAGAAGCTCAGGAGCCCTTATAATAAGGAACCTACTGAATCGAGACCTCCAACAGAGATCCTGTTTTATGCCAATCTTCAGAACATGTCCTGCAGCTACCTTAAAAAAAAATAAAAATAACATGCATGCCTTAAAAATGTGCATATCTTAAGCATGTGTATAATTTAAAAATAATAACATGCGTGCCTTAAAAATTTGCATATGTAACATACCTGTATGTTTATTCTTTTTAAAAAAACAACAACATGTACATATCTTTAAATGTTCATATCTTAAACGTGTTACCTAAAAAAATAACATATATGCCTTAAAAATGTCCGTATCTGAATCATGTGCATACTTTAAAAAAAATAACATGTATATTGCCTTAAAAATGTGCAGATCTTAAATATATGTATAAAAATAATACATGCATATTCTTTAAACATGTGGATAAGTAAAAATAATAACATATGAACATCTTAAAAATGTACATTCTTTCAGTAGGTCAAAGTCAAATATTTATTAGAGTCAAAAACCAATATATCTTTAAATATGTGTACACTTTAAAAAAACAACAACATATGCACACTTTAAAAATGTGCATTCCTTAAACATGTATATGTAAAAAAAATAATATCATTTGCTTGCCTTAAAATGTGCATATCTTAATATGGGTAGACTTTAAAAAATGATATATGCGTGTCTTAAAACATGCACCCTTTGAACACGGATGCAATTTAAATAAACAAATAACATGTGCACACCATAAAAATGTACATGCCTTAAACATATGTATGCTTCAAAATAATAACGTTTATAAACCTAGAGAAATTCCTTTAAAATACACACTAAGGATTACTAGATTCTTAAAATGAATTTAAAGGACTAAAAACAGGGGGGAAAGAAGAGAGAGAAAATACTTGTGTTTCCCAAAATTATTTCCCCTGCTGTTACAAAACATCTTCGGATGTCGAGGTATTTCTGGAGCAAAGTCTTGCTCTCAACTGGTTTGAAACTGATTTGGGGCAGGAACATCTCCCCATTGAAGCTAGTTTCAAGGATGCTCCTTCGAATATTTCCTCACCTCTCTTTTTGACACTCTGCTTTGAATAATCTCTTCGGAAATTAACCATGATTGAAACAGAAGCGATTCAGCTAGTCCCTCTATTCCTTTGCACCTCCTTATTTTGGCAAAAAAAAACCCAAAATGGGGTACCCCCGCTCCTTCCTATCCCCTTTTAAAGCATCTCGTCCTGCGATGTCTCTTTCCAAAGGTTAATGCGACGATTAAAGATTGCAAATCAAAAAGCCCATTCTGCAAACAGCAAACAAACAAACCTCCATCCCTTTGGCAACGCAAAACACCACCACCCCCCAGTCCCAACCCCGAAAAGGATGTGAATTATTCACCTCCTCTGTTTAAAAATTTACTTCTGGCTAATTAACTTCTATCCTTGCCTTACCTGCCTCGTAGTTCTGCAATCCGTTCAGGTAACTATTTCTACTCTTCTACTCTTTTTATTTTTTGCAAAGTTCAGGTTTTCCTCTCTCCCTTTAGAAAAGCAGGTGAGCCAAAATTCACTTACCTGAAACCGTTTTTTTTTTTGGGGGGAAGCCAAGGTGCACCTGCAAATTCTCGCTCGATCTTTTAGGTCAAGATTGAAGACATTCCCAGGTGATCCGAAGTTCGGTTTGTCTTCCTCAGATTCTTTTTTTGATAAGCTGCCTTGTGTGTTCTCTACGGAAAAACACCTGCTTTCTCCTGCCCAGCCTTGGAGATATATATATATATATATTTTACACACACACATATATATATAGATATTTATTTATTTATATAGGGGGGAACGGGGAAAGAGAGAGAGACCGAGAGGGAGGAAATGATACGTTAATGGCTTTATAACGTAAATCCGAAAAGAGACGGAGCTTTGGATGAAGATCGGATTCTCTTTGGAATGAGATAATGTTGGCTAGTAACGTCACTGGGCAGAGATGCCACAGAAATGTGTGTGGGGGTTTTTTGTGGTGTTTTTTTTTTTTTTAGGATGGGGAGGGAATTTTATTACAGGATTTCTCGCCGTTGCCCCTCAAATTATCTATTTATTTTTTTTTCCCCTGCTGGCTTAAGAGTCTTGTAAAGTATAACCGACAAGGTCAGGAAACAAAATTGGGGCAAAGATGGTTAGAAAAGATGATAGGGAAACATGTAGATTTTAAACCTGAACTGTTTTTATTAGGTATAATATCAGAAAAAAAAATTAGATAAGAAAAGTATGCATTTAATATTACACGAATTGACAGCAGCAAGGATTACATATTTGCACAACGTTGGAAAAATGAAGAAATGCCGCGAGACAAAGAGTTAATTAAGAAGATTGGGCAGAAATGGATAGATTGACATTGAAGATTAAGCAGAAAGAAGACACAGAATATGATCAAACATGGAACTTATTTTACCAGTGGCTGGGGGAAAAAGGCGCGGAGATTAAGAATATAATTAGTAATGTTAAGCAAATTAAACGCCCAGACAACATGATATTTATTAAGCGCTAAGAAATGCAATTAACAAAAAAGAATTCAATTAAAAAAATTAATAAATAAAGGGTCAAGAGATCAGAGGGTGTTTTCCTAAGATGTAAAACTTGGGGTGGGTTTTTTTTCTTAAAACAGGAAAATATACAGCTGGTATATTTACGGCTTACGGCTTACAACAATTTAGGACTGACGACAATTCGCTTAGTGGCCAAAGTGACAACGGCACTGAAAAAAGTGACTTAGGATCGTTGCAGCATCCCCGGGGGTCATGTCATGATTTACATTCGGATGCTTGGCCACCGACTCACATTTACGACCGTCGCAGAGTGTCCCCCTCCCGGGGTCATGCGAGATCCTCTTTTGCGACCTTCCGACAAGCAAAGTCAAGGGGGGTGGGGAAGAAGCTGGATTCACTGAAAGATGGTGTGACTCACTTAACAGCTGCCACAATTCATTTTAACAACTGTGCCCCAGGAGAAGTCGTAAAATGGGGCAAAATTCGCTCCACAAATGTCTCACTGGAAGGGACCTCGGAGGTCTTCTAGTCTAACCTGCTAAGGCAGGAGATCTGATTCATCCCAGCTTTTAGTAAACTGTGAGAAGTGCATGGCTTACTAGCTAGCTACCTTTTGGTCTACCGATTAACGTACGAAGAACGGTTGCAGGAATTGGGTATGCCTAGTTTAACAGAAAGAAGGACTATGGGTGACATGATAGCAGTCTTCCAATATTTGAGGGGCTGCCCCCAAAGTAGAAGGGGTCAACTTATTTTCAAAACACCTGAAGGCAGGACAAGTAGGAACGGATGGAAACTCATCAAGGAGAGAAGCAACCTAGAACTAAGGAGAAACTTCCTGACAGTGGGAACAATTAACCAGTGGAACAACTTGCCTCCAGAAATTGTGGGAGCTTCAAGAAGAGATTGGACAATCATCTATCTGAAATGGTATAGAATTTCTTGTTTGGGCAGGGGGTTGGATTAGAAGACCTCCAATGTCCCTTCCAGCCCTAGGTCTCTATTATTCAATGAGACTGATAAGATACATATGATAGATAGATAGATAGATAGATAGATAGATAGATAGATAGATGATAGATAGATAGATAGATAGATAGATAGATAGATAGATAGATAGACAGACAGACAGATGATAAACAGACATGATGGATAGATGGATGGATGGGTAGATAGATTGATAGATAGATAGATGATAGATATAAGCTGAAATAGATAGATATAGATTGAAATAGAGATAGATAGAGATAGATAGATGATAAACAGACATGATGGATAGATGGATGGATAGATAGATATAGATTGAAATAGAGATAGATGATAGAGTGATAGATATGATAGATAGATAGATAGATAGATATGATAGATAGATAGATTAAATAGATATGATAGATATAATAGGTAGATATAATAGATAGATTAAATAGATATGATAAATATAGATAGATATAGATATGATAGATACATATGATAGATATGATAGATATGAGATAGATATGATAGATTAAATAGATAGATTTGATATAGATAGATATAGATATGATAGATATGATATAGGTTAAATAGATATGATACATATAGATAGATATAGATATGATAGATAGATAGATAGATAGATAGATAGATAAGATAGATAGATATAGATAGATATGAGATAGATATGATAGATTAAATAGATAGATATGATAGATATGATAGATACGATATAGATTAAATAAATAGATATCATATAGACATATAGATAGATAAAGATATGATAGATAGATGAGATAGATATGATAGATTAAATAGATAGATATGATAGATATGATAGAGTAAATAGATGATATAGATTATAGATATGATAGATAGATAGATAGATAGATAGATAGATAGATAGATAGATAGATAGATAGATAGATAGATGATATAGACAGACAGACAGACAGACAGACAGACAGGTTTTTAAGAAGAGACTGGACAATCATTTGTCCACAGTGCTATAAGGTCTCCTGCCTGAGGAGGGGGCTGGACCGGAAGACCTCCACATCAAACATGGAGGGTTTCTGTCGACCTCATTAAATCCCTCGCCCGGAACAAATTGCTTAAGATTGCTTGCTAATTCTCTCCTCTTCTGCTCTTAATGAATTTGGAAGAGTCAGCTAAGTGGACACTAATGAGGAAGGAGTCAGAAAAATCTCCTTTTTATCTTTTTCAGAGCGGGTGGGGTGTGCAAAACTGAAATACATCGGAGCTACGAAGAAGTGATCAGCGTGCTGGTGTGAGAGGGATACAATCAAGGTCAAGTGAGGTACTAATACCACTCTGTAAAGCCTTAGTAAGGCCACACCTAGAGTCCTGCATCCACCACACTATAAAAAAGATGTTGAGACTCTGGAAAGAGTGCAGAGAAGAGCAACAGAGATGATGAGGGGACTGGAGGATAAAACATAGGATGAACGGTTGCAGGAACTGGGCCTGGCTAGTCTAGTGAAGAGAAGGACCAGGGGAAACAGGAGAGCAGCCTTCCAATATTTGAGGGGCTGCCACAGAGAGGAGGAAGGGGGTCAAGCTATTTTCCAAGGCCAGACAAGGAATAATGGATGGAAACTGAACAAGGAGAGATTCAACCTGGAAATAAGGAGAAAGTTTCCGACAGTGAGAGCAATCAACCCATGGAACAGAAGATGCCTTCAGAAGTTGTGGGAGCTTCATCCCTGGAGGCTTTCAAGAAGAGACCGGACTGCCATCTGTCAGAAATGGCGTAGGGTCTCCTGCTTGGGTGGGGGGTTGGCCTAGATGACCTCTAAGGTCCCTTCCGACTCTGTGATTCTGTTAAGATTCTGTCTGCCCCAGAGGATCTCTGAGGATTCCAGTCCTGAGCAGGGGGTTAGACTAGAAGACTTCTAAAATCCTTTCCCACCTGATGATTCGGTGGTGGGGGTGGGGTTCATTAAATGGATGCCCTGAACACTCATTTTAATCCGGTTAGTGGTGCTGGTTGATTCAGGTAGTCACTTTGTCTTTGCAGGCTTGGGCTCTTTGCTGATATTCTGCCCTAGGAATGTGCCCCTCTTTCTGTGTCCTTTTTGTTTTTCAATTTATCAGACAGTTCGTTATGCTGGTTTCTTTTGAGAGCTGTAATTTCTTTCTCCCACTTCTTCTTCACTGGTATTGTGCTAGCCTGGGCTTTTATAATTTCACTTTTCAGAATTTCAAAAGTCCTTGGTTTACGACCACAACCGAGTCCCACATTTCTGTTTGCTAAGTGAAATGTGCGTTAAGCGAATTTTTGACCTGTTTTACAACCTCTCTTGGCACCGTCGTTAAATGAATCACAGCGGTTGTTCAGTTAGTCGCACGGTCGTTAAGTGAATCCGGTTTCTCCCTTGATTTTGCTCGTCAGAAGGTCGCAAAAGGGGATCACATGATCCCACGGACACTGCGACTGTCATAAATACGAACCAGTGGTCAAGCATCTCAATTCTGATCTCGTGATCGTGAGGCTGCGGCAAAGGTCATAACTGTGAAAAAGTCCCTTTTTTTTAGTGCCCTTGTAACTTTGAACGGTCGCTAAACGAATGGTTGTAAGTCAAGGCTTGCTACCTGTGTGCTTTTGGCACCTGGACTTTGGGACAAACCTAAGAACCAGGAGAGGATACGACAACAGTCCTGCCCTCCGTCAAGAACCCCACATCCTTTTTCCAAATGGATTTATTAACACAAATGTTGTTTATAGGGGCAGAAACGTCCAGCTCTTTGCCATCTGTACAATTTGGGGGGCGGGGGTTTGTCTTTGCTCGTCCCGATGCCACCTCTTTGCTCTGCAGATGGTCACCTTCCTGGGAGAGAAGGGAAAAAACAAAGAAATAAATAAAAAAATATTTTAAGCGATCTGGAAGTGCGAGAAATAAATATACGGAAATTGACAAACTGTTTAAGCCTCCATCCTTAGGAAGCCTGGATCAAAATTCAGGTTTAAGGCGAAGATGTACGAGTCTAGCAAATAAGGTAGTAAGTTAGAAACCAGGAGACAGTGAGTTCTAGTCTTGCCTTAGGCACGAAAGTTGGATGGGTGGCTTTGGACCAATTACCAGCAGATGGTGAGTTCTAGTTCTGCCTTAACTATGAAAGTTGGCTGGGTGACTTTGGGCCGATCACCAAGGAGATGGGAGTTTCTAGTCCTGTCTTAGCTATGAAAGTTGGCTGGGTGGCTTTGGACCAATTACCAGGAGATGGAGTTCTAGTCCTGTCTTAGCTATGAAAACTGGATGGTGACTTTGGCCGATCACCAGGAGATGGGAGTTCTAGTCCTGCCTTAGCTATGAAAGTTGGCTGGGTGACTTTGGGCCGATCACCAGGAGATGGGAGTTCTAGTCCTGTCTTAGCTATGAAAACTGGCAGGTGACTTTTGGCCGATCACCAGGAATGGGAGTTTACTAGTCCTGCCTTAACTATGAAAGTTGGCTGTGTGACCTTTGGGCCAATCACCAGGAATGGAATTCTAGTTCTGTCTTAGCTATGAAAACTGGCAGGGTGACTATTTTGCCGATCACCAGGAGATGAGTTTCTAGTCCTGCCTTAACTATGAAAGATGGCTGGGTGACTTTGGCCGATCACCCAGGAGATGGGAGTTCTAGTCCTGTCTTAGCTATGAAAACTGGCAGGTGACTTTGGGCCGATCACCAGAGATGGGAGTTCTAGTCCTGCCTTAACTATGAAAGTTGGCTGGGTGACTTTGGGCCGATCACCAGGAGATGGGAGTTCTAGTCCTGTCTTAGCTATGAAAACTGAGGGTGACTTTGGGCCGATCACCAGGAGATGGAGTTCTAGTCCTGCCTTAACTATGAAAGTTGGCTGGGTGATTTTGGCCGATGTCACCAGGAGATGGGAGTTCTAGTCCTGTCTTAGCGTATGAAAACTGGCAGGGTGACTTTGGGCCGATCACCAGGAGATGGGAGTTCTAGTCCTGCCTTAGCCATGGAAGTTGGCTGAGTGATTTTGGGCCAATCACTAGGAGACAGGTGCTACATCTGATATACCCAGATTTTCTATGAATCCATCCCAGTATTTCTCTCAGGTCAACCCACCAACCCATTCCCACGTTGCTTTGTGGGAAAACAGGAGGAGAAAGAATTATTAGATTTCTTCACCTCCTTGAGTTATTCATAAAAAGAATAAAAATCTTAGAAATAAATAAAATAAAACTATAGGTAGTCCTCAACGTACGACTGTTTGCTTAGTGACTATTTGAAGCTATGATGTCAATGTCTCCTGGTGATTGGCCAAAGTCAGCCAATCGGCTTTTATACCTAAGGCAGGACTAGAACTCACATTCTCTTGGTGATTGGCCCAAAGTTACCCAACTGGTTTCTGTACTAAGGCGGGACTAGAACTCACAGTCTCCTGGTGATTGGCCCAAAGTTACCCAATTGGCTTTCATGCCTAAGGCGGGACTAGAATTCACCGTCTCTTGGTGATTGGCCCAAAGTCCCCCAACGGGCTTTTATACTTAAGGCGGGACTAGAACTCACATTCTCCTGGTGACTGGCCCAAAGTCACCCAACTGGTTTCTGTACTAAGGTGGGACTAGAACTCACAGTCTCCTGGTGATTGGCCCAAAGTCACCCAGCTGGCTTTCGTGCCTAAGATGGCACTAGAACTCACCGTCTCCTGGTTTCTAGCCTGACGCCTTCACCTCTAGACCAAGTTGGCCCATTCCTTGATATTATCATCATTTATTCCTCAATATTCCTCGTGCATTTGAGAATTTTGTGAAAAATGGCTCTCCTGCCCAACTCACCTTTTCCTCTCTTGCACCTCCCCTCACAGCTCTGCTTAGAGGGAAACTGATTGGCGTTTCCGCCGCAGCCACCATAGATGAAGGGACGGCAGGTCTCTGTTTCCGGGTGGAAATACCACAGCACCACATACTGCAGGCAGGCGCCCTCGTCCATCGGCAAGGCGCAGGGATCTGCAAGGCAGCACAAGCCCCCCCCCGAAAATTCAGACCGCTAAGCTGGAGGGAGGGAGGGAAGGGAGGGAGGAGAAAAGGAAGGAAGGAAGGAAGAGAGGGAGGGAGGGAAGGAGAAGGGAAAGGGACAAGGAAAGGGAAGAAGGGAAGGGAAGGGAAAATTAAGGAAGGAAGGAAAGGAAGGAAGGAAGGAGGGAAGGAAGCAGGGAAGGAAGGGGAGATGAAGAAAGGAAGAGAGGAAGGGAAAATTAAGGAAGGAGGGAAGGAAGGAAGGAAGGGGGATAGAGGAAGGAAGAGAGGGAGGGAGGGAAAGAAGGAAGGCAAGAGAAAAGGAAGGGAGGAGAAAAGGAAGGAAGGAAGGGGAGAAGGAGAGAGGGAGGGAAGGGGAAGGGGAAAGAAAAAGGAAAGGGAAAAGAAGGAAGGGAAAATTAAGGAAGGAAAGGAAGGAAGGAGGAGGGAAGGAAGGAGGGACATGGAGGAAGGAAGAGAGGAAGGGAAATTAAGGAAGGGGATGGAGGAAGGAAGAGAGGGAGGAAAGGAGAAGGGAAAAGGGAAAAGGGAAAAGGGAAAAGGGAAAAGGGAAAAGGGAAATGCATTGTAAGCCGCCTTGAGTCTTCGGAGAAAGGCGGCATACAAGTTGAATAAATAAATAAATAAATAAATAAATAAATAAATAAAAGGAAAAAGGAAAGGGAAGAAGGGAAGGGAAAATTAAGGAAGGAAAGGAAGGAAGGAAGGGGGTAGAGGAAGGAAGAGAGGGAGGGAGGGGAAAGAGAAGGGAAGAGAAAAGGAAGAGAGGGAGGAAGGGAAGAAGTGGGAAGGGAAGGGAGAGATGGATAGGGAGAGGGAAGGAAAGGAGAGGAAGGGAAGAGAAAATTAAGGAAGGAGGGAAGGATGGAAGGAAGGAAGGAAGGAAGGAAGGAAGGAACAAAGGAATGAGAGGGGATGGAGGAAGGGAGAGAGGGAGGGAGGGAGAAGAGAACAGAAGAGGGGAGGAAGGGAGAGAGAAAAGAAGGAAATGGGAAGGGAATGAAGAGAGGAGGGGAGGATAGATTTCCCAAAAGCCCCATAAAAAGGAGAGCCAGAGATGCTGCCCCATTAGATTCATTGAACATTTGCAGAAAGAAAGAAAGAAAAAAGAAAGAAAGAAAGAAAGAAAGAAAGAAAGAAAGAAAGAGAAAAGAAAAGAATAAGGCAGTCAGGCAAAAAGGGAGGGAGGGAAGAAGGAAGGAAAGAAAGAAAGAAAAGAGAGAGATGAAACAGGGAAGGGGAGGAAAGGGAAGGAAGGAAGAGAGGGAGGGAGGGAAAGAAAGAAAGAAAGAAGAAAGAAAGAAAGAAAGAAAGAAAGAAAGGGAGGGAGGGAGGAAGGAAGGAAGGAAGGAAGGAAGGAAGGAAGGAAGGAAAGGAAGGAAGGAAGGAGGAAAGAAAGAATGCCAGTGATTCACCTCCTCCCGGGAAGCCCATCCGTTCCCTGCGTGATCCTCCCAGCAGCTGCCCTCAAGGCCAGGGGAAACTTGCAGCTAATGTGGGCGTGCAAATAAATTAGCCACAATGCAAACACGGATCATTATGGGCTGCCACAACACCCACGGACTACAACCCCCTCCTGCCTTGATCATCACTGGGGAGGGGGAGGGGGAAGGGTGGCTGGAATGTCAGGATGGCTTCCTTCCTTCCTTCCTTCCTTCCTTCCTTCCTTCCTTCCTTCCTTCCTTCCTTCCTTCCTTCCTTCCTGTCTGTCTTCTTTCTTTCATTTCTCTCTCCCTCCCTCTCTTCCTTGCTTCCCTTCCCTGTTTCAACTCTTTCTCCTTCCTTCCTTCCTTTCTTCTCTTTTTTCTTCCTTCTCCCTCCACCTCTTCCCTCCCTTCCCTTCCGTTTCAACTCTCTCTCCTTCCTTCCTTCCTTCTCCTTCCACCTCTTCCCTCCCCTCCCTTCCCTTCCCTGTTTCAACTCCCTTCCTTCCTTCCCTCCTTCCTTCCTTCTTCCTCCACCTTTTCCCTCCCTTCCCTTCTGTTTCAATTCTCTCTTCCTCCTTCCTTCCTTCCTTCTCCCTCCACCTCTTCCCTCCCTTCCCTTGTTTCAATTCTCTCTTCTTCCTTCCTTCCTTCCTTCCTTCCTTCCTTCCTTCCTTCTCCCTCCACCTCTTCTCTCCCTTCCCTTCCGTTTCAACTTTTTCTCTCCTTCCTCGCTCTACAACTTGCTGCTGCATCTCAGAGTGGCCCAATTCCCTTTGCACGCTTCCCAGCCAGCTTCTCACAACAAGCAGAGTCCACGGCAGGAAAACTGCAAGTCACGGTTAAGCGACGTCTCGCACAATGACTGTGGCGATTCCCTTAACCCTACCACAGGTCGTGTGATTTCTCGCTTAGTGACCGGCCCCTTAGTGATGGAGTGGGCGATCCCAATGGCGGTCATTAAGCGAGGACTACCTGTAGATACATTTGTTAAATCAGTGAATGGATGAAGTGAGTTCGCCAGGGGACTTCGAAGGCTGAAGGTGGGGGGGGGGGGTGTCTCCCCAATGCCAGTCCAGTACCTTTCTGCTTCCCTTCTTTGGTTTTGCCCAGGGGGCCTTCTGCTGCCGGATCTTTGGCCGGTGGGGGCTCCTCTGCCATTTGCTGGGCATCTGCCAAGGAACTGGACTCTGCCAGACGTTTGGCTGTACAGATGCTTTTGCCTGCAGGAAAGGAAGAAGAAGAGGAAGAATCAGGAAACCGAGCTCTTCGTTGCTGCAGGAATTTCTCGTTAATTTGAGATCCTCCTCTGGGCACGTGAGGATGAGGGACAGCGAGAACCAAGGCATAGAACAACAGAGCCGGAAGGGACCTTTGAGGTCTTCTAGTCCAACCCGCTGCTCGAGCAGGAGATTCTATTTCATTCCGGACAAGTGGCTGTCCAGTCTTTTCTTTAAAAACCTCCAGTGTTGGAGCACCCACAACTCCTGGTGGCAATTTATTTTATTTTATTTTATATCAAATTTATATACCGCCCTTCTCCCTGAGGACTCAGGGCGGTGTACAGCCAAAGTAAAAACATAAACTACAAACATTAAAATACAATTAAAAAGACACACACACACACACACACACACACACACACACACACACACATTTGGCCCCATAATTAAAAGCAATGACAAAACAATTAAAAACATTTTTAAAAAAGTGTTCCATCCATGTGTCTGTCTGTCTAACTCTCTATTAAAACTTCTCTCTCTCTCTATCTATCTATTTCAAGATACATCTATCTATCTATCCATCCATCTATTTCAATCTCTCTCTCTCTCTCTCTCTCCTATCTATCTATCTATCTAACTATCTATCTATCTATCTATCTATCTATCTCTAACTATCTATTTCAATATCATCTATTTATCTCTATCTATCATCTATCTATCTATCTATCTATCTATCCATCCATCCATCTATCCATCCATTTCAATCTATATCTATCTATCTATCTATCTATCTATCTATCTATCTATCTATCTATCTATCTATCTATCTCTAACTATCTATTTCAATATCATCTATTTATCTATATCTATCTATCTATCTATCTATCTATCTATCTATCTATCTATCTATCCATCCATCCATCCATCTATCCATCCATCCATTTCAATCTATATCTATCTATCTATCTATCTATCTATCTATCTATCTATCTATCTATCTATCTATCTCTATCTATCTATGTATCTCTATCATCTATCTATCTCTATCTATCATCTATCTATCTATCTATCTATCCATCCATCTATCCATCCATCTATTTCAATCTATATCTATGTATCTATCTATCATCTATCTATCTATCATCTATCTATCTCTATCTATCATCTATCTATCTATCTATCTATTTATCTATCTATATCTATCTATCCATCCATCCATCCATCCATCTCTATTTCAATCTATACCTATCTATCTATCATCTATCCATCCATCCATCCATCCATCCATCCATCCATCACCTATCCCTCATCATCTATCTACCCATCTATCTATGTATCTATGTATCTATCTATCATCTATCTATCTATCTATCTATCTACAGAATCTGTCATCTATCATATATATTTTATCTGTCTCACTGAATCATAGAGATCTAGGGCTGGAAGGGACCTTGGAGGTCTTCTAGTCCAACCCCCTGCTTAGGCAGGAAACCCTACACCACTTCAGACAAATGGTTGTCCAATCTCTTCTTAAAAACCTCCAGTGTTGGAGCATTCACAACTTCTGTAGGCAAGTTGTTCCACTGGTTAATTGTCCTCACTGTCAGGAAGTTTCTCCTTAATTCCAGGTTGCTTCTCTCCTTGGTTAGTTTCCACCCATTGCTTCTTGTCCTGCCTTCAGGTGCTTTGGAGAACAGGTTGACCCCCTCCTCTTCTTTGGGGCAGCCCCTCAAATACTGGAAGATGCTATCACCTCACCCCTGGTCCATCTTTCCATTAAACTAGGCATACCCAATTCCTGCAACCGTTCCTCGTGTGTTAATCAGTTGACCAAAAAGTAGTTAGTTAGTAAGCCATACACTTCTCATGGCTTGCTAGAAGCTGGGATGAATAAAGTCTCCTGCCTTAGACAGCGGGTTGGACTAGAAGACCTCCAAGGTCCCTTCCAGTTCAAGGAATCTATGATTCTATGGAGCTGGCGGAATGCAGTATAGCATCGCCTCCCTCAAAAGTCTCGGGTGACAAATCCCATAACGTCCACTGCAGCTTGGCCCCCGACAAGAGCTTCTCTGATTTTGTACCTGCGCCGAATCACTAAACCACAACCAGGTTTAATTGGGAGAGAACATTAACATTTTGATCTGCCTGCAATTACAACTCGGTAGATAAGATAATGGGGGATTGCTTTAACCATCTGGGCCAAGCTTGGTAATTCAAATGCCATCTTGTTGGAGTGCCAGCTTGGATTGGTACTTCTCTTTTCCTGTTGGAGGGTTCCTCTTTTGTGACTCACCGTCACAAACTGTGAAAGCAGACCAAAAAAAGGGTTTTTTTGAGATGTGTTTGCAGTATACAGGATAATTAAAAAGGCTCGGTGGCAAAGGAAGCATTCATATTTAATTTAATTAATTTAATTTAATTTATTTAATTTAATTTAATTTAATTTAATTTAATTTAATTATTTAATTTAATTTAATTTAATTTAATTTAATTTAATTTAATTTAATTTAATTATTTAATTTAATTTAATTTAATTTAATTTATTTTAATTTAATTTAATTTAATTTAATTTAATTTAATTTAATTTAATTTAATTTATTATATTTTTTTTGCTTTAATTTATATGCCGCCCTTCTCCGGAGACTCAGGGCGGCTTACAATGCGTTAAGCAATAGCCTTCATACTTTTTGTATATTTATACAAAGTCAGCTTATTGCCCCCCACAGTCTGGGTCCTCATTTTACCTACCTTTGAAAGGATGGCAGGGCTGAGTCAACCTTGAGCCTGGTGGGATTTGAATTTGCAGTAATTGCAAGCAGCAGATGTTAATAACAGTGCTTTAGTCACTGTGCTACCAAGGCTCTTGTTTAATTTAATTTAATTTAATTTAATTTAATTTTAATTTAATTTAATTTAATTTAATTTAATTTAATTTAATTTAATTTAATTTAAATTTTATTTTTTTTATTTTATTTTATTTTTAAAAAATTTTATTTAACTATTATTTGTAAAATTTATTAGTCCCTCATCTTACCTAACATCTGGGCATAGTTAGATTTGCACAGTAGATCCCATGGCAAGGGGATCTGAGTTTCAGGGGATCGCTCGGGACATGGTGATTACTTTGATGCAATCGTCTTATTAATGTGCCAACGAAGGAAATCTGATGTGATCTCTGCCTCCCCATGTACCCTTGAGCAGTGTTTCTCGAGCTTGGCAACTTGAAGAGGAATGGACTCCAACTCCCAGAATTCCCCAGTCAACCCAGCAATTTGAAAATGGGTGGAGTTCAACTCCCAGAATTCCCAGCTGTCTCAGGAACCTGAAGATGGGTAGACTTCAATTCCCAGAATCCACAACTGTCTCAAGAATTTAAAGAGGAAAGGACTTCAACTCCCAGAATTCCCCAATTGTCTCAAGAACCTGAAGATGGTAGACTTCAACTCCCAGAATTCCCCAGCTGTCTCAAGAACTTAAAGAGGAAAGGACTTCAACTCCCAGAATTCCCCAATTGTCTCAAGAACCTGAAGATGGTAGACTTCAACTCCCAGAATTCCCAGCTGTCTCAAGAACTTAAAGAGGAATGGACTTCAACTCCCAGAATTCCCCAATTGTCTCAAGAACCTGAAGATGGGTAGACTTCAACTCCCAGAATTCCCCAGCTGTCTCAGGAACCTGAAGATGGGTCGACTTCAACTCCCAGAATTCCCCAGCTGTCTCAAGAACTTAAAGAGGAAAGGACTTCAACTCCCAGAATTCCCCAGCTGTCTCAAGAACTTGAAGAGGAATGAACTTCAACTCCCAGAATTCCCCAGCTGTCTCAGGAACCTGAAGATGGGTAGACTTCAATTCCCAGAATTCCACAACTGTCTCAAGAATTTAAAGAGGAAAGGACTTCAACTCCCAGAATTCCCCAATTGTCTCAAGAACCTGAAGATGGGTAGACTTCAACTCCCAGAATTCCCCAGCTGTCTCGAGAACTTAAAGAGGAAAGGACTTCAACTCCCAGAATTCCCCAATTGTCTCAAGAACCTGAAGATGGGTAGACTTCAACTCCCAGAATTCCCCAGCTGTCTCAAGAACTTAAAGAGGATGGACTTCAACTCCCAGAATTCCCCAATTGTCTCAAGAACCTGAAGATGGGTAGACTTCAACTCCCAGAATTCCCCAGCTGTCTCAGAACCTGAAGATGGGTCGACTTCAACTCCCAGAATTCCCCAGCTGTCTCAAGAACTTAAAGAGGAAAGGACTTCAACTCCCAGAATTCCCAGCTGTCTCAAGAACTTGAAGAGGAATGAACTTCAACTCCCAGAATTCCCCAGCTGTCTCAGGAACCTGAAGATGGGTAGACTTCATTCCCAGAATTCCACAACTGTCTCAAGAATTTAAAGAGGAAAGGACTTCAACTCCCAGAATTCCCCAATTGTCTCAAGAACCTGAAGATGGGTAGACTTCAACTCCCAGAATTCCCCAGCTGTCTCAAGAACTTAAAGAGGAAAGGACTTCAACTCCCAGAATTCCCCAATTGTCTCAAGAACCTGAAGATGGGTAGACTTCAACTCCCAGAATTCCCCAGCTGTCTCAAGAACTTAAAGAGGAATGGACTTCAACTCCCAGAATTCCCCAATTGTCTCAAGAACCTGAAGATGGGTAGACTTCAACTCCCAGAATTCCCCAGCTGTCTCAGGAACCTGAAGATGGGTCGACTTCAACTCCCAGAATTCCCCCAGCTTGTCTCAAAGAACTTAAAGAGGAAAGGACTTCAACTCCCAGAATTCCCCAGCTGTCTCAAGAACTTGAAGAGAATGAACTTCAACTCCCAGAATTCCCCAGCTGTCTCAGGAACCTGAAGATGGGTAGACTTCAATTCCCAGAATTCCACAACTGTCTCAAGAATTTAAAGAGGAAAGGACTTCAACTCCCAGAATTCCCCAATTGTCTCAAGAACCTGAAGATGGGTAGACTTCAACTCCCAGAATTCCCCAGCTGTCTCGAGAACTTAAAGAGGAAAGGACTTCAACTCCCAGAATTCCCCAATTGTCTCAAGAACCTGAAGATGGGTAGACTTCAACTCCCAGAATTCCCCAGCTGTCTCGAGAACTTAAAGAGGAATGGACTTCAACTCCCAGAATTCCCCAATTGTCTCAAGAACCTGAAGATGTGTGGATTTCAACTCCCAGAATTCCCCAGCTGTCTCAAGAACTTAAAGAGGAATGGACTTCAACTCCCAGAATTCCCCAATTGTCTCAAGAACCTGAAGATGGGTAGACTTCAACTCCCAGAATTCCCCAGCTGTCTCAGGAACCTGAAGATGGGTCGACTTCAACTCCCAGAATTCCCCCAGCCAGCCCAGCAATTTGAAAAATGGGTGGACTTCAACTCCCAGAATTCCCCAGCTGTCTCAAGAACCTGAAGATGGGTAGACTTCAACTCCCAGAATTCCCCAGCTGTCTCAAGAACTTAAAGAGGAAAGGACTTCAACTCCCAGAATTCCCCAATTGTCTCAAGAACCTGAAGATGGGTAGACTTCAACTCCCAGAATTCCCCAGCTGTCTCAGGAACCTGAAGATGGGTCGACTTCAACTCCCAGAATTCCCCAGCTGTCTCAGGAACCTGAAGATGGGTCGACTTCAACTCCCAGAATTCCCCAGCCAGCCCAGCAATTTGAAAATGGGGTGGACTTCAACTCCCAGAATTCCCCAGCTGTCTCAAGAACTTAAAGAGGAATGGACTTCAACTCCCAGAATTCCCCAATTGTCTCAAGAACCTGAAGATGGGTAGACTTCAACTCCCAGAATTCCCCAGCTGTCTCAGGAACCTGAAGATGGTCGACTTCAACTCCAGAATTCCCCAGCTGTCTCAGGAACCTGAAGATGGGTCGACTTCAACTCCCAGAATTCCCCGCCAGCCCAGCAATTTGAAAATGGGTGGACTTCAACTCCCAGAATTCCCCAGCTGTCTCAGGAACCTGAAGATGGGTAGACTTCAACTCCAGAATTCCCCAGCTGTCTCAAGAACTTGAAGAGGAATGAACTTCAACTCCCAGAATTCCCCAGCTGTCTCAGGAACCTGAAGATGGGTCGACTTCAACTCCCAGAATTCCCCAGCTGTCTCAAGAACTTGAAGAGGAATGGACTTCAACTCCCAGAATTCCCCAGCTGTCTCAGGAACCTGAAGATGGGTAGACTTCAACTCCCAGAATTCCCCAGCTGTCTCAAGAACTTGAAGAGGAATGGACTTCAACTCCCAGAATTCCCCAGCCAGCCCAGCAATTTGAAAAATGGGTGGACTTCAACTCCCAGAATTCCCCAGCTGTCTCAGGAACCTGAAGATGGGTAGACTTCAACTCCCAGAATTCCCCAGCTGTCTCAAGAACTTGAAGAGGAATGAACTTCAACTCCCAGAATTCCCCAGCTGTCTCAGGAACCTGAAGATGGGTCGACTTCAACTCCCAGAATCCCCAGCTGCTGTCTCAAGAACTTGAAGAGGAATGGACTTCAACTCCCAGAATTCCCCAGCCAGCCCAGCAATTTGAAAAAGGGTGGACTTCAACTCCCAGAATTCCCCAGCTGTCTCAAGAACTTGAAGAGGAATGGACTTCAACTCCCAGAATTCCCCAGCTGTCTCAAGAACCTGAAGATGGGTAGACTTCAATTCCCAGAATTCCCCAGCTGTCTCAAGAACTTGAAGATGGGTAGACTTCAATTCCAGAATTCCCCAGCTGTCTCAAGAACTTGAAGAGAATGGACTTCAACTCCCAGAATTCCCCAGCTGTCTCGAGAACTTGAAGAGGAATGGACTTCAACTCCCAGAATTCCCCAGCCAGCCCAGCAATTTGAAAAATGGGTGGATTTCAACTTGAAAATGGGTGGATTTCAGAATTCCCCCCCGCTACCTCAAGAACCTGAAGAAAGGTTGGACTTCAACCCCCACAGCTGGCTGGGGAATTCTGGGAGTTGAAGTCCAGCCATCTTCAATCTGCCAAGGCGGAGAAGCTGTGCACGAGACTGAAGACTCAAAAGCCCAGATGTGGCTGTGATGTGAAAATAAATCACAGACTTCGTCGCTTTTGCATTCTGCTGGCCATGTGGATTGTTTTAAATTAAGATTCTGCAGGAAAACCATCCCCACCCACCGCTAAGGTCAGGGGCCGCCCGCCCGGCTTCTGCTACGATAATCTATGATCAAGCTGGGTTAAAAAAAAAAAACACTCATATGTAACAGGATGAACTTTCCTTTGCCAGTCGCGGGATGTGCTGGCATTCAAATTGATTCAATTTAGAGCCCTTACCGTCCTTCCTGCTCATCTCGCTCCTCACAATGACCTTCACGTCTTCGGCCTGGGCAGAGAAGCACAAAAGCTGAATTTAAGATTCCGCAACAGGCATGGTTCCGGTCAGTTTCCCTCCCTTCTCAAGTTTCTTCAGCCCCATAAGTGGGCAAAGCCAAGGGGAGGTTCGTTCTGGTCTCAGGGAGACAGAGGAAATTCAACCATGCCCCTCAGGTCAGGAAATGGGGTTCACCTCATTCCCACCCCCCAAAAGGGCGACGACTGGAATTAGGTTTGGGCTGCCAGCAAAAGCCACTGAATCATTTTCTGCTGCTTTTGTGCTCTCTCTCAAGTATTCACACTTGGGTTTCTACAGTGCCAGGGGAAGAAAATCTTATTTGGAGGAAATTTTTATCCTGGGAGGATGGAAGGGAAAGAGTGTGAAGAGGAAAAGAAGGAAGGAAGAAGGAAGGAGAGAGGAGAAAAAGAAAGGAAGGAAGGAAGGAAAAAGAATGAGAGAAAGAAGGAAGGGGAAATAGAGATTTAAAGAAGGAGGGGAAGTGGGTTATGAGAGAAAGGAGGAAGGAGGAAGGAAGAATAGAAGAAATGGAAAGTGAGAGGAAAGGAAGGAAGGAAGGAGGGAAGAAAAAGAGTGATGAGAAAAAAGGAGAGGAAAGATGGAAGGAAAGAAAGGGAAAAGAGAGTGATGGAAGAAAAGGAGGAGGGGAAGACTGACAAGAGAAAGAAGGAAAAAGAAGGGAAGGAAGGGGAAAGAGAGAGGGGGGAAAAGGATGGAAGGAAGGGGAAAAAGAGAGGATGGAAGGCAGGAAGGAAAGAAGGAAGGGAGAAAAGAGAGAGGTTGGCATGGAGGAAGGGAGGAGGAAGGAAGGAAAAAAAGGATGGAAGGAAGGGGGAGGGAAGAGAGAGAGGATGGCAGGGAGAAAGGGAGGGAGGAAGGAAGGAAGGGGGAAAGAGAGAGAGGATGGTAGGGAGAAAGGGAGGGAGGAAGGGAGGGAGGAAAAGAAGGATGGAAGGAAGGGGGAAAGAGAGAGAGGATGGCAGGGAGAAAGGGAGGAGGAAGGAAGGAGGGGGAAGAGAGAGAGGATGGTAGGGAGAAAGGGAGGGAGGAAGGAAGGAAGGAAAGAAGGATGGAAGAAGGAAAAAGAGAGAGAATGGCAGAGTGGGAGAGAGGGAGGGAGGGAGGAAGGAAGGAAAGAAGGGAAAGGAGGAGGAAGGGAGAAAGAGAGAGAGGATGGCTGGGAGGGAGGAAGGAAAGAAGGAAAGAAGGATGGAAGGAAGGAAGAGGAAAAAGAGAGAGGATGACTGGGAGGGAGGGAGGAAAGAAGGATGGAAGGAAAGGGAAAAAGAGAGAGGATAACAGGGAGGGAGGGAGGGAGGAAGGAAGGATAGAATTCTCTACCCTTCCAAATCAGGTCGACATCCTCTCCTCCCCTCCTCCCATTTCTTCCCTGCATTTGCTAATTCAGCTTTTCACATTCCAGGAGAGCTTGGCAGCCTCTGAGCCTTGCGTTGCCAGCCCTCCCAATAAAAGGACATTTTCAACTGCAGCCTTGGTCGGCCTTTGACCAAGATCCACCATTTTTCTATCTGCTCCCTTAAGGAAGCTGTCATTTCCCCAGAGAGGTGGCTCCCGTCCGTCTCCATCTGCCTAGTAGTTAAATGCTGACAGACGGACCACCTCTGCAGATTTACCTCTCAACCACCGGGCTGAGATCCTTGAGTTTCTCCCTGAACCGCTGCAGGTAAATCCTCGACTTACAAACCATTCGTTGAGCGTCCAAGTAAAATCACAACAGCACTAAAAAAATAAAAATAAATCCCCAACCTGTGACTGTTTTTCACACTTACGACCGTTGCAAGCACCCAACCGTCACATAATCCAAATGAGACGCAACGGATTCATATTTAAATGATGGTCGCAGCGTCCCGGGGGGGGGGGGTGTCACATGATCCCCTTTTTGCGGCCTTCCGACGAGCAACGTCAAACGGGGGCAGCCGGATTCACTTAACGACCGCATGGTTCATTTCACAACCGCATTCGATTCGCTGAACAAGTGGGTCCGAAAAGTTGACAGATTTGGCAGGCGGCTCATTTAACAACCGCTTTGCTCAGCGGTGGGAATTTTGGTTCAAATTGAGGTCGTAAATCGAGGACTACCGGTACTCCAAAAGAAGGCAACTTGGGTGTACCGTCACTTACGGAAATCCTGGTTCTCCTTTTTCTCCCTTCTGGCCAGCAAGGCCTTCTTCTCCCTGTTAAAAAGATGCCAGTAGTAGCCAAAGATGTCCCATCATCAGACTGGTCCTTCACGGGGCTGAAGAACCACTCAAAGAGTCCAACTTTAAGAGTCCAACTGTGGACTACCATTCCCAGAATTCCCCAGCTGTCTCAAGAACTTGAAAATAGGTGGACTTCACATCCCAGAATTCCTCAGCTATCTTAAGAACTTGAAGAGGGAATGGACTTCAACTCCCAGAATTCCCCAGCTGTCTCGAGAACCTGAAGATGGGTGGACTTCACATCCCAGAATTCCTCAGCTACCTCAAGAACTGGAAGATAGCTGGACTTCAACTCCCAGAATTCCCCAGCTGTCTCAAAAACTTGAAAATAGGTGGACTACACATCCCAGAATTCCTCAGCTATCTCAAGAACTTGAAGAGGAATGGACTTCAACTCCCAGAATTCCTCAGCTGTCTCAAGAACTTGAAAACAGGTGGACTTCACATCCCAGAATTCCTCAGCTATCTCAAGAACTTGAAGAGGAATGGACTTCAACTCCCAGAATTCCTCAGCTGTCTCAAGAACTTGAAAAACAGGTGGACTTCCCATCCCAGATCTCCTCAGCTACCTCAAGAACTTGAAGACGAATGGACCAACTCCCAGAATTCCCCAGCTGTCTCGAGAACCTGAAGATGGGTGGACTTCACATCCCAGAATTCCCCATCTGTCTCAAGAACTTGAAAACAGGTGGACTTCACATCCCAGAATTCCTCAGCTACCTCAAGAACTTGAAGACAAATGGACTTCAACTCCCATATTTCCACAGCTATCTCAAGAACCGGAAGATAACTGGACTTCAACTCCCAGAATTCCCCAGCTATCTCAAAAACCAGAAGATGGATGGACTTCACATCTCAGAATTCCTCAAGAACTGGAAGACAGGTGGACTTCAACTTCAGCTATGCTGCCTGGGGAATTCTGGGAGTTGAAGTCCACAAGTCTTCAAGTGGCCAAGTTGGAAGGCCCTTTCTTGAGAAACTTGGAAGGAAGATCCACCTGGCCCACCAGGACGGGAGGTAGGACATGTTACGGTTGCGTGGATTAGGGATGTACGACTGGTGGGACCACAGAAAAGGACTTCTCGGTGGTGGCCCCTTCTCTATGGAACATCATTCCCCTGAAATAAAGACTTCAGGATTTCAGATTTTCAGATCTACTCTCTGACGATCAAATCCTCACCGTTCCTCCTTTCTTGCCGGGGGTCCCCGGGGGTCCCCGGAGGCAGAGCGAGGGCCTTCCTCTTCTTCTCTTTCGCCCTGAAAGCAGAAAAGAAGACTTTGTTGAAACACAGTCCGTCGCTTGCTTCATGGTCTCCTTGTTATTTATTTATTTTGCACTAGAACTCACCGTCTCCTGGTGATTGGCCCAAAGTCACCCAGTGATTTTAATGGCTAAGGTGGGACTAGACCTTACAGTCTCCTGATGATTGGCCTAAAGTCATCCAGTCAGTTTTCATACCGAAGGCAGGACTAGAACTCACCATCTCCTGGTGATTGGCCCAAAGTCACTCAACCAGCTTTCGTGCCTAAGACAGGACTAGAACTCACCGTCTCCTGGTGATTAGCCCAAAGTCACCCAACCAGCTTTAGTGCCTAAGGTGGGACTAGAACTCACCGTCTCCTGGTGATTGGCCCAAAGTCACCCAGCTGGCTTTCGTGCCTAAGGCGGGACTAGAACTCACCGTCTCCTGGTGATTGGCCCAAAGTCACCCAGCCGTCTTTCGTGCCTAAGGCGGGACTAGAACTCACCATCTCCTGGTGATTAGCCCAAAGTCACCCAGCTGGCTTTCGTGCCTAAGGCAGCACTAGAACTCACCGTCTCCTGGTGATTAGCCCAAAGTCACCCAGCCGTCTTTCGTGCCTAAGGCGGGACTAGAAACTCACCGTCTCCTGGTGATTAGCCCAAAGTCACCCAGCCAGCTTTCGTGCCTAAGGCGGGACTAGAACTCACCATCTCCTGGTGATTGGCCCAAAGTCACCCAGTGATTTTAATGGCTAAGGTGGGACTAGACCTTACAGTCTCCTGGTGATTGGCTCAAAGTCACCCAGCCGGCTTTCGTGCCTAAGGCAGCACTAGAACTCACCGTGTCTCCTGGTGATTAGCCCAAAGTCACCCAGCCGTCTTTCGTGCCTAAGGCGGGACTAGAACTCACCATCTCCTGGTGATTAGCCCAAAGTCACCCAGCCGTCTTTCGTGCCTAAGGCGGGACTAGAACTCACCATCTCCTGGTGATTAGCCCAAAGTCACCCAGCCGTCTTTCGTGCCTAAAGGAGGGACTAGAACTCACCGTCTCCTGGTGATTAGCCCAAAGTCACCCAGCCACCTTTCGTGCCTAAGGCAGGACTAGAACTCACCATCTCCTGGTGATTGGCCCAAAGTCACCCAGTGATTTTAATGGCTAAGGTGGGACTAGACCTTACAGTCTCCTGGTGATTGGCTCAAAGTCACCCAGCCGGCTTTCGTGCCTAAGGCGGGACTAGAACTCACCATCTCCTGGTGATTGGCCCAAAGTCACCCAGTGATTTTAATGGCTAAGGTGGGACTAGACCTTACAGTCTCCTGGTGATTGGCTCAAAGTCACCCAGCCGGCTTTCGTGCCTAAGGCAGCACTAGAACTCACCGTCTCCTGGTGATTAGCCCAAAGTCACCCAGCCGTCTTTCGTGCCTAAGGCGGGACTAGAACTCACCATCTCCTGGTGATTAGCCCAAAGTCACCCAGCCAGCTTTTGTGCCTAAGGCAGCACTAGAACTCACCATCTCCTGGTGATTGGCCCAAAGTCACCCAGTGATTTTAATGGCTAAGGTGGGACTAGACCTTACAGTCTCCTGGTGATTGGCTCAAAGTCACCCAGCCGGCTTTCGTGCCTAAGGCGGGACTAGAAACTCACCGTCCTCCTGGTGATTAGCCCAAAGTCACCCAGCCGTCTTTCGTGCCTAAGGCGGGACTAGAACTCACCATCTCCTGGTGATTAGCCCAAAGTCACCCAGCTGGCTTTCGTGCCTAAGGCAGCACTAGAACTCACCGTCTCCTGGTGATTAGCCCAAAGTCACCCAGCCGTCTTTCGTGCCTAAGGCGGGACTAGAACTCACCATCTCCTGGTGATTAGCCCAAAGTCACCCAGCCGTCTTTCGTGCCTAAGGCGGGACTAGAACTCACCGTCTCCTGGTGATTAGCCCAAAGTCACCCAGCCAGCTTTCGTGCCTAAGGCGGGACTAGAAACTCACCATCTCCTGGTGATTGGCCAAAGTTACCCAGTGATTTTAATGGCTAAGGTGGGACTAGACCTTACAGTCTCCTGGTGATTGGCTCAAAGTCACCCAGCCGGCTTTCGTGCCTAAGGCAGCACTAGAACTCACCGTCTCCTGGTGATTAGCCCAAAGTCACCCAGCCGTCTTTCGTGCCTAAGGCGGCGGGACTAGAACTCACCATCTCTCTGGTGATTAGCCCAAAGTCACCCAGCTGGCTTTCGTGCCTAAGGCAGCACTAGAACTCACCGTCTCCTGGTAATTAGCCCAAAGTCACCCAGCCGTCTTTCGTGCCTAAGGCGGGACTAGAACTCACCATCTCCTGGTGATTAGCCCAAAGTCACCCAGCCGTCTTTCGTGCCTAAGGCGGGACTAGAACTCACCGTCTCCTGGTGATTAGCCCAAAGTCACCCAGCCAGCTTTCGTGCCTAAGGCGGGACTAGAACTCACCATCTCCTGGTGATTGGCCAAAGTCACCCAGTGATTTTAATGGCTAAGGTGGGACTAGACCTTACAGTCTCCTGGTGATTAGCTCAAAGTCACCCAGCCGGCTTTCGTGCCTAAGGCGGGACTAGAACTCACCATCTCCTGGTGATTGGCCCAAAGTCACCCAGTGATTTTAATGGCTAAGGTGGGACTAGACCTTACAGTCTCCTGGTGATCGGTCCAAAGTCACCCAGCCAGCTTTCGTGCCTAAGGGGGGACTAGAACTCACCATCTCCTGGTGATTGGCCCAAAGTCACCCAGTGATTTTTAATGGCTAAGGTGGGGACTAGACCTTACAGTCTCCTGGTGATTAGCCCAAAGTCACCCAGCTGGCTTTCATGCCTAAGGCGGGACTAGAACTCACCGTCTCCTGGTGATTGGCCCAAAGTCACCCAGTGATTTTAATGGCTAAGGTGGGACTAGACCTTACAGTCTCCTGGTGATTGGCCTAAAGTCATCCAGTCAGTTTTCATACCAAAGGCAGGACTAGAACTCACCGTCTCCTGGTGATCGGCCCAATGCCACCCAGCTGGCTTTCATGCCGGCTGGCTGGGGAATTCTGGGAGTTGAAGTCCACCCTTCTTAAAGTTACAGAAGTTGGGAAACACTGATTTAATGGGGATTAAATCTACCCAGAAAGAAGTGTAAAAGTTTAGCCTAAGCAGGAAAAAAAAACTGCTTTTTTTCCCGTCTCTCTTTCTCTCTTTCTCATGTTAAAGTGCAGGAAATGAATAATGGATTGAAATGAAAGGCTAAATTTAAATTCCAGTTGACTGTCAGAAAAGGAAAAAAATTCCCAAGAGTAAATGCACTTTAATAAATGGAACGAACATCGCAGAGAGGCGACGTCCCCCCCCCAATTATTGGGGGCGGACGTTTAGAGATGCTATTGTTGGATTCGTTCAGTTTAAAGGGGTCGCATTTATAGTTATTTGTTAAGTTATTTTTTTTTTTAATTCGTGATGCCGGCTGAGAACTTAGCAGGCCCCCGACATAAAGTGGTGTGAATAAAAAGACAAATGCATACAGAGAGCGGTGAATCTTCCCCTCTAACAGGTAGTCCTCCTCTTACGACGGTTCCTTTAGTGACCGTTTGAAGTTACAGCGGCACTGAAAAACACTGACTTAGACTTACGACCGTTTTTCACACCTGCGACCGTTGTAGCCTCCATGGTCAAAATTGAGAAGCTCGGCAGCTGACTCATACTTATGACGGTTGCGGTGTCCCCGGGGTCACACAATCCCCTTTTTGCGACCTTCTGACAAGCCATGTCAATGGGGAAGCTGGATTCACTTAACAACGGTGTTCCTAACTTAAGAACGGCAGGGATTCACTTGCAACTCATGTGGCAAAAAAAGGAGTCGTAAAATGGGACATTAACCAGTGTCTCCCTTAGCAGCAGAAATCTGGGGCTCAATTATGGTCGTAAGTTGAGGACTACCTGTACTGACGGGGGCTACCAAGAATTGCATTGCAGAAAATCAAGACCTTCAAACTTCCAACTTCCTTCTTACCTGCGACCCTGGATCACCTGGTGGTCCTTGATTCCCCGGTGGCCCAGGAACGCCCGCCTTGCCAGGTAGGCCACCTTGCCCTTTAAAACCAGCCAAACCCGGAACACCTTTAGCACCCTGCAAATTCCCACACAGAGATAACAATGGCGTTGGAATGAACATTGTTTAAAATATCAGATTTTTTTTATCAAGACGAAGATTTTTTCCTCCGTTGTTCCCGGGAATGAGACTGGATCAAAATTCCAGAAGCTTATTGATTGTTTAGTTTAAGAAAAGGGATATTATGTTTAGATATGAATATATGTAAAAGATTTGAGTTAGGAGATTTAACGATGGTGGGGAAGGAAATGGGCAGACTATGAGTTGAATAAATGTTAAATTAGGATTTTTATAGTGGAAGGTTGCTTTGAAATGCTATATTAATATATATATAAAGATTTGAATTAAGAATAGATGTATGGGGGAGGAGAAAAAGGGCAGATTATGAGTAGAAATTGCTAAACGGGGGGATATAATAATATTATTATGTTAAAATAGGAGTTATTGTATAATGCTATAGTTGAATGTTATTTTGAAATGTATAGTATAAGGGGGATATAATAATACTATTAGAAAAAAAGGGTCAGCGTATGGGGGGTGGAGTAATGGGATAGTGAAGTATTATATAATCTGTTATGAATTTGGGTTTTATTTTGGAGAAGCCACAGGGGGAGGGGAGGGGGAGGGGGGGTTAGGGAGGAGGGGGGGAAAGGGGGAAAAATTTGTATTTGAAAAACTTTTTCAATTAAAAAAAAAATTCCATAAATACAGATTTTGGTGGGACATTAGGTTTTTTTTTTTCTGAATGGGCGAAGGTTGCTGTCAGCGCAACAATTTCTGCATAGATTAGTAGGGTTTGCCTATCAGGATTCTTTTGCTAAAGCTGGACGGCTGTTTGAAGAAAATTAAGATCTTTTGTTTCCTCTGAGCTTGGTTGTTTTCTTGTAGACGTCTTATTACCAAACTAGATAACAGCATCAGTGCTAGAAGGCAATGCTAGAAGCAAACCCCATTGACTTCTAGCACGGAAAATGTTTGGCATTTGGCTAGTTTGGTAATGAAGTGTTTGCAAGAAAAGACTCAAGGTCAAAGAGCATTAAGGACCCCACAGTCCTCCTCCTCCTCCCTGCAAACCCCACTCCCTTCTAGCACTGAGGATGTTAACTAGTTTGGTAATGAAATGTCTGCAAGAAAAAAGTCAAGGTCAAAGAGCATTAAGGACCCCACAGTCCTCCTCCTCTTCCTCCTCCTCCTCTCTTCCCTGCAAACCCCACTCCCTTCTAGCAACGATCAAACCAATATAAATCTGTTAAAACCACTTCTTCCCCTTACTGAACCCATCCAAGTCCAACCTATCTACCCCAATACCGTTTCACCAGCTGTCCATCTGCTGGCACCTTAATACCAGCATTCTGGTACATTCTGGATTATTTCAGAACCCAGCATCATTTTATTTGAAGCAACTTAGAACTAAGGAGAAATTTCCTGACCGTTAGAACAATTAACCAGTGGAACAAACTTGCCACCAGAAGTTGCGAATGCTCCAACACTGGAAGTTTTTAAGAAGAGGTTGGATAACCATTTGTCTGAAGTGGTTTAGGGTTTCCTGCCTAAGCAGGGGGTTGGACTAGAAGACCTCCAAGGTCCCTTCCAACTCTGTTATTCTATTCTATTCTATTCTGTTCTATTCTGTTCTGTTCTGTTCTGTTCTGTTCTATTCTATTCTATTCTATTCTATTCTATTCTATTCTATTCTTCTATCCTATCCTCATCCTATTCTCTATTATTCTCTATCCTATTCCATCCTATCCTATCCCATTCCATTCCATCCCATTCTTCTATTCTATTCTATTCTATTCTATTCTATTCTATTCTATTCTATTCTATTCTATTCTATTCTATTCTATTCTATTCTATTCTATTCTATCTATTCTATTCTATTCTTTAAAATAGACTGTCCAGCATCTAGAGGGAACAAAGAGCAGCCTCTGGATGGTAGAAATAAATAAAAGATAATGCTGGAAGAAACCTCCGCGAAGAGAATGTCATAATAACCAGACATCTGGAGCAACTTCGGGTTAAAGGTGCCAGAGAGGATCAAACCATGAACAAACCATTATCGGAGAAATATGACATCCGCAGAGCACGCATGGATCCGCATAACCTTGTTTGCAAGGGTTGATGGATGTCCTACCACGAACTGACCTTTGTTAAAATGGCGTCTGCAGAGCTCACCTTTCTCCTTTCTGGCCAAAAATTCCTTCGGGACCATCAGTGCGGACAAGCCGCGTTCGCCCTAAGCAGAGGGCAATAGTCAAGGTCAGCTCGATCGAATAAAATAAAAACAAAACTCCTGAAAGCAAGTTTAAATTGGATTTAAAGGGCTACACTTCCAAGCACAGTTTAGTCCTCGACTTAACAACCATTGCAAGTTACAACAGCACTGAAAAAAAGTGACTTATGACCGTTTTTCACACTTACGACCGTCGTATGTGGCCACGTGATCAGAATTCGGACGCTTAGAAAGTGGCTCATATATATCATGGTCGCAGTCTCCCGGGGTCCCCTTTTTGCAACCTTCCGACCATGGGGAAGCGGATTCACTTAACAACCGTGTCACTAACTGAACAACTTCCGTGATTCGTTTCCCAAATGAGGGAAAAATTCACTTAACAACGGTCTCGCTTAGGAAGGGAAATTTTGCACTCCACTGTGGTCGTAAATTGAGGACTAAAACCTGTACATGGGACGGAACATCGCAAGATTAATTTTTCTCACCATGTGTATGTATACATCCGAACTTGACTGTGTTGTTTTTCTGTGTCATAATAGATGTGGGTATGTACATAATTTTGTATTTATTTATTTATTGTGTCATGTTTATGTAGTATATATTGTAGGTGGAAACCCTTGGAGAGCTGCATGCAATGAAATTTCATTTTAATGTATGCCAATTGGTGCATTCTATTCCTTATTCTATTCTATTCTATTCTATTCTATTCTATTCTATTCTATTCTATTCTATTCTATTCTATTCCTTATTCTGTTTTTGTTCTATTCTATTCTTCTCTGCATTCTATTTTATTCTATTCTATTCTATTCTATTCTATTCTATTCTATTCTATTCTATTCTATTCTATTCTATTCTATTCCATTCCATTCTATTCTATTCTATTTCATTCCATTCCATTCCATTCTATTCCATTCTATTCTATTCTAGTCTATTCTAACATGGTGGAGGAGTGAAAATTTGAGACCGGGTGGTGGGAGATTCAGCTCCTGTCTATCATTCAGCAGAGGGGTCAAAAGAGTCAAGATGGCGGCCAAAAGCAGTCGGATCCAAGCTGTGTCTTTTCTGAAGGCACATTGCAAATAAAAATGGTTTCTAGGCATGGATGATGGAGAGCAGAGGTTGGCAGGCTAATGCAACTGGGATGGCTGGGAGTGGGTTTCAGTATGAGTGGGGGGTCTTCCGATAACCCTTCTTATGTCCCCTTGCTATTAAACTCTACTTGGTTTAGAAGATGTTCAAAAACCTTAATCAGTATTTCCCAACCGTATCAACTTGAAGATGGGTGGACTTCAACTCCCAGAATCCCCCAGCCAGCATGATGGCTGGGGGATTCTGGGTTTGAGTCCAACCATTTTCAATTGCTCATTGTGGAATTGCTGGCTGGGGAATTCTGGGAGATGAAGTTCACATATCTTCTAGTGCTGGCTGGGGAATTCTGGGAGTTGAAGTCCGCCCATCTTAAAGAACATTTTTTTTAAATACGTTTGTATTATACAGTTTTCTTTATTTTACATTACAGTTTCCGCTTTGCAACAACTCTATACCGGTTTATATCCACAGTTTTTAAACATTTTTTGTAACATTACTTATACTTATTTCTAATTTCTATTTCATTGATCGTCTTTCATTGTTAATTTTCTAATCTTTGCATCTACTATCAAGCCAATTTATACCATACATCCCAAATTAAATAATATTCTGTTTCTCCATTGTCTTTAATTTCCATTGTCAACTTATCCATCTCAGTGCATTCTAATGTTTTCTTTATTACCAATTCTTCAGAGGATATATTTCCATTTTCTAATTTTAAGCATATACAATTCTGTCCGCTATTACTAGGAGCCTGAGTGGCACAGCAGACTAATGCTACTGTTAAAGGTAGTATTTAGCTTCCAGCTGCCTGCAATTACTGCGAGTTCAATTCTCACCAGGCTCAAGGTTGACTCAGCCTGCCATCCTTTCAAAGGTAGGTAAAATGAGGACCCAGTTTGTGGGGGCAATAAGCTGACTTTGTATAAATATACAAAAGCCTGAAGGCTATTGCTTAACGCATTGTAAGCCGCCCTGAGTCTCCGGAGAAGGGCGGCATATAAATAAATAAATAAAAAATATTGGGGTTTTTTGTAATATTTCTCTGTTAATATGCCTAATAGAAATAGCTCCAGTTTTAACTCTTTTTGATGCCTTACCATTTCCCTCTAACCATTTTTTTAATATATCTTCTTTCTTATTTTCTCTGAAGAAAAAAGTCAGTTCTTTTTCCACAAATTTTTAAAGATGAGGAAGGAAGGATATTAATAGTGAAATAAGAAAGATTAAGAAAGACTCTTCCAAAAACATTTTTTACAATGATAGATGAATTAAGTTTGCAAGATGCTTGGTGTTGTGGCCCCGCCCTCTGAGCCTGTCCCATCGGAGGAAGAAAGCTCCGAGCATGAGGAAGAGGAGTCAGCCAGGCCTCCCTCTCCAGGCCCCTCCCCTCTGGCACTGTCTCAGGAGCCGGCCGAGGGAGAGGAGATTAGCCGGGAGACAGGTGTCTCGGATGAGAGTGAGGGAGAGACGTCATTCCTGGACGCACGCCTCCGAAGGCGTGATAAACGATTGCAGCAGCTCAGGAGGCGTGTTAGGGATTAGAACTGAGTCACTGGACCACACCCAGAGACTATATATAATAGAGGGTGGTGGCCAGTGATCCCTGTGACGAACAAAGTAAACCTTGGATATCACTAAAGCCTCGTCCGAAACTGCTGAGAGGAATATTATTTCTGTTGGACTCTTGTACGCTGAGTATATTATCTTTCTGTTTCTGTGGAAATAAAAGCACTTGGCAGACGGTGTGTATATCGCTGCCAAGTTGGAGATAAAGACCTGGGTGTGTGCCAAGTGCTTCCTTAACCCTCGGCTGGCTGTGTTTGTGTGTGTGTGTGGACGGGGACAGATCACTTGGAGATGAAAATACCCAAAAGAAAAGCAATATACATTTTATTCAAATAAGCGTTTATCATGGTCAAAAATAGATATGATGTGGATGTCAACAGAATTAATATCTAAAATACAAAAGATTGATATAGAAACAAGTACGTGGGCAGACCACAATCCAATAACAACAACATGGTTTAGGTTTAGGTTTATTTGATTTGTATACCGCCCTACTCCCGAAGGACTCCCGAAGGACATGGAAGGGACATCACAGAGGAAAAAAATGAGATGGACACTAAATCAAAAACTACTAAATGAAAAGGATTTTCAACAATATATGGAAAAAGAATTGACTTTTTTCTTCATTTTTTTTTTATCCTTATCCAATATTTTTTTGCCGAAGGACAGGTCCACCACATGTGATAGAATGTTCCCTGTATCTGTTTGCATCTTAAAGAACCTTAAAAGGGGTCTGCATTTACCTTTGGTCCCTGGTTTCCTTCTGCACCTGGGATTCCTGGTTTGCCAGTGATGCCACCTTCCCCCTGTACGCCGGAGGGGATACAGATAATTTAATTAAGCCTAATGTCCAGGAAAACATGGACCAAATGACCAACATTTTTTCCTGGGATCATACAGCTGCCCCCTGCAACTTTGGGAGAAGCTGAAAACTGCCATGCTTGAAGGGACTAGGGACTACGCCCAGGTGAGCTGCATAAATACCCATAATCCTATTCTCCTTTGGGGGTAGGCCACATTAGGCAAAACATAGAAAAAGAAGATGAAGTCACAAGTGAGGAGGGCTGAAGGAAGGAAGGGAAGGAGAAAGGGATGAAGGGAGAGAAGGAGGAAAGAGAGAGGAAGGAAGGAGGGGGAAGGAGAAAGGAAGGAGGGAATGGGAAAAGGGAAAGAAAGGGGGAGGAAGGGAGGGAGGGAGGAGAGGGGAAAGAGAGGAGGAGGAAGGAGAGAGGAAGATGAGAAGGAAGAGAAGGAGAAAAGGAGGAAGAAAGGAAGGTAGGAAGGAAGGGAAGAAGGAAAGGAGAGAGGGAGGGAGAAAAAAGGAAGGAGGGGGAGAATGAAAAGAAGGGATGGAGGGAAGGAGGAAGGAAGGGAAGAGAAAGGTGGGGGAGGAGGGAGGGAAGAGAGAAGAAGGAAGGAGGGATGATGGAGGAGGATGGAGAAAAGAAGGAAGGAGGGAGAAGGGAAGGATCCTAGAAGCAGGGGTTACGAAACGAAGGGAAATATCTTTAAATCTAGTTTACACCAGCACCATTCACCCCATCTCTCCATCTCTCTCTCCGTCTTTGTCAATCCTTCCGCCCCATCCATCCGTGGCTTTGTACCCCTAAACTCCCCACCTCTCTCCCCTCCTGCAGATCTCACCAACTCCCTCCCACCTCAACCTTCTCCGTCTTCTTCTCTCAACCCATCCTCTCTTCCTCCCCAAGGGGAGCCCGTCCCTATCCATCCTCCGGGTGCCCCCACCTGCTTCCAAGTGCTCCTATTTCCAACCCGTCCCTTCCTTCGGCATTCACTCCACGTTCTCTCGGCACCCACTCATTTTGACTCAGCTCTTCTTGGTTGCATCATCCATCACCCACACTTCGGAAGCAACTACTCGTGCCCACCGCTTCTGAGACACACAGCTGTGACATCCAGGCAGCAAAGTGGGCACAGACCAACACTTACGTAAATGTCTATGGAGATTCTCAGTCATTCGAGGTCAGGGGTCTCCAACCTTGGCAACTTTAAGCCTGGCGGACTTCAACTCCCAGAATTCCCCAGCTGGCTGGGGAATTCTGGGGAGTTGAAGTCCGCCAGGCTTAAAGTTGCCAAGGTTGGAGACCCCTGATCCAGGTCGTGTTTGACCCCAAGGTGCTTCCACCCCCCCCCACTTTGAATGGTGTGGGAGTTTGAATGGACTTCCAAAAATATTGCAAACTACAGGAACCCTTTGCCCCACTCGGGTGGCCCTGAGGACACAGCTAAACTTCCAAGCGGTCTCAACGACCCTCTAAAAAGGAATGCAAATGACCAGCTGTCTGCAAGGAGTATCGATCCTTCCATCCTCCACCATTCAGTCAGAACCGAAGAAGCTTCTCGGATGAGAAGCGAAACGTCTTCAAAGAAAAACCAAGGAAGTTCAGTTGCCTCTTGAAAAATCGCCTTTGGGACGACTCTTATGGACCTGCATAAGACTGCGGGTTAAATGGTTTATATAATACGGATGGAGAAACGTTGAGATGTTGGAAGGAATTAGTTCAAAAGGATAAGCAGTGTTTGACTTAACCACCGTTCGTTTAGTGACCGTTTCGAAGCTACCACGGCATTGAAAAAAGCGACTTACGGCCTTTTTTCACACTTGCAGCCGTTCCAGTGTCACCGTGTTCAGAATAATCAAAATTCGGACGCTTGGCAACTGGCTCGTATTTATGACGGTTGCAGTGTCCCTGGGGTGGTTCACTTAACAACGGTTGGCAAGAAAGTTCATCAAATGGAGACAAATAATATTTAACAGCTGTCTCGCTTAGCGCTGGAAATTTGGGGCTCAATTGTGGTCGTAAGACGAGGACTAGCTGTATATAGGTCCCTCTATAGATAGTCCTCGACTTACAACCATATTTTGGACCAGAACTTCTGTCACTAAGCAGCACAGTTGTTAAGCAGGTCAGGCCTGAATTTACAATCCTTTTTTTGCCAAGGCCTTTTTTTTAGCAAAATCGCTGCTCTTGTTAAATGAATCACAGAGTTGTTATGCATGGCAATTATTAAATGAATCATTACAGTTGTTAAGTTAGTAACACGCTTGTTAAGTGAATCTGGCTTCCTCGTTGATTTTGCTCGTCAGAAGGTCGCAAAAGGGGATCAGGCAGCCCCTGGGGACACTGCAACCGTCATAAGTACGAGTCAGCTGCCAAGAGTCTGAATTTTGATCAGGTGAGGATGCTACCACCGTCGTTAAGTGTGAACAACGGTCATAAGCCGCTTTTTTCACCACCGTTTCAACTTCGAACGGTCACTAAATGAATGGTCGAGGACTGCTTAGCCTTTTGAACTAATTCCCGAACCTCTCAACATTTCCCCATCGGTCAAACCTCAAACATACGAAGAACGGTTGCAGGAACTGGGTATGTCCAGTTAAATGAAAAGAAGGACTAGGGAAGACAGGATAGCATCTTCCATTATTTCAGGGGCTGCCACAAAGAAGAAGAAGTTGGACAACCCTTTGTCTGAAGTGGTGTAGGGTTTCCTGCCTAAGCAGGGGGTTGGACTAGAAGACCTCCAAGGTCCCTTCCAATTCTATTATTCTATTCTATTCTATTTTAAACCATCGTTTATTACACAAGCCCTAATAAATTCAACCACAGTGGACTGAGATGTTCCAGATGTTTACAGATCCTGATAATATTTTGCTCCCTGGTTTTGAAGCCGGAATAGGATGGACGAATCCGGAGAGGCCTCAGTTTGAAAAAATCACTTGTCTTATTACTATTATTTTTTGTAATTTATATAATGTAATGACAGAGTTGGAAGGGACCTTGGAGGTCTTCTAGTCCAACCCCCTGCTTAGGCAGGAAACCCTACACCAGTGATGGCTAACCTTTTTGCTGTTGCATGCCAAAAGTGGGGGGTCGCATGGGGGGGGTCGCATGTGTGCGTGCCCACACCCAAAATTCAATGCATCCTGACCCCCCCCCTCGTGCATGTGTGCATGCCCCCCCTGCACTCCCCCCGCTTTTGGTATGTGATGGCACAATGGGCCCGGTAGGCCTGTTTTTCGCCCTCCCCAGGCTCCAGAGCCTTCCCTGGAGCCTGGGGAGGGCAAAAATGGCCTTCCCCACACTCCCGGAGGCCCTCCGACACCGGAAATGGCCTGTTTCCCAACTTCCGGTGGGACTGGAAGGCCCGTTTATCGCCCTCTCCAGGCTTCAGAGCCTCTCTAGGAGCCTGCGGAGGGCGAAAATGGCCTTCGCCACCCCACCCGGAGGCCGGAAACATCCCGTTTCCCAATTTCCAGTGGGCGCAGAAGGCCCAAAAATCAGCTGGCAGAGCTGACTTAAGGCCACACTCGCGTGCCCACAGATGTGATTCTGTGTGCCACCTGTGGCATGCGTACCATAGGTTCGCCATCGCGGCCCTATACCAAATCTCTTCTTAAAAACTTCCAGTGTTGGAGCATTCACAACTTCTGGTGGCAAGTTGTTCCACTGGTTAATTGTTCTAACTGTCAGAAAATTTCTCCTTAGTTCTAAGCTGCTTCTCTCCTTGATTAGTTTCCATCCGTTGCTTCTTGTCCTGCCCTCAGGTGCTTTGGAGAATAGCTGGACTCCCTCTTCTTGGAAGAACGAGAGGGTGTACTTACCTTCACTCCGTCTGACCCGGGAAATCCCGTCTTTCCTTGCAAACCACGTAAACCCTGAGGATAAAGATGGTCAGAATGAAAGACCTTACAGGGAAATACTCAATTTTACAACCCCAATTGAGCCAGAAAATTTCTGTGGCTTAACGAGACATTTGCTAAGTGAGTTTTGTATTACGAACTTTCCTGCCTCCGTTGTTAAGCGAATCACTGGACTTGATGAGTTAGTAAGCTGGTGAATCTGGCATCCCCGTGGATTTTGGCTTGACAGAAGGTTGCAAAAGGGGATCGCGTGACTTTAGGACGCAGTATCGGTCGTAAGTATGAACCCGTCGCCAAGCATTTTGATCACACGATCAAAGGTCGTAAAGCGATCACAAGCCCCTTTTCTCAGCACCACTGTAACGTTGAACGGACGCTAAATGAGCTGTGGTAAGTCAGGGGAACTATCTGTAATGACAGCGCACCCTTCAAGTCTTCGACCCGCGAGAAAAAGGGGCCGTAAGGGTTGCATGGGAACTCCTGGGAGGGGAAGGGTGGGGCCAGCCGGTCATCGGAACTACCGGTTCGCCAAACCGGATGTAAAATTAACATGCGGTTCGCCCGAACCTGTACGAACCGGCTGAATCCCACCTCTGCTTATAACACACATTACCTTTGAACCTTTCCGCCCAGTGTCTCCAGCCAATCCAGGAAGTCCTTTTTCACCCTAAAAAAGACGGAATCAACGCAATTCACTTGGGAGGAAGAAAAACAGCAAAACTCGCGTACAAACCCCCCCTCCTTGAAACCCACCCCCCCCAAATAAAATTTTGAGGAGCATAATAAAATTTGCTCAGTTGTTAAAACTGGCCAATGTCTGATTTGGGTACATTTTAAACTTCAGGTTTTGTGAATTTTCAGTGGAAGGTCGTGATTTTCACTTCTGGTTTTGCTAGGATCCAGCTGCGGTGTCGATTGAAGCTGTGTATTGGGGGGGGGCTCCCATTTAGCAAAGTCGACCCCTTACATCAAGCCATAAAGATTGCAAGAAGTAATCAACCCTCTTGCTGTCTTCCCCCCCCCCCCCGTGGGAAGATAAATGAGATATTGTCATTTGCCTGAGATTCATTAGTTAAAGATGAATGAACAAAAAACATTCAGGGGTCAATTATAAGCAAGGAGAAAACTGTCCTTAAAAAGCACTGATGTTGTTCCCTAGTTGGGTCATGAAATGTCTGCAGGAAAACAACCAAGCTCAGAGAGCACCAAGGATCCCCCAGTCCTTCTCCTCCTTCTCCTTCTCCTTCTCCTTCTCCTTCTCCTTCTCCTTCTGAGCCAGGCAATGCTAAAGCAAACCTCACTCCTCTCTAGCACTGATGTTGTTACCTAGTTGGCTAATGAAATGTCTTGAAGAAAACAAGCAAGCTCAGAGAGCACCTTACTAAAAATCCTTACCGGCTCTCCTTTTTGCCCCTGCATGCCTCGATCTCCTTTTTCCCCTTTCGCTCCATTCCTCCCATTCAGACCCGCAGTTCCCTGTAAGGAGTCAATTTTATTTATTCACAGTCGAGGTCTGGGAAACCGTCAAGGGCTTTGAAACCTGGGTAGAGAAACTAAATAGATAAAGTATAGGAAATACAGGAAGCCCTCAACCTATAAATGAGCCCAAAATTGTGGCCGTAGTGTGTGGCGGTCATTAAGCAACTCATCTGATTTTACTTTTTTTTTTTGCAGTGGGCATTAAGTGAACACCGTGATCGTGAGGTAAACCAACAATTCACTATGGGCTGGTTTTGCCAAAACTCTAGTAAAATGCTATCACAGAACTGTGCAATGCCACAAATACAACCCAGATAAAGATAGATAGACAGACAGACAGACAGACAGACAGATAGATAGATAGATAGATAGAGATGATGGATGGATAAATAGCCAGATAGAGATGGAGAGAGAGAGAGAGAGATGGATAGAGAAAGATGATGGATGGATGGATAGATATAGAGATAGAGATAGATTGATGGCTAGACAGAGAAATGATAGATGGATAGAGAGAGAGAGAGATAATGGATGGATAGATAGTTAGATAGCTAGATAGAGATGGATGGAGAGAGAGATGGATAGGAGAGAGATGATGGATGGATGGATAGATATAGAGATAGATTGATGGATAGAGAGAGATGATGGATAGATAGATAGAGATAGAGAGAGATGTTGGATAGATAGATAGAGATAGAGAGAGATGATGGATGGATAGATAGATAGATAGCTAGATACAGATGGATGGAGAGAGAGAGAGAGATGGATGGATAGATATAGAGATAAAGATAGATTGATGGCTAGAGAGGGAGATGATAGATGGATATAAATATATATATATATATATATAATATAATAGAGAGAGAGAGAGAGAGAGAGAGAGAGAGAGAGAGATTGATTGATGGATTGAGAGAGAGATGATAGATGGAAGAGAGAGAGAGAGAGATGATGGATGGATAGCTAGATAGCTAGATAGAGATGGATGGAGAGAGAGAGATGGAGAGAGAGAGATGATGGATGGATGATGGATATAGATAGAGATAGAGATAGAGATAGATGGCTAAGAGAGATGATAGATGGATAGAGAGAGATAGAGAGAGACTGATTGATGAATAGAGAGAGATGATGGATATATATATATAATAGAGAGAGAGATGGATAGAGATGATGAGAGAGAGAGAGAGAGAGAGAGAGAGAGAGAGAGAGAGATGGATAGAGAGATATGATAGATGGTTTGGTTGGTTGGTTGGTTGGATAGATAGATAGATAGATAGATAGATAGATAGATAGATAGATAGATAGATAGATAGATATAGAGAGAGATGATCAATGGATGGATGGATAGGTTGGGAGAGAGAGGGGGGGAGGGAGGGAGAGAGATGTTTGGAAGAAGAGAGGAAAAAAGAGAGTGAAAAAAAGAGACAGAATAAACCTTGTAACTGATAAAATAGAAGAGCGTGAGAGGCCCAGGGTCTTTCACCTGCTTAATTCCTTTCCTTTGGAATTAAAAATTCGATGACCCCACCCTACCCCACCCCCCCCCACCTCTTTGCAAGGTAATGAGCGGAAAGGATCCTGCTGCCTCCAAGTGAAGGGCAGGCGTGGATGATCGCGGAGGCCGATTACACGGTGAATCAACAGCCTCTAATAGCACATCCATTTCCAGCGATTTGTTGGGCGAGAAGCATATATTTATTGCCTTCTGTTTTATTCTCTCTCTCTCTCTCTTTTGCACAAGATAAGTAGCAAGTTCTCTCTTTTTTATTCTTTTAAGTGGTGCTTGCATTGCAGGGAGGCGTTTGAGAAAACAACAGGGACGTGTCCTAACAGTAAAAGACCTGCAGATTTGCAAAGTCTGGTCATTCTCCTTTGGCGTCCACAGGAAGGGGGTCAAAAAAGTCAAAATGGCAGCCCTGCGACCCAGGCTCCGCCCCTTTTCACCTGCGTTGCAACGGTGTTCTGTTGAGATGGCGGTTGACTTACAACCGCAACCGAGCTCAACAACGTCCGTCGCGAAGAGTCGTTAAGTGAGTTTCGTCCCATTTTTGCGACTTTCTTTTTTGCCGCGATCAAGAGAATCACCTAGTCATTAAGTGAATTCAGCCTCGCCCACTGACTTTGCTTGTCGGAGGCTGGCTGGGGAGGTCGTGAAAGGGGATCACTGGGACACCGTCATAAATATGAGTCAGTTGCCAAGTGTGACCGTGGGGGTGCTGCAACGGTCGTAAGTGTGAAACTCGGTCATAAATCATTGTTTTTCAATGCCATTCGAACTTCAAAGGACACTAAGCGAATGGTTGTAAGTCCTGTACAGGTAGTCCTCGACCTACGACCACAATTGCACCCAAAATTTATGTTATTAAGTGAGACACTGGTTAAGTGAGTTTTGCCCCATCTTAAGACCTTTCCTGCCACCGTTGTTAAGTGAATCATTGGTTGTTAAGTGAATCTGGCTTCCCCCATTCCCTTTGCTTGTCGGAAGGTCGCAAAAGGGGATCAACGTGACCCCAGGACGCTGCACCCGTCATAAATATGAGTCATTTGCCAAGCGTCTGAATTTCGATCACATACGAACTGCAACGTGTCCTCGAACTTACAACAGTTCGTTTAGTGAACGTTCGAAGTTACAACCGCACTGAAAAAAGTGACATACGACCATTTTTCACACTTACGATCGTTGCAACGTCCCCCTGGTCACATGATCAAAAAATTCAGAGGCTTGGCAACTGACTCGTATTTATGACGGTGGCCGTGTCCACGGGGTCACGTGATTCCCCCCCCCATTTTGAGACCTTCTGACGAGCAAAGGCCATGGGGAAGCCAGATTCACTTAACAACCCTGTCTCTAACTTAACAATGGCAGTGATTCATTTAACAACTGTGCCAGGGGTGGGTTCTAATTTTTTTTACTACCGGTTCTGTGGGCGTGGCTTATTTTGTGGGCGTGGCTTGGTGGTGGAGGTAATGTGACTGGGTGGGCATGGCCAACTTTTTTTTTTTTTAACTTTTAAAAGCATTTTTTGTACAACCTTAAGAGGTTGCAGAAAAAAAAATGCTTTTAGAAGCCTCTGACGATCAGGCAACTCAGCTGGGATCGCCAGAGGCTTTTAAAGGCATTTTTTTTCCCTACAGCCTCTTCGGCTGAAGAGGTTGCAGAAAAAAATGCTTTTAGAAGCCTCTGACGATCCCAGCTGAGCCGCACGATCATCAGAGGCTTTTTTTTTTAACTTTTAAAAGTATTTTTTCAGCCGAAGAGGTTGTAGAAAAAATGCTTTTAAAAGTAAAAAAAGAAGAAGCCTCTAATGAGGTGAGTGGGGTAAGTGAGCGGCGACCGGGCAGGGGACCGGTTCGTGGGTGTGGCCAGCCAATGTTATTACCGGTTCTCCGAACTACTACAAATTTTTACTACCGGTTCTTGCGAACCGGTGCAAACCAGGAGCAACCCACCACTGAACCGTGCCAAGAAAGGTTGTGAAATGGTAAGCAACGCTCGCTTAACAGATGTCTCGCTTAGCAACAGAAATTTGGGCTCAATTGTGGCCGTAGGTCGAGGACTACCTGCATAGGGTTTCCTGCGAGAAGACCTCCAAGCAGGTCCCTTCCCATTCTGTCATTCTGCTATTCTTGGATGGGAGGCCACCAGGTGATCATCTAGATTGAGAAATGGAAACACCGCAGAAAAAAAACCAAGCGACTTCTTCATTATCTCCAAGAATATCACCAAGAATGATAAAAAAGGCATTTTTATCCCTTTGACTGAAGGGATAAAAAGGAAGTCGGGAAAGAGTTTACGTCACAGGAGAAAGTCTGCAGCCTGCCTCTCCCTTAACAAACAAGGCTCAAACCCGAGTCATGCAAACAGCTGGTAATATTTATCCTCTGGTATTGGCCTTTTAAGCGCACCCAAGATAAATAAAATCACGATACAGAAAGCCTCAATAAAGGCCATTTAGCAAAAGGGAATGATTGATCAAGTGCTGGAAAGAGCAAATAGGACATCATAAATGAAACAGAAGATCTGGCGGAAGAGAGATGGGGAAAAATACAGGCAGTCCTCGACTTACGACTAGAATGGGGCCTAACATTTCTGTGGTTAATCGAGACATTTGCTAAGTGGATTTTGCTCCATTTGGCAAACTTTCTTGCCACGGTGGTTAAGTGAATAAGTGCAGCTGGGATTGCAAGAAAAAGAAGGAAGGAAGGAGGGAGGGAGGAAAGGAAGGAAGGAAAAGGAAGGAGGGAGGGAGGGAAGGAAGGAAGGAAGGAGGGAGGGAAGGAAGGAAGGAAAAGGAAGGAGGAAGGGAGGGAAGGAAGGAGGGAGGGAAGGAAGGAAGGAAAAGGAAGGAGGGAGGGAGGGAAGGAAGGAAGGAAAAGGAAGGAGGGAGGGAGGGAGGGAGGGAGGGAGGGAGGGAAGGAAAGGAAGGAAGGAAGGAAGGAAGGAAGGAAGGAAGGAAGGAAGGAAGATTATTTCCAAATTACAATAAATCCAAAATGAATGAATGAATGAATGAATGAATGAATGAATGAATGAATGACACCCAGTCTACAACAAAATCAATGGAAGGGAGGGAGGGAGGGAGGAAGGAAAAGGAAGGAAGGAGGGAGGGAGAGAGGGAAGGAAGGAAGGAAAAGAAAGGAAGGAAAGAGGGAGGGAGGGAAGAAAGGAATAAGATGATTTCCAATTTATAATAAATCCAAAATATTGAAAATGAATAAATAAGATGACACCCAACTTACAGCAAAATCAACAAAAGGAAGGAAGGAAGGAAGGAAGGAAGGAAGGAAGAAGGAAGGAAGGAAGGAAGAAAGAAAGAAGGAAGGAAGGAAGGAAGGAAGATTACTTCTAAATTACAATAAATCCAAAATATTGAATGAATGAATAAATAAGATGACACACAACTTACTGCAAAATCAACAAAAGGAAAGATGGAAGGAAGGAGGGAAGAAAGGAAGGAAGGAAGAAAGGAAGGAAAGAATAAAATGATTTCCAACTTACAATAAATCCAAAATATTGAATGAATGAATGAATAAGATGACATCCAACTTACAGCAAAATCAGTGGGAGGGAGGGAGGGAGGGAGGGAGGAAGGAAGGAAGAAGGAAGGAAGGAAGGGAGGGAGGGAGGGAGGGAGGAAAGAAGGAAGGAAGGAAGGAAGGAAGGAAGGAAGGAAGGAAGGAAGGAAGGAAGGAAGGAAGGAAGGAAGGAAAGATGACTTCCAACTTACAGCAAATCCAATCAGACCAGGTTCTCCAATTTCACCCTGCCCAGGAAAACAAAATCACAGGGACAATTTTAAAGGCCCAAAAGAGCATCATGAACTTGCCATCCTAAATGGACCGTAGTCGGTCTATATTTCGTCGAAATCTCAAGAGTTGTTCCACTGACCTTCTGCCCCACCGGTCCTCTCCTGCCAAATAAACCCATGACTCCTTTGGCCCCCGGATCTCCCTTCATCCCCTAGTGGAAAAAAGAAAAAAATATAGGCAATTTCCCTCCTGGTTTTTTTTTTTTTTTTTTAACTTCACAACCGCCTTGCTGAAGCAATGGACATTCTGTTCCCAGTCGTGGTCATAAGTCGAGGACTGCCCATATTGTGATTTGAGATTAGGTGGGGGAGAATCTGCTTCTGCTGTGGCATTTAATCAATTTTTGATGACAGCTTTTCAGAGGTGGGTTTCAGCCGATTCTGACCAGTTCTGGAGAACTGGTAGCGGTAATTTTGAGTAGTTCGGCGAACCGGCAAATACCACCTCTGACTGGCCCCGCCCCCATCTATTCTCTGCCTCCTGAGCACCGGCTGATCTGGGTCTTCTTTTGTTGCCCTGCACATGGAGCTGGAAAGCAGGTTAGTGGGGTGGGGTGGAAATGGAGATTTTGCAGTATCCTTCCCCTGGAGTGGGGTGGGAATGGGGATTTTGCAATATCCTTCCCCTGGAGTGGGGTGGAAATGGAGGTTTTGCATTATCCTTCCCCTGGAGTGGGGTGGGAATGGGGATTTTACAGCATCCTTCCCCTGGAGTGGGGTGGAAAAGGAGATTTTAGAGCATCCTTCCTTCCCCTGGAGTGAGGTGGAAATGGGGATTTTGCAGTATCCTTCCCCTGGAGTGGGGTGGAAATGGAGGTTTTGCATTATCCTTCCCCTGGAGTGGGGTGGGAATGGGGATTTTGCATTATCCTTCCCCTGGAGTGGGGTGGAAATGGGGATTTTACAGTATCCTTCCCCTGGAGTGGGGTGGAAATGGAGATTTTGCAGTATCCTTCCCCTGCCACGCCCACCAAGCCACGCCCACAGAACCGATTGTAAAAAAAAAATTGAATCCCACCACTGCAGCTTTTCACTTGGACAGAGACCTAATTTTTCCTCTTCCCCCCCCCAAAAAATTAAAGATACAGAAATCTTTAAAAAATACCTTTTCTCCGAAAGGTCCGTCTTCCCCTTTCTCGCCCTTGTCTCCATCAAAACCAGGAAGACCCCGTTCGCCCTGAATTAAAAAAAAATATATACAAATTTGTTTGCTTTAAGATGGAAAATAATATTAACACTAATGTAAACTGTGCTTGTCTTGGATTAACCACGATTAAGAGTTAAAAAGAGAGACTGAGAGAGAGAAAGAGAGAAAGAAAGAACTTTCTTCGGTCTTTAAAGTCTTCTGTTCTGTTGGTTGTTGTAGGAATCTCCTGGATGAGTTAAAGATACTTCTCCGTATCTTGGACTTTCACCAAGACAGTAGTATTTCTACAAAGAAACTTTTCTGGAGGAACAAGAAGGGACGTGATTGCCGTCCGACAGGATGGACAGAACAAACTTCATCTGGGTTTGCTGGGGTTCTCTGAGCTGGGTGGTTTTCTTGAAGACGTTTCATGACCCAGCTAGGTAACATTATCAATGCTAGAAGGGAATGGAGTTTGCAGAAAGAGGAAAAGGAGGAGGAGGAGGAAAAAATGGGTCTTTTGATAGTTTCTGAGCTTGGTCGTTTTCTTCCAGACATTTCATTGACCAGCTAGGTAACATCATCAGTTCTAGAAGGTTATGGAGTTTGCAGAGAGGGAGGAGGAGGAAAACATGGATCTTTTGATAGTTTCTGAGCTTGGTCATTTTCTTCCAGACATTTCATGACCCAGCTAGGTAACATCATCAGTGCTAAAAGGGAATGGAGTTTGCAGAGAGATGAGGAGGAGGAGGAGGAGGAGGAGGAGGAGGAGGAGGACTGTGTTGTCCTTGGTACTCTCTGAGCTTGGTTGCTTTCTTGCAGACATTTCATGACTCAACTAGGTAACATCATCAGTTCTAGAAGGTTATGGAGTTTGCAGAGAGAGGAGGAGGAGGACTGTTTTGTCTTTGGTACTCTCTGAGCTTGGCTGTTTCCTTCCAGACGTTTCATGACCCAACTAGGTAATCGGGAAAGCGGTTAGCTCTCTGATTATTACACCCCAATCAAGGAACTACCAACCCAGGAAAACAATCAAAGGGTAAACAACAGCCTAACCAAGAACTCTCCCACCAACACTGATAGGACATGCCACTTGTATCAGTGGTGAAATCCAATTTTTTTTACTACCGGTTCTGTGGGCGTGGCTTGGTGGGCGTAGCAGGGCCCAAAATCCCCATTCCCTCCCCACTCCTGGGGAAAGGATATTGCAAAATCTTCATTCCCACCCCACTCTGGGGCCAGCCAGAGGTGGTATTTGCTGGTTCTCCGAACTGCTCAAAACCAGATATAAGTTGGACATGGATATAAAGATGAATTGTTTATCTGGAAATTAAATTTGCGGTGACATAATAGATCTGTTTAGATTAAGATGCTAGAATTCATGTTAAAACTTTTTTTTCCTTCTCTTCGTGTTTTGATTTTTAGGTTTAAAAGATGTAATGGAAAATGGGAATGGAGCTTGTTAAAAGAATGTAAGCTTTGTACCTATTTATGACTGGATCGAGACTTTGTTCTTGAAAGTTATATTTTATGTTTATGTTTGAGAAAATAAAAATAATAATAATAATAATAAAAAAAATCCGCTAACGGTTCTCCAGAACCTGTGAGAACCTGCTGGATTTCACCCCTGGCTTGTATACAAACAGAGAGCATTTCCCACACCCTCCAGCACTGATGATGTTCCCTGGTTGGGTCATGAAATGTCTGCAAGGAAACCCACAAGCTCAGAGAGCACCAAGAAGGACCCCGCTCCCGGTTCAACCCTGAGCTACAAATATTATCTTCGATCTGTAAAGATCTTGTTTCTTCTAACACGGATTAGTTATGTTCTGGCTACATGCTTTGGTGCCTTCCAGATATGTCGGATGTCAGGTCGCAGCCAACACTGATTTCCAGACCCAAAACCCTCCCTTTCCGTTCCCCACTCCCCTGCACTCATTGGCCATCTTCCAAGTCACTCTACCCCTAATCTACTGCTCCAGCTCAAAGGAATTTCCCCCCTCCCATCCCATCTCCCAGGGGATATTATCTCCAGGGAAAATAAGTAGGTGAAAAGTCAAACGTCCCTTTCCAGACTCCTCCGCTTCTCCTTCTTATGTCAGCACTAGAGTAAATGCAGCTTGACGTGCTGACATCCGACATCCATATAAGATGTTCCTAATCGGGAAAGGAACAGAACAATAGCCACTCCCCCAAAGCCCCTCCCCCCCATCTCAACGAGCTTTGAAGAAAGCAAAAGTTTCATTCCCAACAACAATCAAATCAGCACAACTTACCGGATCTCCTTTGTTGCCTTTGTAGCCTTGAGGTCCAGACATTGTGATCGAATCTCCCTGTGTTTCAAATATACAAGAGAAACGTAGTTTGCACTGGGTGTACCTAGGGTGGAGCTTCTCCACCTTAGCAACTTTAAGCTACGTGGACTTCAACTCCCAGAATTCCCCAGCCAGTCATGCATTGAACAAATGATGGTTGGGAACGGTCCTTGGAGTAACCTTCCCCTGGAGTGGAGAGGGAATGGAGATTTTACAGTATCCTTCCCCTGCCATGTCCACCGAGCCACACCCACAGAACCAGTAGTATAAAATTTTGAAACCCACCACTGAACAGAGTGTTTAGTTACGTTCTGTTCTAGTGGAACAGAACAGAACAAAACAAAGTAGGACGGCACACGATTGCATTCCATCGCTGTTGCATTGCATCTGATTTCTCTGTCTTTCTTTGGGCGGCAAACACAGCCTGCCAGTTCTCCCTCTCACAATAATCTTGTGAGGTAGGCTGGGTTGAGAGAGAGGGATTGGCAGGAGGCCATGAATTGGGCTTCCAGGACTGGGTGGGTTGGGAGGGCTTGACCCCGAATTGTCCAGCTTCAGGTCCAACATTTTCACCATCACCTTCATCACAAGCTCTTGGTGGGATCAATCGATTGATCGATCGATCGATCGATCAATCAATCAATCAGAATAGAGTTCGAAAGGGATCTTGGAAATCTTCTAGTCTAAAGCCTCCCCCCTGCTCAAGCAGGAAAGCCTATACCATTTCAGACAGGGGGCTGCCCAGTTGTTAGAAATTCTGTTTATATAAAGCACCACACAGAGCAAAGAGTACAATCACCATGTGTTTTACTGCTCAACTATTTTAACTCTTAACAGGAAACGGGAAACTCTGCTTAGAACAAAAGAGCAGAGTATATACCATAGATCCAAACGTGTAAACACTGCCATCTACTGCCTGTAGTTGTTGCATAAAAATACATTCCAACAATGAATTCCAACCCCAGCCCCTCCTTAAAAACCTCCAGCCCACCTGCCCCATTCCCAACTTGGATCTCACTTACTTTCTCTCCTTTGGGACCAGGAACACCAAAGTCACCCTAAAAAATAAAAAAGAAGGAATGCCAGATGGATTTATGTGGGTTTTGTTACACAGGAATTTACAGGTCCTCCTTGACTTACTACAACATTTGATTTAGTGACCGTCTGAAGTTACAGCAGCACTGAAAAAAGTGACTTAAGGACCGTGGTCATGGGATCAAAATTCAGAAGCTTGGCAGCTGGTTCATCTTTATGACTGTCGCCATGTCCCAGGGTTATGTGATTCCTTTTGGTGACCGTCTCACAAGCAAAGTCAATGGGGAAACCAGATTCACTTAACAACCGTGTTGCTAACTTAACAACCGGAGTGATTCACTTAACAACTGTGGCAAGAAAGGTGGTAACATGAGGCAAAACTCACCGAACAGCTGTTTCACTTAACATTTCATTCCCCGGTTCTCTGGGGATGATGGGCATTGTAGTCCAATCCCTCCAGAGGTTACCGAGTTAAGAAATTAGCACCAAAGATATTATTCTTGGTTTCTTTGTCATTTTTTCCAACCGTTTGTGGATTTTAGTCCAATATCTTTTAGCTTCTGCACATGTCCACCACATACAGTAATATGAGCCCGGAGTCTGATGACACTTCCAACATTTCTCCGATTTATTGGGGATTTTACCAGAAATATACAATAGAGAAACGAGATATTTAATTGTGAATGTTTTAATGGCGGCTAGAATTGTATTTGCTAGAAACTGGAAAGGTGAGAAGATACCCACGGATGACGACGTTATCAAGAAAATTTTGGAGTGTGCTGAAATGAGTAAATTGACATTTGAAATTAGGGAACAAGAAGATAAACAATATTATTTGATATGGGATTTATTTTATCAGTGGTTAGACAAGAAAGAATGGAAATGAAATATGAAATATGAAATGGATAAGATAATAAAACATATAAAGGGTTTTTTTTCCCCCCTTATAGAGGACAATTTACTGTTAAATAATTGGTAAATGAGAATAATAATGTAATGAACTGTTAAATAAGAAAATGTTGGATAGAGGATTAAGCACAAAAGATTTGTAACCGATGAATACACTTTCTGTAATTGTAATGGATGATAATTGTTTTATGTTTTAAGTTTTGTTTAAAAATAAAAAAAAATTCCCCCCCAAAAAAGATATTATTCTTAATATTTTTATTCTTAGCATTTTAAAAAAATATTAATTTTTCAATTTTTCATAAACTGAAGATTACCTATATCAGATTGGTTTCCGACAGTGATAATAACAGCACAAAACTGTTGTCAGAGTTCCAAGTAACTTCTTTCGTTGGGGGTGTTACCTGGAACCCTGACATTAACCTGAATCTCTATGCCCGTGATGGCGAACCTATGGCACGCGTGCCACAGGTGGCCGGTGGAGCCATATCTGTGGGCACGTGAGCGTTACCCTAGCTCAGTTCCAGCGCACATGCGCGTGCCGGCTAGCTGATTTTCGGGCCTTCTGGGCCCACTAGAAGTTGGGAAATGGGCCATTTCTGGCCTTCAGATGGCCTCCAGGGAGGTGGGGAAGGCTGTTTTTGCCCTCCCCAGTGTCAGCACTTCAACATCGAAACCTGACACCTAGAAAGCCTCTGGAGCCTGGGGAGGGTGAAAAACGGGCCTATCTGGCCCACCGTGCCATCACATACCAAAAGCGGTGGGAGCGTGGTGGGGTCGTGTGCGCATGCGCGGGGCACATAGAATTATGGGTGTGGGCACATGCACATGCGACCCCCCCACCTTCCCCCCGCTTTTGGCACTTGATGGCAAAAAGGTTAGCAATTCCCGCTCCCATTTTCCCACAGAAGAAAATGTGGCAGGCCTGAAGGCCCACAGGTAAAACATGGTTTCCAGGTTTGACACTTATCTCAATGAAAATTAGAGGGATGGGCCAAAATCCAATTGAATTTATGTTTCTAGGAATATCACGTGCACCAATGGTGGGTTTCAAATTTTTTTGCTACTGGTTCTGTGGGCGTGGCTTGGTGGGTGTGGTGTGGCTTGGTGGGCATGGCAGGGGAAGGATACTGTAAAATCTCCATTCCCACCCCACTCCAGGGGAAGGATACTGTAAAATCCCCATTCCCTCCCCAATCCAGGGGAAGGTTACTGCAAAATCCCCATTTCTTCCCGATCAGCTGGGACTCGGGAGGCAGAGAACAGATGGGGTCAGGGCCAGTCAGACTTTTTACTACCGGTTCTCCGAACTACTCAAAATTTCCGCTACGGGTTCGCCAGAACTGGTCAGAACCTGCTGAAACCCACCTCTGGCGTGCACTCAAAAACAATCAGAAAATAAAAGTAATGTTTGCCCTTTAGCACATGTTTGAATTTTGTTCTTCTTACCTTCTCTCCTTTTAAACCAGCAGGCCCTTTCTCTCCCTGGAAAACAAAGGAACAAAACCTGGCATTTAATTTAATTTAATTTCATAATTTAATTTTTCTTTATTTTATTCTTTTATTCTATTCCATTCTTTTATTTCATTTTTTATTTTATGTTTCATTTTATTCATTCTTTTATTTTTTATTCTTTTATATATTACATTTTATTCTTTTAGTTCTTTTAATTTTTACGCTGCCTGTCATGCTATCTATCACATGAAACCTGGGCAGCTTATAACAGGGCAAAGCATTAAGAAATTAAAATAATAAATTATTCAATTAAACAATCCATGTTTAAAACGTAAAATAATAATGAAGATAGGGCCTCGCATGCTTTGGCTCTTCTCTTCAACGGGCTGATGGGCTCCAGAAACGCCGGGCAAACCTACCGTCACCCCCAGAGGCCCCCGAAGACCGACGGTTCCTTCTTCCCCCTGTTCAAAAGAGGTCAGATTGGCGTCAGTGGTTGTAAATATGTGATATCCCCCCAAAAGTTATATACTAGTCCTCGATTTACGACAACTGAACCCCAAATTGATGTTGCTAAGCGAGACATTTGTTAGCTGCCCCGTTTTACGACCTTTCTGGCCACCATCGTTAAGTGAATCACGACAGTTGTTAAGTCAGTCACACCGTTGTTAAATGAATCTGGCTTCCCCACTGATTTTGGCTTGTCGGGAGGTCGAAAAAGGGGATCATGTGACCCCCGGGACACTGCTACCGTCATAAATACAGGTCATCCTCGATTTACGGCCATAATTGGGTGGCAAGTTCGGAGCGACTTTGAGCCAGTACCCCCTCTCTTTCAGCCGAACCCACCTCACAGGGTGGTTGTTGTTGTTGTGAGGAAAATAGGAGGATATGGTGTGCGTTCGCCACCTTGGGCGGCGCGTTCGAGTCCCGCCTTAGGCACGAGAGCCAGCGGAGCGACTTTGAGCCAGTACCCCCCCCCCTTAGCCGAACCCACCTCACAGGGTGGTTGTTGTTCTGAGGAAAATAGGAGGATGTGGTGTGCGTTCGTCGCCTTGGGTGGCGAGTTCGAGTTCCGTCTTAGGCACGAGAGTCAGCTGAGCAACTTTGAGCCTCTTTCTCTCTCTCTCTCTTCCCAACCCACCTCACAGGATGGTTGTTGTTGTTGTGGGGAAAATAGGGGGATAATGTGTGTGTTCGTCACCTTGAGTTATTTATAAAAATAATAAAGCCCAGAACTAAATGCATAAATAAATGAACGGAGCTCCAAGTTGTGAATTAAAACACTTCGGCAAAAGGCCGCGGCAATTTATTTCCCTTCAGACACGCTCACGCCGCCTTGACTCACTCTGTTTGAACTTCTAATGAATTAATCTCATATTTTAATACCGTCCTGTCGAATTTAAATTCTGCAGGCGGCCTAAAGTTGCTTACCTTTTCGCCCATTAGTCTTTAATGCCCTATTTATATGCCATCGTATTCAAAGTGTCGAGAGAAATAAGGATATTTGGCTTGCTAATTTTTTTAAACGCCTTTGCTCGGTGCCGGGTGTGAGCTACCGAGGAGCTGGTCCCCGAAAATAAAGCTGTTTTTGGACATGTATCCGGAGGTATTCATGATTGAATATTCATTTCTACAGAGGTTGCAAGAGGGATTGAATTCGGATGGTTAGGAGGAAGAAGAGAATTTTAATTTTGGGTTTTAAAATTCGGCCAAAACTATTTAATGATTTTAATTAATTTTAACTACGATATTGTATATTTGTATATTTGTATTTTAATTCTGGCTGTACACTGCCCTGAGTCCTTTGGGAGAATGGGCGGTATATAAATAAAATTATTATTATAATTATAATTATAATTATAATTATTATTATTATTATTAATCTGAATAGTCATCATGGAATCAAAACCGTCACTAGAATGCACTCGTGGTTTGTGCAAAGCGACGCAACGTTCTGCAAAACTTGTTGGCTGAGAGGAAAAGGATCCTTCCGGAAGATCTACCTAGTTCAATGTTTCTCAAACTCGGCTACTTGAAGATGGGTGGACTTCCGTTCCCAGAATTCCCCACCCACTGTGGTTCCTGGCCCCGCCCACATTGATTTTTGGCCCCACCCATTTCATTTCTTGACACCCCACCCCCATCCCAACCACTTGGGCTCTTGGCCACATCCATTTTATTTATTGACCCCACCCACTTTGGTTCATGGCTCCACCCACCCTTTCTTTTGATGATGCCACCCACTTTGGTTGTGACTCCACCCACTTTATTACTTGACCCCACCTACTTTGGTTCTTGGTTTCACTCCCTGAGGTTCCTGGCCCCACCCACTTTGTTTCTTGGCCGCACCCGCTATTTCTTAATCCCACCCATTTTGTTTCCTGCTCCCACCTGCCTTATTTTTGTTGCCACCCACTTTGGTTGTGACTCCACCCACTTTCTTGACCCCGCCTACTTTGGTTCTTGGCCTCACCCACTGCGGTTCCTAGCCCCACCATTGGCCACACCTATTTATTTCTTGATCCCACCCACTTTGCTTCTTGGTCCCACCCACTTTGGGGCCTTTCCGGCCTCCAGCCAAGCTGAAGATCCATGCCTGATTTAAATTTTGGGGAAGTTCAAAACAGAACCTGGAGGTACAGAAGGCGGAGAACCCAGTTAGCTGCTCATCCTACCTGTGGGCCAGGAACACCTTGGTAACCTCTGGGACCCAGTTTGCCAAGACCACTCTCCCCCTGCAAAGCAGCCAGAAAATGTGGATTTATGTAGAGAAATACCCAGAATTAGAATAGAATAGAATAGAATAGAATAGAATAGAATAGAATAGAATAGAATAGATATTGGAATGAAGAAGAGAAGAGAAGAGAAGAGAAGAGAAGAGAAGAGAAGAGAAGAGAAGAGAAGAGAAGAGAAGAGAAGAGAAGAGAAGAGCAGAATGGGATGGGATGGGATAGGATAGGATAGGATAGGATGGAATAGGATAGAGAATAATAGAGAATAGGATGAGGATAGGATAGAAAAATAGAATAGAGTAGAATAGAATAGAATAGAATAGAATAGAATAGATAGAATAGAATAGAATAGAATAGAATAGATATTGGAATGAAGAATAGAATAGAATAGAATAGAATAGAATAGAATAGAATAGAATAGAATAGAATAGAATAGAATAGAATAGAAGAATGGGATGGGATGGAATGGGATAGGATAGGATGGAATAAGATAGAAAAATAGAATAGAATAGAATAGAATAGAATAGAATAGAATAGAATAGAATAGAATAGAATAGAATAGAATAGAATAGAAGGTACCTTGGAGGTCTTCTAGTCCAACCCCCTGCTTAGGCAGGAAACCCTACACCATTTCAGACAAATGATTATCCAACATCTTCTTAAAAACTTCCAGTGTTGGAGCATTTACAACTTCTGGTGGCAAGTTGTTCCACTGGTTAATTGTGGGGTTTGCAAGGAGGAGGAGGAGGAGGAGGAGGAGGAGGAGGAGGAGGAGGATGGCTTCCTTGGTGCTCTCTGAGCCTGCTTGTTTTCATTTCTGACGTTTCATTACCCAACAAGGTAACATCATCAGTGCTAGAAAGTAGTGGGGGGGAGTTTGCTCTCTTTATATGCTAGTGACTTGTCCTGCACACTTGTCCTGTAGAAACTGTTGTAACTTCAAATGGTCACTCAATGACTGTTGTAAGTCGAGGGCTGCCAACATTATAATTCCAATAAAAATTTTATTTTTTTAAAAAAAGAAGAGAGAAATGGCCTATTCTTACGTAAACCTTCAAGTTGGTGGCCATCTCTACCTGGCGTGTTGAAGCCCTGGCCATCAGGGTTTATCCTAACCAGGTTAGGACTTACCTTGTTGCCTTTCATCCCTGGAGCCCCTGGCTTTCCCTGAAGGAGAAAAAAGACAACGAGAAAACAACACTGTCAGAGATTCCCTCGGATCTGCCATTGATCAGAACTGCTCCTCCTCCTCCTCCTCCTCCTCCTCCTGCTCTCCATAAACCCCTTCATATACTTTGGTCCAATGGCAAAAACTTTTAGGTACAATTAATTGGGCTCGTCCATATTTTCAAATTTCTACAGGAGAAATGTTACCTCTCTTTTCCTTGTTAAAAGGTTCTAAGCATCCTGAAGATCTGGTGTCTCTTACTGCTTTTGCAAAAGAAATGTCTTCAAAACATTCTAAATAAACTTAAACTGAAATATGTTGATAGAATTGTCTCTTTAGCTACTAAATGATGGCTAGCAATTCTTCCTACTTCACCTTTACCTACTGGTTGTCTTTATTCTCCTTTTACTGAAAAAACGATTCATATTCATGAATGGTTGAATTTGTCTGCTTCTCCTCCTAGAAATATTTTTCCTTATCAACAAGCCTTAGAAGAAGTCCCTCTTTTTTCAGTAACTTCGAATGGTCACTAAATGGATGCTTGTAAGTCAAAGATTACCTGAACTGGGCTTCTTAAAAACGATATTTCTATTCTCTCTCTCTCTCTCTCTCTCTCTCTCTCTCATTTCCAAGGCAAACCCACCTCTGTTCCGGGAGATCCAGTAGGTCCTCTCGGTCCCATTGATCCAGTCCGGCCTCTTTTCCCTTGTTCCCCCTGAAAAGAGAATATTTTCAGTGAATATTAATTGGGGGGGGTGGGGGGAGGAAGATGCTGATGGAGTCCTTGGTACTGTAGAAAGTTAGCACCCCCCCACCCCTCTCCTAGAAGAATGAAATATTTTAGGGAATATTAAAAAGGCAGAATATTATATTTCCCCTAAAAGAGAAAAATAAAAATCTTAAGGGAGACAGAAACTCAGAGCCCCAGCTCCCTGCCCCCAGCAAGATATATGATGCCCATCAGAGGTGGTATTCAGCCGGTTCGTACCGGTTCGTGTGAACCGGTAGCGGATCCCGGGTAGGATCGACAGCCCACCTACTTGGCTCTATACCCTCCTATTTAGGCATGGTTTTGAGGCTGGGCGCATGCAGAAGAGGCACGAGAGAGCAAAGCACATGCACAGAAGGCTGGTCATATGCACGGAAGGGGCATGTGACACAAGCATGTACACGCGGGGTGAACCGGTAGCAACAAAATCTGAAACCCACCGCTGGTGGCTATTAAGAAAGACTGGGCCATCCTATCTACAAGACAAAAGACCTTCAGCTCCAAGGTGAGGGGATTAAGACACGACCCTTCAGGACATAATAGGATTAACCCACTACCATCTAGCAGCAGAGCTCACCACACGGCACAATCTCCTAAGGACATTGCATCAGCAGTCCAAACTTCAACCAAACATAGCTCAGACAACCTATAGAGCCAGCTATGACTGCTACAGCAGCCAATAGAATACATGTTCTTGCACAGGAACAGGAAGCTCAAGCGCAAAGCCCAAGAGGAGGTATAAATACCCCTCACTCAATGTGGTCAGCTGCACCAGAACCATGTGCTTAATAGTTCTGTTCATCCTTAAACCATCTTTCCAATCAGCCTCCATGTTTCCAGTGTCTTTCTCTCTGCTTGGAACTGAACCAGGTTGGATATTTCTTCCAACAGTACTGTAGCTCGCCTTGCCGGGGGTGTAGTTTTCTCCTTGGGAATTCCTCAATTAAGCCATTGTTTTCCACTTGAGTGTTTGTCCGGTGTTAATCCCTGCTTATCTAAATGTTGGTTGCGGCAGAGGATGCGTTCAGGAGTTGCCCAACTTGGCTATAAACATGGATCATTCATCCTGAGATTGGGTTGATTGCTTATGGCTATTTTATGAGGTTTGCTACACCAGGGGTCCCCAACTCCGAGTCCGTAGACCAACACCGGACCACGGCATGCCAGAAACCGGGCCACACAAACAAGCAAAACCCCATCTGCAGGATGCAGGCATCATGCAAAATCATGCTTCCTCCGGCCCATGGAAAAACCTTTCTCCGTGGAACCGTTCTCCGGTGCCCAAAAGATTGGGGGCCGCTATGCTAAGTGATTTCATTGGCTCTTTCTTTCCTTTCTGCAATAATTTTTTAAAATTTTATTCCCAACGTTAAAATACAAATTTCGAAAAAAGAAAAGAAAAAAAAATGCAAAGACAAAGCAAAACTAAATAAGGCATTGCAAAAAAAATTTATTTTTATAAAAGACAGCCCTCCCCCCACCCACATAGATTGTCCTCCCCTTGTTAAATACTGATAAATAACTAAATATTATTTATTTATTTATTTATTAGTTTGCACATCAATTTCAGAGATAAGGAAATGACATCGCATTGCAGTTGTTATTAACCAGAAGAAGAAGAAAGAGGTGCTCCAGAAATGGGGAAACAAATAAACCCAAGAGAGAAGCGAACATTCCAGTTTTCTCCTAATTTATTTATTTATTTATTGGTTCGATTTTATATGCCGCCCTTCTCTGGAGACTCAGGGTGGCTTACAATGCGTTAAGCAATAGCCTTCTTACTTTTTGTATATACCTGCTTAGTAGGGCTTTCGGCCCCCTCCTAAGCGGTGTTCTTTTTTATACAAAGTCAGCTTATTGCCCCCACAATCCGGGTCCTCATTTTACGTACCTCGGAAGGATGGAAGGCTGAGTCAACCTTGAGCCTGGTGAGATTTGAACTCGCAGTAATTGCAGGCAGCTGGCAGCTAAATACTATTTTAACAGTAGTTTAGTCCACTGTACCACCAGGCTCCTTGAAATATATTTCAAGAATAATAATTCCTCCCCCCGCTTCAAAACCTGCAGCTTATGGGCTTCTAAAACTCTGTGTTTGACCTGACATTTATCTATGATATAACAACCGTGTAACTAACTTAATCTTTTGACCCAGCACCTCAAACATGACAAACCCTCGGAAGTTAACTCAAAGATTTCTTTAATTAGGAGTGCTGGCAGCCCCGGCCAAAAGTTTCTCTCTCACCGTAGGCTAACAAGTCCGTTTGGCAGGAGGAGAATAGTTGTCTGCCCCATGTATTCATCTCCGTCCCCTGCCTTGTATCCCCAGAGCTACGGTGGGGCTTTACTAGCAGTGGTGGCTTTTCCGTCCCGAGGACCGGCCCATAGATTTCCACTGCTCTCCTCTCCTCTGCTTTCTGCATGTCAGGCACAGGACCCAGCTGCTCCTCCTCTTCCTCATCAGCCACCTGGGGGCTGTTGACTCTCCATCTGAGGGCTGACGGACAGTCCGGGCTCCGCCGCCATCTCTCTTTCTCTGACAGCTCCATTCCCTCTTCCTCCTCGGAGCTCCCAGGTTGATGCTGATTACGACTCCAACGCCTCCTCCTCCTCCGATTCGGCTGTCGGAGGGGGCCGGCGGCCGAGAGTCCACAGCACTGAACAATGGCAGGGATTCACTTCACAATTGTGGGCAAGGAAGGTCGTAAAATGGGGCAACACTCACTTAACAACCGTTTTGCTTAGCGACAGAAATGTGAGGCTCAGTTTTGGTCGTAAGCCGAGGACTACCTGCGTTTCTTTCTGTGATGCTGTTTCAAACTCCCAGCTTCATTTTCGCACCTCGGTAGTCTTCCAAAGGCTACCCATATTTGTGAGACTAGCCGAGATTGCTGGGTTTATCTGAAGTCCCGAGTCTTCTTCCTCAAACAAGCAATGTTTTAGAATGAACTGACTTATTTTTTTCTGTAGAATGGGGTTTGGGTCACTTTAACCTGGATTAAATATCCCGATGGTTTAGAAGATGCACAAACTTGCCTAAGTGACCCAGTAATAGCCTGTCTCAAAATGATACAGGAAGATAATTTCTCTGTCCATTTTCCAATTTTACCTGCCGAGTTATTTTGTTTGTTTTGTTTTTCAGAGGCCATTGAAAAAGCTCTTTTCTTCCTCCAAATAAAAGAAAAGTTGGCTCGGAAAAGACGAATTCGGTCAAATATTTCAGCTACATTTTTATGTTCCAAGCTGCAGGAAGTTTTCTTTATTCCCTTCTTCAAAGATGAGTTTCTCAGCAGCGTACAGGGAATCCTCGACTTACGACCACAATGGAGCCCAGGCATTCCCGTTGCTAAGCGAGACAGTCGTTAAGTGAGTTTTGCCCCGTTTTACGATCTTACTTGCCACGGTTGTTCAGTGAATCACAGCAGTTGTTAAGTTCGTCACGCAGTCGTTAAATGAATCCGGTTTTCCCATTGACTTTGCTGATCGGAAGGTCGTAAAAAGGGGATCACGTGACCCCAACCCTCCCGGGACACTGCGAACATCATAAATATGAGTCAGTTGCCAATTTGATCACGTGACTTTGGGGATGTTGCGACGGTCGTAAGTGTGAAAAACGGTCCGAAATCATTTTTTCCCCAGTGCCGTTGTAACTTCAAATGGTCACTAAATGAATGGTTGTAAGTCGAGGACTACCTGTTATTGGACAGTGCCAAGTCAGACTTGATGGTTTTATTCTAATAAATTTGGGTTGGGAGATTGCTTTGGGAGGTAGGGGCGGGATAGAAATAGCTATAGCACTTAGACATATATACCGCTTCACAGTGCTTTTACAGCCCTTTCTAAGCAGTTTACAGAGTCAGCCTCTGGCCCCCAAAAACCTGGGTCCTCATTTTACCCCCCTTGGAAGGCAGAGTCAATCTTGAGCCGGTTAGGATCGAACTCCTGGCAGTTGGCAGAGTTAGCCTGCAATACTGCAGTCTCACCACTGCGCCACCACAGCTCTTCCTCCCTTCCTTCCTGCCTTCTTTCTTTCCTTCCTTCCTTCCTTCCTTCCTTCCTTCCTTCCTTCCTTCCTTCCTTCCTTCCGGTCAAAATCGAACTCCTGGCAGTTGGCACAGTTAGCCTGAAATACTACATCTCACCACTGCGCCACAACGGCCCTTCCTTTCTTCTTTCCTTCCTTCCTTCCTCCCTCCCTCCCTCCCATCAAAATCAAACTCCTGGCAGTTGGCACAGTTAGCCTGCAATACTGCAGTCTCACCACTGCGCCCCCATGGCCCTTCTGTCCTTCCTTCCTTCCTTCCTTCCATCCATCCATCAAAATTGAACTCCTGGCAGTTGGCACAGTTAGCCTGCAATACTGCAGTCTGCAATCTCACCACTGTGCCCCCATGGCCCTTCCTTCCTTCCTTCCTTCCTTCCTTCCTTCCTTCCTTCCTTCCTTCCTTCCTTCCTTCCTTCCTTCCTCCCTCCCTCCCTCCCTCCCTCCCTCCTGTCCTCCCTTCCTTCCTTCCTTCCTCCCTCCCTCCCTCCTGTCCTCCTGTCCTCCCTCCCTCCCTCCCTCCCTCCCTCCCTCCCTCCCTCCCTTCCTTCCTTCCTTCCTTCCTTCCTTCCTTCCTTCCTTCCTTCCTCCCTCCCTCCCCCTCCCTCCCTCCCTTCTGTCCTCCCTTCCTTCCTTCCTTCCTTCCACCGGTCAAGATCGAACTCCTGGCAGTTGGCACAGTTAGCCTGCAATACTGCAGTCTCACCACTGCGCCCCCATGGCCCTTCCTTCCTTCCTTCCTTCCTTCCTTCCTTCCTTCCTTCCTTCCTTCCTTCCTTCCTTCCTTCTTCCTTCCTTCCTTCCTTCCTCCCTCCCTCCCTTCCGTCCTCCCTCCCTCCCTTCCTTCCTTCCTTCCTTCCTTCCTTCCTTCCACCAGTCAAGATCGAACTCCTGGCAGTTGGCACAGTTGGCCTGCAATACTGCAGTCTCCCCACTGCACCCCCATGGCCCTTCCTTCCTTCCTTCCTTCCTTCCTTCCTTCCTTCCTTCCTTCCTTCCTTCCTTCCTTCCACCGGTCAAGATCGAACTCCTGGCAGTTGGCACAGTTAGCCTGCAATACTGCAGTCTCCCCACTGCGCCCCCATGGCCCTTCCTTCCTTCCTTCCTTCCTTCCTTCCTCCCTCCCTCCCTCGCTTCCGTCCTCCCTTCCTCCCTTCCACCGGTCAAGATCGAACTCCTGGCAGTTGGCACAGTTAGCCTGCAATATTGCAGTTTCACCACTGCGCCCCCATGGCCCGCCCGCCCTTCCTTCCTTCCTTCCTTCCTTCCTTCCTTCCTTCCTTCCTTCCTTCCTTCCTTCCTTCCTTCCTTCCTTCCTTCCTTCCTTCCTCCTTCCTTCCTTCCTTCCCACTTAGCAATAGCAATTACTTATGTACCAGGGGTGGGTTCTACTTCCTTTTACTACTGGTTTGCAACGGAAGCGTGCAGATCGTCAATTATGACGTCCGGGCGGGTGGGCGGAGCCTCCCGCCCCTTTTACTACCAGTTCTAAAGAACCGGAAAGAACCGGGAGCCACCCACCATTGTTGTGTGTAGCTTCCCAGGGCTTTCCAGCCCTCTCTACGCGGTTTACAGATTCAGCCTTTTGCCCCCAACAATCTGGGTCCTCATTTGATCGACCTCGGAAGGCTGGAAGGCTGAGTCAACCATGAGCCGGTCAGGATCGAACTCTTGGCAGTGGGCAGAATTAGCCTGCAATACTGCTTTCTAACCATTGCACCACCATGGCGTATGTGCTTAGAGGAGGCCCTTAAATATATCTAATGGACTACAGACGCTGTGAGAATCTTACGTTCTTCTCTCTGTGTGGCCATTCCCAACTTGGTGAATGGTGAGATTTGGGTATGGAACCATGACTCCAGAGGTTACTTACCTTTTGCCCAGGAACTCCAGGTGGGCCTGGAGAGCCCCTTTCTCCCTGGGACCCCGGGATACCAGGATTACTCCGAATTCCTTGTATGCCTTGTGCTCCGGCGGGCCCTGGTACCCCAGGTTCACCCTGGTGGGAAGAAACCACAAAGACCTAATCAGATGACGAACAAGGTATTGTGGTATGAAGGTCTATTGCAGGGATGGCGAACCTTTTTGCCATCGCGTGCCAAAAGTTGGCACGCGTGTGGGGGGCACACGCATGCGTGTCCACACCCATAATTCTATGCACCCCACCCCTCCGTGCTCTCCCCACTTTTGGCATGTGATGGCACAGTGGGCCTGGTAGGCCCGTTTTTTGGCCCTCCCCAGGCTCCAGAGGCTTTCTAGGAGCCTGGGGAGGGTGAAAACGGACCTTCCCCAGTCCCCTGGAAGCTCCCTGGAGGCCGGAAATGGGCCATTAGTCAGCAAACTGGCTGTTCCCGGCCTCCGGAGGGCCTCCAGGTGGTGGGGAAGGCTGTTTTCACCCTCCCAGGCTCCTAGAAAGGCTCTCCTCCTTCTTTGCACTTATTCCTTCTCTTTCCTCCTTCTCCTATTCCTCCACTCCTTAAACTGCATTCCCTTCTAACACTGATTATGTTATCTAATTGGGTCATGAAACGTCTACAAGCCAACAGCCAAGCTCAGAGAGCACCAAAGATTCCACAGTTCTCCTTCCTCCTTCTTCTTCTCCTCCTTCTTCGCACTTCTTCCTTCCTCCTTCTCCTATTCCTCCACTCCTTAAACCGCACTCCCTTCTAGCACTGATGATGTTATCTAGCTGGGTCACGAAACGTCTACAAGCCAACAGCCAAGCTCAGAGAGCACCAAAGATTCCACAGTTCTCCTTCCTCCTTCTTCTCCTCCTCCTTCTTCGCACTTCTTCCTTCCTCCTTCTCCTATTCCTCCACTCCTTAAACCGCATTCCCTTCTGGCACTGATGATGTTATCTAGCTGGGTCACGAAACGTCTACAAGCCAACAGCCAAGCTGAGAGAGCACCAAAGATTCCAGTTCTCCTTCCTCCTTCTTCTTCTCCTCCTTCTTCGCACTTCTTCCTTCCTCCTTCTCCTATTCCTCCACTCCTTAAACCACATTCCCTTCTAGCACTGATGATGTTATCTAGCTGGGTCATGAAACGTCTACAAGCCAACAGCCAAGCTGAGAGAGCACTGAGAACTCCACAATATGTTATCTTCTCTCTTCCCTACTGAAAGTTACTCGCTTGCTTGCTCTGAACATCTGTAGGAAGATTTAGATGGTCCAACAGAGGCAGAACAACGAAAAAAAAGTCCAAAGTTTAGTTATTATCATGCAATCAAACCCCCTCCCTTTTCACAACATGTCATAACGGCTATTTGGATTGATTTGACCATCTTCTGGGGTGTCCCTGAGAGTATGATTTATTAGGTGCCCAATCTACATCATCAAAAACAGGGCCACAAGCTTTTCACTGCACCAACCTTACGTCCAGGAGCTCCAGCTTGGCCAACCGGACCACGGAAACCAATACCTGGTTCACCCTTGAAAGCAGATTTTAAAAAAAAAGAGAGAGAGAGAGAGGAGACATCAACTCACTGACAATTGGCACCCCCAAATTCTGGTGGAAGGCTAAGACAAAGGATATTGTTCTCCACTCGGAATAGATTCATCTACATTTTTATGTTATTATTTCTCTATATATTTATATTATTTCTCTATATTTTAATCTCTATCTCTATTTTTTATGTTTATCTATATTTTTATGTTATTATTAGGATGAGTTCTAGTTCCACCTTAGGCATGAAAGCCAACTGGGTGACTTTGGGCCAATTCACCAGGAGACAGTGAGTTCTAGTTCTACCTTGGGCATGAAAGCTAGTTGAGTGACTTTAGGCCAATCACCAGGAGAGGGTGAGTTCTAGTTCCACCTTAGGCATGAAAGCCGACTGGGTGACTTTGGGCCAATCACCAGGAGAGGGTGAGTTCTAGTCCTGCTTTAGGCACGAAAGCCAGCTGGGTGACTATGGGCCAATCACCAGGAGACAGTGAGTTCTAGTTCCACCTTAGGCACGAAAGCCGACTGGGTGACTTTGGGCCAATCACCAGGAGTCAGTGAGTTCTAGTCCTACCCTAGACACGAAAGTCAAGCTTCCAAGGTTGAGAAACACTACAGTACTGTATGTTAGCTAGGAATGCTGGGAGCCGTAGTCTTCTGAATGATACCAGTCTACCAGACTAAGAAAACCTACAGTAGTCTTTGACTTTCAAACTATTCATTTAATCAATCAATCAATCAATCAATCAGAATAGAACTGGAAGGGACCTTAGAGGTCTTCTAGTCCAACCCCCTGTTTAAGGAGGACACCCTATACTATTTTAGACAAATGGTTGCCCAGTCTCTTCTTAAAAACCTTCAGTGATGGAGCACCCACAACTTCCAGTGGCAGGCTGTTCCACTGATTAATTGTCCTCACCGTTAGGAAGCTTCTCCTTAATTCCAGGTTGCTTGAGTTTCTCCTTGAGTTATGACCACAATGTAATCACGTTTAAATTGTTCTTTAAAACATCTGTCTTTTCAATAAAAAAAAAAAAATCTGTCTTCGCACACACACACCCCAATAATCCAAGATGTCCAATTTCTAAAGCATGAAATATAATTTTTATGTCCGGATTAAGTTTCGCCCAAATGTTATTTGAGGTCTCTTGAAGCTGGTGGATGACCCGGATATTTCCACGAGCTTCGCCTAATAACAAGAAATAAAGTGGTTTCTCGTTTAATGTCATTTGTAGACAAGAAGGTCACATACCTTGATCCCATAAGCTTCCAAAAGTCGTTCCAGATCCTATATAAAAATAAAAAAAAAAGCAAAGAAATATGTATTCATTGACCACGTACAGATAATATAGAAATAATGGCTTATATTACATGTTAGATCAGGGGTCTCCAATCTTGGTGACTTTAAGACTTGTGGACTTCAACTCCCAGAATTCTTTGCTTTGCTGGCTGAGGAATTCTGGGAGTTGAAGTCCACAAGTTTTAAAGTTGCCAAGGTTGGAGACCCCTGTGTTAGATCACAACATGTTTAGCTGAGATGCTTGCTTATATAAAATGTCCCCTGAGCACCAAAAATATCTCCTGGGTGGTGTGACCTTCCTTTAAAGTCCTTCAAATTAGCCATTTTAGAATATGTAGACTTCAACTCCCAGAGTTCCCTAGCGAGCAACCTTTAAGACATGTGGACTACAATTCCCATAATTCCCCAGCCAGTAGGCTAGCTAGCTGAGGTCCACACAACTTACAATTGCTGAGTTGGCTGAGGATTTTTGGGTGCTGAAGTCCACTCATCTCAAAGCATGCTGGCTGGGGAATTCTGGGAATTGAAGTCCACCCATCTCAAAGCATGCCAGCTGGGGAATTCTGGGAGTTGAAGTCCACCTAATTTAAAGCCTGCTGGCTGGGGATTTCTGGGAATTGAAGTCCACCCATCTTAAAGCATGCCAGCTGGGGAATTCTGGGAGTTGAAGTCTACCCATCTCAAAGCATGCTGGCTGGGGAATTCTGGGAGTTGAAGTCCACCCATCTCAAAGCATGCTGGTTGGGGAATTCTGGGAGTTGAAGTCCACCCATCTGAAAGCATGCTAGCTGGGGAATTCTGGGAGTTGAAGTCTTCCCATCTCAAAGCATGCTGGCTGGGGAATTCTGGGAGTTGAAGTCTACCCATCTCAAAGCATGCTGGCTGGGGAATTCTGGGAGTTGAAGTCCACCCATCTCAAAGCATGCTGGCTGGGGAATTCTGGGAGTTGAAGTCCACCCATCTCAAAGCATGCTGGCTGGGGAATTCTGGGAGTTGAAGTCTACCCATCTCAAAGCATGCTAGCTGGGGAATTCTGGGAGTTGAAGTCCACCTAATTTAAAGCCTGCTGGCTGGGGATTTCTGGGAACTGAAGTCCACCCATCTTAAAGCATGATGGCTGGGGAATTCTGGGAATTGTTAAATTACTTGAATTCTGGTCCCAGTTGTAGCTGTAAATTGAGGACTATATGTATTTACCTTGATATCCATTCCTTTGCCAACTGGTCCAGGGTCCCCCTGGGAAAGAAAACAAAAATGTGCAGATGTTTGAAGCTACCTGGTCCGGGGTGATTCCATAATTTAATCTTTCACCTGTACTAAAAAGCAAGTAGAGATTAGGGTTGCCTAAAGCCAGCAGCTAAATAAATCCATGGAGGAGAATAGTAAAACGACTGTGATATTCCTTTCAGAATTCAGATCCTTGTTAGTTACCGGTAGTTAGTTGTTAGTCACTTTTATTATCCAAGTCTATGGAGATTCTCAGTCCTCCAGGACATGGTTATCCCAAATGTGCTTTTTCCAAGAGGCAACAGAACTTTCTGGTTTTTCTTTGAAGACCTTTCGCTTCTCATCCAAGAAGCTTCTTCAGCTCTGACAGGATAGTGGGAATGGAAGGAATTATATTCCTTGCAGACAGCTGAAGAGTAGAAATCCTTTCACAACTGTAGGTCGCTACGGGGAACACAATAGAGTGGACTAACTAACATTGGGCTGCCAGGATGATGTCCTTGTTTTTCCAGATTCAGTTGATGTTCACCATTGCTCTGCAACCCAATGCAATCCGACATTTTATTTCAGGGCTGCCTTCCTTATCTTTATTGGATTCAATTAGAATTTACATTTTAAAAAATTAGATATTTTCTATGATATATAATATATAAAAGGTAAAGGTTCCCTTTGCACGTATGTGCTAGTCGTTCCCGACTCTAGGGGGCAGTGCTCATCTCCGTTTCAAAGCCGAAGAGTCAGCGCTGCCCAAAGACGTCTCCATGGTCATGTGGCCAGCATGACTCAATGCCAAAGGCGCATGGAATGCTGTTCCCTTCCCACCAAAGGTGGTCCCTATTTTTCTACTTGCATTTTTTACCTGCTTTCGAATTGCTAGGTTGGCAGAAGCTGGGACAAGTCACAGGAGCTCACCCCATTACGCGGCACTAGGGATTCGAACCGCTGAACTGCCGACCTTTCGATCGACAAGCTCGGCGTCTTAGCCACTGAGCCACAGCGTCCTCATGGGCAATATTCAAACTCATGAGATGAGATACCCAGAGACTCATGCAAGGTCGTAACAGATTTCTTCTCCTAAGAAGTCCTGATTCCGGTTTCTCCAGCTGGACATTTGAGGACCCCTTGAAGGAAGATCTCAGAGGAATGAATTCCATGCCTGATGGGCTTCATTTCACAGAAATCCGGTGTCTGCTTTGACAGATTCCGGTGGAATGAAGGACACCCAAGTCACGGATCTGAAACGTTCATCCTTGAATCTTCTTACTCTGCAAGAGAAATCGCCTGCTTTCTAGAAGCTTCTTCAAGGGTTTCCTCCCCACTACAGGAAGCCCTCGGTTTACAACTGTTTCCTTAGCAACTATTTGAAGTTACAATGGCACAGAAAGCAGTGACTTATCGCTTGGTCCTCTTACTTACAACCAGGAGTGAGATTCAGCTGGTTCAGACCGGTTCGGGCGAAACGGATGCTAATTTTACATCTGGTTTGCCATCCAAAATGGGCCGCGTGGAGTCTCCGGAGAGGGGGAAAGGGGGGCGGGCAATCCCGCCCCGCCTGCCCCACCCCTCTCAGGAGTCTCCACGCGGCCCATTTTGGATGCGAGATAAGCGCAGGGCCTGCGCGGAAGTTCTGTGGGAGCGAAAAACGGGCCTCCTGGAAGTTCCAGAAATATGGAAACGGGCTTGTTTCTGGCCTCCAGAGGGCCTCCGGAGCCGTGGGGAGGCTGTTTTTTCCCTCCTGGAGGCTCAAGAAAAGCCTCTAGAGCCTAGGGAGGGCAAAAACGCCCCCTCCATGGTGCAGGAGGCTGAGTAGGCCATGCCCCCATGGCCACGCCCACCCAGCAACTAGGCAGAGAACCAGTTGCTAAAACTTTTCGATCCCACCCCTGTTTACAACGATCATAGCACCGCGATGGTCTCGTGATTAAAATTTGGATTCTTGGCAACTGGCATATATTTACGATGGTTGCACCATCCCGGGGCATGTGATCGTCATGGGTGGCCTTCTCAGCTGAGTTCCAACAAGGAAACCCAGTGGAGGAAAACAGATTCGCTGAACGACGGCAGGATTCGCTGAACGTGATTCGCTTTCTTCTTGAAAGCCTCCAGTGATGGAGCAGCCACAACTTCTGGTGGCAAGTCGTTCCATGGATTGATTATTCTGTCAGGAAGTTTCTCCTCCTCAGGGCTAGTCCAGCACCCTGGACTATGTAAGCCTATTTTAAGGCAGAATAAAATAGTTGGAAGGGACCTTGGAGGTCTTCTAGTCCAACCCCCTGCTCAGGCAGGAGACCTCATACATTTCAGACAAATGGTTGTCCAATCTCTTCTTGAAAACCTCCCATGATGGGGCACCCACAACTTCTGGAGGAAAGCAGTTCCACTGATGGATTGTTGTTAAATGTCATTTCTCCTTCGTTCTAGGTTGCTTCTCTCCTTGGTTCATTTCCACCCATCGCTTCTTCTCCTGCCTTCAGGTGCTTTGGAGAACAACCTGACTCCCTCTTCTTTGTGGCAACTCCTCAAATATTGGAAGACTGCTATCCTGTCACCCCTAGTCCTTCTCTTCTCTAGATTAAACATTCCCAGTTCCCACAACCATTCTTCACAGCCTCCAGAGACCCCTGATTATCTTTGTTGCACTCTTTTTCTAGGATCTCAGCATCTTTCCTGGGTTTGTGGTGACCAGAAATGGACACAGTCTTCCAAGTGTGGTCTTACTAGCGGAGTATAAAACAATACCATCACTTCTCATGACGTGAGAACATGCAGTGATCAAAGAAAGAAGTCATATTATGGCTTAAGATATGGTTCTTTAGGTCCCACAAATTCTATGGTAGATTCTGAGTTCCTACCACACAGCTAGTCAATTCCCATTAGAACATGGTTTAGCATCCTTTACTGTCCATACCGGGGGTGAAATCCAGCAGGTTCTAACAGGTTCTGGAGAACTGGTAGCGGAAATTTTGAGTAGTTTGGAGAACCAGCAAATACCACCTCTGGCTGGCCCCAGAGTAGGGAGGGAATGGAGATTTTGCAATATCCTTCCTCCAGGAGGGAAGGGAATGGAGATTTTGCAGTATCCTTCTCCTGGAGTGGGGAGGGAATGGAGATTTTGCAATATCCTTCCTCCAGGAGGGGAAGGAATGAAGATTTTGCAGTATCCTTCTCCTGGAGTGGGGAGGGAATGGAGATTTTGCAATATCCTTCCTCCAGGAGGGGAGGGAATGGAGATTTTGCAATATCCTTCCTCCAGGAGGGGAGGGAATGAAGATTTTGCAGTATCCTTCTCCCGGAGTGGGGTGGAAATGGAGATTTTGCAATATCCTTCCCCTGCCACGCCCACCAAGCCACGCCCACAGAACTGGTAGGGAAAAATTTTGGATTTCACCCCTGGTCCATACATCCCAGCTATTAAGAAATAGTCTTTGACTTTCCAACAGAGGAAAATATATATACATACTGTATACCTTCTCGCCTTTGATGAAGATGGTGTTTTCCACGGGAAGACTCTAAAATAATCAAAGGAGATAGAGAACGGATTTTTTTTTTCCAGATGGATGAGGGCTCTTCCAAGAATAATTTTTGCAAATATTCTTCAAACTTTTTTCTGATTTTCATTTAGAGATCAGGAAGGGAACTGTACATTAGCACAAAATTTAACAAAAAACAAAAAGTTAACCCTGGAAGTTTTTAAGAAGAGGTTGGTTAACCATTTGTCTGAAGTGGTGTAGGGTTTCCTACCTAAGCAGGGGGTTGGACTAGAAGACCTCTAAGGTCCCTTCCCACTCTGTTTATTCTATTCTATTCTATTCTATTCTATTCTATTCTATTCTATTCTATTCTATTCTATTCTATTCTATTCTATTCTACTCTACTCTACTCTACTCTACTCTTCTTTATCCTCTATTCTATTCTATTCCTTATTTTACTCTACTCTACTCTACTCTATTCTATTCTACTCTACTCTACTCTACCCTACCCTACCCTACCCCATCCCATATTCTATTCTATTCTATTCTATTCTATTCTATTCTATTCTATTCTATTCTATTCTATTCTATTCTATTCTATTCTATTCTACTCTACTCTACTCTACTCTACTCTTCTTTATTCTCTATTCTATTCTATTCCTTATTTTACTCTACTCTACCCTACTCTACTCTATTCTACTCTACTCTACTCTACTCTACTCTACTCTACCCTACCCTACCCTACCCTACCCCATCCCATATTCTATTCTATTCTATTCTATTCTATTCTATTCTATTCTATTCTAACAATTTCAAGATTTAGTCTTGTTTTTTTTTGAACCTACTCAAAGCAGGGGTGAAATCCAGCAGGTTCTGACAGGTTCTGGAGAACCGGTAGCGGAAATTTTGAATAGTTTGGAGAACCGGCAAATACCACCTCTGGCTGGACCCAGAGTGGGGTGGGAATGGAGATTTTGCAATATCTTTCCCCCAGGAGTGGGGTGGGAATGGAGATTTTGCAGTATCCTTCCCTCAGGAGTGGGGTGGGAATGGAGATTTTGGAATATCCTTCCCCTGGAGTGGGGTGGGAATGGAGATTTTGCATTATCCTTCCCCTGCCATGCCACCAAGCCACGCCCACAGAACAGGTATTAAAAAAATTTGGATTTCACCACTGACTCAAAGATATTCGTACTCTCATTGAGTAGGGTCAAAAAAAGAAGGATAAATATTGACACGAATAGCAGATGTTGAGTGGATTACTACCAATAGTAGACTCCCTTTTCATCCACTGGGATCATCAATTGCAACCCTTATTCTACCTATTTTTACACAGGTAATCCTCGATTTACGACCACAGCGGAGCCCAAAATTGATGTTGCTAAGTGAGACATTTGTTAAGTGAGTTTTGCCCCATTTTACGACCTTTCTTGCCGCAGTCGTGAAGTGAACCACCGTGGTCGTTAAATTAGTCAGAGGGTTGTTAAGTGAATCTGGCTTCCCCATTGACGGTTGCAAAAGGGGATCACGTGCCCCTGGGGCATTGCAACTGTCATAAGTACAAGTCAGTGGCCAAGTGTCTGAATTTGACCACGGGACGGTGGGAATGCTGCAATGGTTGTGTGAAAAGCGGTCATTAAGTCACATTTTTCAGTGCTGGTGAAACTTCACATGGTCACTAAATAAACCGTTGTAAAACAAGGACTATCCATATTTTTAGGACCTATTTCATTCGCTCAGGGTTGAATGTTGTATCGCTATAATTTATACGTGTTTCTGACACGAATAAAGAAAGCACCCACCCCTTTCCTAGAAGAACGAAATATTTTGAGAAATATTAAAAAGGCAGAGTGTTATATTTCCCTTGGGTGAGAAATTCAATAAATAAATAAAATAAAAATGGAGAAACATGCTCTTGGAAAGCAGCCCCCCCACCTTTCTTAATAGCCCTCAGCAGATATCAGCACTTTAGCGATAAAGAGATAGATAGCTCTATTCACAAGCAAATACCCTCACCCAAGATCCAAGTAGGAGTAGGGCCAAGAGATGATTGGCCCCTCCCATAAGGCTTAAAAGACCAGCAACGGCTCTTGGCTTCCTTGTTGGAAAACAACCGTTGAGAGATTTGCTTCTTGTTTGGCTGTAATTATTTCTTCTGTTCCTGAACTGTGGCCAAAAAAAAAAAAGCCTTTGGCAATTTGCCTAATTATCCCAAGGTCAGAGATAAACTGAAGAATGGTGTTTTGAGGACTTTGCTTTCATTTCATTTCGAATACGCTGAGAATGAGTTAATTCCCAGCCGTTTTAATAAAATCTGTTTGTTTTTTTGGAACTGTTTTGCATTTAATATCAACTACGTGGGCCAGTCTCACCGAAAGAGAAGGGAACATGCAAACCTACAGTTTCGCCCTTATCGCCTTTCTCTCCAGTGGCACCCTGGAGGAAAAAAAGAGAGAAGAAAAAAGGCATTTATTATGTATTTATTTGAGACCTGGCTCAAAAGCAGGAACTGTGAGAGGGACCTTGGAGTCCTGGGGATGGAAGCAGAACTGTGAGAGGGACCTTGGAGTCCTGGGGGATGGAAGCAGGAACTGTGAGAGGGACCTTGGAGTCCTGGGGGATGGAAGCAGGAACTGTGAGAGGGACCTTGGAGTCCTGGGGGATGGAAGCACGAACTGTGAGAGGGACCTCGGTTTCCTCCTGTTGGGCCTGGAGGAGTCAACCATCGGCCCTTTGAGGTAGGCCAAATGAAGAAATAAGCCTGACAAGGATTCTGGGAAGGTTCTTACGGGTAGTAAGGTAGGCTAATCCAATTTTGAAAGGTTGAGTTCCTCTTTTTTCTCCCATCTAGTGGGAAAGAAAATCATACTGGGGTTATCTTGAGTTTCTTTCTCACTCTACCTTCCATTTTGGGACTGTGTAGCCTTTAAGCAAACATGGTTGAGCTCCAGGAATTTTTGTAGTAAGGAAGGAAGGGTGGCCCAATTTTGAAAGTCTAGGTTCCTCTCTTGTGCAGGACAGAGTCAAAATGGGTCCGTTTTCATTAAGCGTCCGTCCATCTCAGGATGGTCTGTTCTGTGTTATCGGTCCTTATCGGCTGGTCCATACTTTTCCTACCAAGAATTTTATGGATCCTGGGCTATATTGATTTGCAATTTTGGATAATGATGATGATGATAATAATAATAATAATAATAATAATAATAATAATAATAATAATAATAATAATAATAATAATAAAACCCTCCCAAGAGCTTACCTGGATTCCAGGTTCCCCTTTCTTTCCTTCTTCTCCCTAGAATTTAAAGTGTTCAGTGTTTCAGTTTCAAAAATTCACCATTCCAAAATTTCACTTCTGCCTTGTAAAAGGGAACTGTCAATCTTCCTTCCTTCTCTCCTCCCTTACTCAATCTTTCCTTTTCCTTCCTTCCTTTCATTCATCCATCCATCCTTCCTCCTCCTCCCTCTCCCTCCCTCTTTCTTTCCTCTCCCTCTTCCTTTCGTCCATCCTTCTCTCCTCTCTTTCTCTTTCTCTAACCTTTTCCTTCCTTCATCTTTCCTTTTCCTTCCTTCCTTCTCTCCTCCCTCCCTCTTTCCCTCCTTCCTTCCTTTCATCCATCCATCCTTCTCTCCTCTCTCTCTCCCTCTATCCTTTTCCTTCCTTCCTCTTTCCTTCCTTCCTTCCTTCCTTCCATTCATTCATTCATCCATCCATCCTTCCCTCCTCCCTCCCTCTCCTCCCTCTTTCCCTCTCCTTCCTTCCTTTCATCGATCCTTCTCTCCTCTCTCTTTCTCTCCCTCTATCCTTTTCTTTCCTTCATCTTTCCTTTTCCTTCCTTCCTTCCTTCCTTCCTTCCTTCCTTCTCTCTTCCCTCCCTCTTTCCCTCCCTCCTTCCTTCCTTCCATCCATCCATCCATCCTTCCTCCTCCCTCCCTCTCTCTCTCTCCTCTTTCCCTCTCCTTTCTTCCATCCATCCATCTCTCCTCTCTTTCTCTTTCTTTTTCTCTCCCTCTATTCTTTTCCTTCCTTCCTCTTTCTTTTCCTTCCTTCCTTCCGTCCATCTGCCCATCCATCCATCCATCCATCCATCCATCCATCCATCCTTCCCTCCTTCCTTCCTCCCTCTTTCTCTCCTTATTTCCTTTTCCTTCCTTCCTTCTTTCCTTCCTCCCTCCCTCTTTCCTTTTCCTCTCTCTCTCCAGGGCTTCAGATCTGAAAATCTGGCTGCCATCAAGAAATGATCCATGATATTTCTGGTGCTGTAAATTGGTTCCCATCTTCCAAACACAGAGCCACAATTTGAACTAAATAATCCTGGTGTACTGGGTAGAATGGTTTTTTTTTTGCTTCCTGCAGGCCTCTCTCTGATCATTTGGTGAAACTGAAACCAGTGATTAAATCAATTAAAATAAGTGAGAAGGCTTTTACACAATGCCCTGCAAGCTTGATCACTGGTGAGGGCGAAGATAATAGGAAAATATATTGAATATCTGAATTTTGGAGGCAATCTACATGAGATTTTCTAAAATGCTAATGATGCCCCAAGACACGATTACACAAGACATTTCCATGGTGCACAAATCATCCACAGACTCACCTTTTGCCCTGGCTTGCCAGATAAACCAACATTCCCCTGCAAAAATTGGAAACAAAATTAGCTGGAAAGTTAAATACCGTAGCAGATGTGCTCAGTATAATCCTGCTAACTATTCTGCAGAGAAGAATGCGAGACCAACAACAGAGGTTGCAGAAGATACTTGCAGAGCAGTGCTTCTCTACCTCAACAAGTTTAAGATGGGTGGACTTCAACTCCCAGAATCCCCCATCCAACATGTGTTAAGATGGGTGGACTTCAACTCCCAGAATCCCCCATCCAACATGTGTTAAGATGGGTGGACTTCAACTCCCAGAATTCCCCAGTCAAGCATGTTTTAAGATGGGTGGACTTCAACTCCCAGAATTCCCCAGTCAAGCATGTTTTAAGTTGGGTGGACTTCAACTCCCAGAATTCCCCAGTCAAGCATGTTTTAAGTTGGGTGGACTTCAACTCCCAGAATCCTCCATCCAACATGTTTTAAGATGGGTGGACTTCAACTCCCAGAATTCCCCAGTCAAGCATGTTTTAAGTTGGGTGGACTTCAACTCCCAGAATTCCCCATCCAACATGTGTTAAGATGGGTGGACTTCAACTCCCAGAATCCTCCATCCAACATGTTTTAAGATGGGTGGAATTCAACTCCCAGAATTCCCAGTCAAGCATGTTTTAAGATGGGTGGACTTCAACTCCCAGAATCCCCCATCCAACATGCTTTAAGATGGGTGGACTTCAACTCCCAGAATCCCCCATCCAACATGCTTTAAGATGGGTGGACTTCAACTCCCAGAATCCCCCATCCAACATGCTTTAAGATGGGTGGACTACAACTCCCAGAATTCCCCAGTCAAGCATGTTTTAAGATGGGTGGACTTCAACTCCCAGAATTCCCCAGTCAAACATGTTTTAAGATGGGTGGACTTCAACTCCCAGAATCCCCCATCCAACATGCTTTAAGATGGGTGGACTTCAACTCCCAGAATCCTCCATCCAACATGTTTTAAGATGGGTGGACTTCAACTCCCAGAATTCTCCAGTCAGCCTGCTTTAAGATGGGTGAATTATAACTCCCAGAATTCCCTACCAGCCTACTTTAAGATGGGTGGACTTCAACTCCCAGAATTCCCCAGTCAAGCATGTTTTAAGATGGGTGGACTTCAACTCCCAGAATCCTCCATCCAACATGCTTTAAGATGGGTGGACTTCAACTCCCAGAATCCCCATCCAACATGCTTTAAGATGGGTGGACTTCAACTCCCAGAATTCCCCAGCCACCATGTTTTAATATGGGTGGACTTCAACTCCCAGAATCCCCCATCCAACATGCTTTAAGATGGGTGGACTACAACTCCCAGAATTCCCCAGTCAAGCATGTTTTAAGATGGGTGGACTTCAACTCCCAGAATTCCCCAGTCAAACATGTTTTAAGATGGGTGGACTTCAACTCCCAGAATCCCCCATCCAACATGCTTTAAGATGGGTGGACTTCAACTCCCAGAATCCTCCATCCAACATGTTTTAAGATGGGTGGACTTCAACTCCCAGAATTCCCCAGTCAAGCATGTTTTAAGATGGGTGGACTTCAACTCCCAGAATCCCCCATCCAACATGCTTTAAAATGAGTGGATTATAGCTCCCAGAATCCCCTTCTTCCTCCTCCTTATTTTCATACTGTTCTTTTCCCAAAAGAAGGACCTCATCCTGTTTTCCAACTCACTCTTTCTCCCGGTTCACCTTTCAATCCCAGTTGACCGGGAATCCCAAATCCGGGGCTTCCCTGTAGAGAGGAAATAAAAAAAAATGAAGGTTATTTCCGGAAGCTTGCTAACCCTTGAAGGTAGTCCAGACAGGAAACCCCTGGTCCAAGAGTGCTAATACTACCTATATTGCAGGGTTACCTGTAAAAGAAGTTTGAACACACCTCTCTTTTATTTTTACTTTGCACAGAACTGAGGATGTCCTTTGGGAGAAGTTTCCTCCATCCCCGTTCCTTCTGAGCTACCTTTATCTACCTTTGTTATCTACTCTTACTTTTGTTTGGAACTAAGGAGACATTTCCTGACAGTGAGAGCAATTAACCTGTGGAACTCCTTGCCTCCAGAAGTTGTGGGTGGTCCAACATTGGTGGTTTTTAAGAAGAGGTTGGACGGTCATTTGACTGGGACGGTAGAGGGTCTCCTGCCTTAAGTTGAGGATGGAACTAGAAGACCTCCAAAGACCCTTCCAGCCCTATGATTCTTTCTTTCTTTCTTTCTTTCTTTCTTTCTTTCTTTCTTTCTTTCTTTCTTTCTTTCTTTTTATTTGATTTATATGCCGCCCTTCTCCAGAGACTCAGGGCGGCTTACAATGTGTTAAGCAATAGCCTTCTTTCTTTTGTATATTTATACAAAGTCATCTTATTGCCCCCACAAACTGGGTCCTCAATTTACCTACCTTAGAAAGGATGGAAGGCTGAGTCAACCTTGAGCCTGGCGAGATTTGAACTTGCAGTAATTGCAGGCAGCTGAATGTTAATAACAGGCTATTAGCCAGCTGCGCCACCAGGCCCCTTCTTTCTTTCTTTCTTTCTTTCTTCCTTCCTTCCTTCCTTCCTTCCTTCCTTCCTTCCTTCCTTCCTTTCCTTCTTCCTTCCTTCTATCATTTATCCATCTCATCTATCATCTACCATCTATCTATCTATCTATCTATCTATCTATCTATCTATCTATCTATCTATCTATCTCTATCTATCTATCTATCTATCTATCTATCTATCTATCATCTATCTATCTATCTATCTATCTATCTATCTATCTATCTATCTGTTTATCTATCTATCTATCATCTATCCATCCATCCAGATACATAGATAGATAGATAGATAGATAGATATTGATTGATTGATTGACAGAAAATCAATTGATCGATATGATAGATAGAGATGAAAGAAGATAGATAGATAGATAGATATTGATTGATTGATTGACAGAAAATCAATCGATCGATATGATAGATGGAGATGAAAGATGATAGATAGATAGATAGATAGATAGATAGATAGATAGATAGATAGATAGGGTTAATAGATGATACAAAGATAATCAGTGGTGGGATTTAAGTAATTTAACAACCGGTTCTCTGCCCTAATGATTTCTTCCAACAACCAGTTTGCCAAACTGCTCAGAAAGTTAACAACCAGTTCTCCCGAAAGGGTGCGAGCTGGCTGGATCCCACCACTGAAGATAATTTAGATACATACTGTAATAGATAATAGAAAGATAGATAATAGATGAGAGAGAGCAGAGAGAGCAGAGATATAGAATAAAACTATTTTGCCATTTAACACTCTCTAAATTTACATCCAATTATGTTGTATCTTCAAAGTGACTTAGCTGCTTTGATCACCACAAAGTTAAATTTGGCAAAACTTTGTTATGAAACCCGGCCTATCAGTAATGATAAAATATCATCTTTTACCTTTTCACCTTTTTCTCCTTCTTCCCCCTGGTGGCCTTTTGGTCCTGGAAGTCCCACCGGCCCAATTTCCCCCTAGACACGGGAACAAGATGGAAATTTGTGAGCCGTTATTCTCAAATTCTGCAAATTTCTCTGCAAATCATATTCCTAAGAGAACCATTTTTCCCAGCCAAATGAAGTGACCCAACTTAATTTATATCTCCTGGCTGACAAAAGTTTTCTTCAAATTTTAGACCTTTCTGAACATTACAAATTAAGCCTGGAATTATTATTATTTTTTAAAAAAAACGTGCCTTCCAAAATTGTGTATATTATGGGGAAATGCATCCAGAAATAAATGCAAATATTGGGACGGTAACTAATCCAGATGGTCCTTTTTTTTTAAGGTCTACAAAAACAATAGTAGTTCTCCACTTATGACCACAATTGAACCCAAAACTTAAGTGGCTCAGTGAGAAATTTGTTCCGTGAGTTTTGTCCCATTTCACAATTTTTTTCCCCATATTTCTTGCCACCTTGGTTAAGTGAGTTACGGCAGATCTTAAATTAACAACATGGTTGTAAAATGAATCTGGTTTCCCTGTTGAGTTTGCTTGTCAGATGGTCGCAAAAGGGGATTGCGTGACCCCGGGACACTGGAACCGTCATAAATCTGAGTCGGTTGTCAAACGGCTGAATTTTGATCATGTGACCGTGGGGAATGCTGCAACGGTCGTAACTGTGAAAAATGGACCTAAGTCACATTTTTTCCCTGGTGATGTTGTAACTTTGAATGGTCACTAAATGAACTGTTCTGAGTTCGAGGTCTACCTATAGTGACAAAAGCTCTCCTTTAATTGTCTTGATCTATCTAAAACCTTCTTGAGATGTTCTCCAGTTCCATGATCTTCTTCTTTGGGGTTCTGTTAATGCCCTTCCATTTTTGGCTTCCTGAGTAGATGTCTCTACTTACTCGTACACCTTTCTTCCCTGGAGGTCCCACCACCTAGGAACAAAGAGATCAAGTCAGTATCTTGTAATCCGGTCAAAACCCCAATTATATTGGCTGAAACTATGTGATCGGGTGTGATAAATTGACACTTACACCTTAAACTTAATGTAGAATGTGTAACTTTGTAGCATCAGAACGTGTTAATATAAGGCAAGTGGCAGTTGGAACAGAGTTATTTTCAGGCAGGGAAGAGGAATAGAATGTCTAACTAATTAGCATCAGAGCATGTTATAATAATATAGGAAACACTAATGGTCTGATGGTCATTTTGAAAAATCCTTTCTTAATGAGCACCTAGAAGCCAAGAGGAACATACATGGCAAATTTCAAGTTTGTAGGCTTTACGGTTCTGGAGATTTCATGATTACAGCATGAGCGGTTTTCGCTTTTATATATATAAATATACAGTAGTGGCCAAAATTGTGGAAACCTTTTGGGAAAAGCGTATTTTCTAAAACTAGCTAATAACACCACCTTTTTTTTGGAGTAGCACCATAAAATTATATATCAATGGAAAGATAATTGAATCAAGAATGTAATGCAATAACTTTTAGGAAGGATTTGCTATTAGAATAGCAGTTACAGTATAAAGAAGAAAAGGGAAACACGTAGAAAAAATGAGATATACAAAAAATATCACTGTAGAAAAAATGAAATATACAATAATGATCCCCATGTCAGTTAATCCTTAGTTGGGTAACCTTTAGCATGAATTATGGCCTTACAATGTCTTCCCATGGAGTGAACCAAGTCTTTGAGTTCTGCAGCTGTTATAATGTGAAACCAAGATTAAATGATGGCTTCTATTAACTGGGTTTTATTGCTGGGTCGCTTCTGACTAACAAGTTTCTTTTGTCGGCTCCGTAGATTTTTCATTGGGTGAAGGTCTGAGCTATTCCCAGGCCATTCATTCCAGCAGTGGAATAGGATTATCTTGAAACTCCAAAAAAAAAAAAAAAATGTATTATTAGTCATCAAACCTCAAAAATACACTTTTCCCAGAAGGTTTCCACAATTTTGGCCACTACTGTATATATATTATTTATACATTTTTCTTTAACATACATAAGTCCTTAATAAACAATGTATTGTCTGGATCACTTTACTTGTGCATAATAATAGAACTTTTGTAAATCTCTACAGGTAGTCCTCAATTTACAATAACTTGTTTAAAGACCGTTCCCTTTTTTGCAGTGCCATTGTAACTGAATGGTCACTAAATGAACGATGATAAGTCAAGGACAACCTCTATCCCCAGACAAAGGCTTTGCATTCATTTAAAATTAGCTCAGACCCCCCAAAAGGCATTTCGGCTGAGACCACGATAAAAATGAGATTTACCCCCATGGCTGGAGCACCGGGAAATCCTTGAATGCCCTAAAAAGAAAGAGAAAAAGTCAATATGAGAAAAAAAAGGGGGGGTATTATAAGAGCGTGCATTTGTGCATAAATATATATCTACTGATAGAAGAGAACGTATATAGCTCAGGGATGAACTTGGGGCTCTCCGAGCTTGGCTGTTTTCTTGCAGACGTTTCGTGACCCAACTAGGGAACATCATCAGTGCTAGAAGGGAGTGGGGTTTGCAGAGGGAGGAGGAGAAGGGGAAGAAGAAGGAATGGAGGGGGAGGAGGAGGAGGAGGAGGAGGAAGAGAAGAAATGTGGGCTCCTTGGTGCTCTCTGAGCTTGGTGGTTTTCTTGGAGACGTTTCATGACCCAACTAGCTAACATCATCAGTGCTGGAAGGGAGTGGGGTTTGCAGAGTGGATAGAAGGAGGAGGAGGAGGAGAACAATGTGGAGTCCTTGGTGTATTCTCTGAACTTGGTTCTTTTCTTGCAGACATTTCAGGACCCAACTAGTTAACAGCATCAATGCTAGAAGGGAAAGGGGTTTGTAGAGTAGAAGTAACGGCAGGGGGGGGGGGGAGGAGGAGGAGGAGGAGGAGGAGGAGGAGGAGGAGGAGGAGGAACATCCAGTTGCCAAGCATCTGAATTTTGATCAAGTGACTATGACAATCCTGCAATGGTCGTAAAGGTGAATAATGGTTACAAGTCACTTTTTTCCGGTGGCCTGTTGTAACTTTGGTTACTAAACAAATGGTTGTAAGTCAAGGACTACTTGTAGAACGACATGGCACCACACAAATGACTCGGTTTGCGGGATCCAGGGAAGGAGAGACCAACCCCTCTGTATCACTGATTCCATTGTCAAACTGTGTTGTGACCCCGACTCCCGAGCCTGTCCTAACAGAGGAAGAGGACTCAGAAGGTGATGGGGAGGAACTGACAAGGCCTCCCTCTCCAGGACCCTCCTCTCTGGCAATGCCTCAGGTTCCATCCGAAGGCCAGGAGGAACAGCCTGGGATGTGCCAGGAGGAAGGCATATCGGAGCACCAATTGATAGGGAGCGAGGAGGATGAATCCTGGCTTGATCCCAGGCAGCGTCGGAGGGAGAAGCGTGCGCAGCAACGGAAGAGGCGTGGGAGGGCCAGAGATTGAGCTGAGTCACGGAGCCACGCCCCACCAGGAATAGAAGTGGGTGGGATTGCTCTTCAGGCTTTGCGACAGACAAAGTTAAACCCTGAAAGTCACATCGTGATCTCTGAAATTCGGCTTGGATATATTTTGGACCGAACATTGACTGAACTCTTGTCTCGTGGATAATTTGTTGCTCCTGGAACGGACTGAAGATAAGTCCTCTTCTGCTTTATGGGAGTGAAAACGGTCTTGGCAGGCATTCGGCAGTTTGCAGCCAAAACCTTGGTCTGCCAAGAATCCTAATCTGTTTACCTACTAAAATATTGGCAGGCGTGCTTGGTATTATGTTTGCCTGTGTGAGGAAGGGGGACAGAACAAACTGGTTTTATCGTTGAGCATTTCTGCCAGCAACCAGGATCTGCCCTCCTGTGACTTAATTCCATTACAGGTAGTCCTCGACTTACAACCGTTCATTTAGTGACCGTCCGTAGTTACAATGCCACTGGAAAAAAGTGACTTCACACTTACGACTGTTGCAGCCTCCCTGTGGTTACATGATCAAAATTGAGATGCTTAACAACTGGTTCATATTTACGACAGTCGCAGAGTCCCGGGGTCACCTGATCCCCTTTTTGCGACCTTCTGACAAGCAAAGTCCAGGGGGGTAGGGTTTTTTTTTTTTTAGGTTTTGTTTGATTTATATACCGCCCTACTCCCGAAGGACTCAGAGCGGTGAACAGCCACAAGATAAAACACATAAATACAAAATTTAAAAGCAAAATAAAACCGAATTAAACAATTTGGCCCAAGACAAATTCAAAACACCCCAATAATTAAAAACAGATTAAAATTTACATTTTAAAAGGGAAAAAGGGAAAGTCAGATTCACTTAACAACCATGCTACTCACTTAACAACTGCAATGATTCACATAACAACTTTGGCTAGAAAGGTTGTAAAATGGGGCAAAACTCATTGTGTCTCACTTAACAATATACATTTTGGGCTCAGTTGTGGTCGTAAGTCGAGGACCACCTGTATTTCATATTCAATGCATATTCAGGAAGGGTAGAAAACAAAGCAAGCCACATCCCAACTTTTTAAAAAAATACACTTCCGCCTTTTGTTTTGAACTTGGCACTGAAAGCCAGAGAAAAATTTCTCTCAACTTTCTTGAACTTTCACATCAGACTTTGCTCTCTTAGCTGTTCGGCCCGGAGTGGAATGACTCAATTTATGGCTAATAGAAATATAATAGCAAGAAGTCAGAGAAGCGAAGCTAAATGAGGGATGAATGAACCACAATGGCTTTTTCGTGAACATTAGAAATTCATTATTGACTAATGGCAGTGTTAAAGCAACAGGCTGGAACATTAAATCTAAGTGAACGATCAATTAAGAGTGATGTTGTGGACTAGGGGGGACATGATAGCATCTTCTAATCTTTGAGGGGCTGCAACAAAGAAGAGGGGGGGGTCAAATGATTCTCCAAAGCACCAGAAGGCAGGACAAGAAGCAACGGATGGAAACTAATCAAGGAGAGAAGCAACCTGGAACTAAGGAGGAATTTTATGACAGGGAGAACAATCAATCGGTGGAACAACTTGCCTCCAGAAGTTGTGGGTGTTTCATCACTGGAGATTTTTAACAATGTTCTGTCCCTGTTCCACTCACGCACCCCCACAGACGGCCCGGAGTTAATAAGCCACACGACAAAGTTCTTTGAAAATAAAGCTGGCAGCAACCCAGTGGCTAGCTGCCAATTCAGACTTTACTCACAGAAAACAAAGATTAGACTGCCAGCATTCCGATAAAACAGGCAGAGTGTCAACAATACAAGGATTAATCCAAATGCAGTCCGATAAAGCAGGCAAAGTCCAGTAACACAGAGATCATGGATTATTTCTAGTTTTTGCTCGTCACAAACTGAACCGGCCACCACACCCACATTTATACCCTGTGGGGTGTGGTCCAGTGACTCAGCTAATCTCTGGCACGCCTTCCCTTCTGCTGTGCACGCTTCTCCCTGCGCCTCTGCCGAGGGTCCAGCCAGCACTTATCTACTCCGTCGCTGTCCACCTGTGGCTGTGGGGACGTGCTTGGCTCTGAGCCTATCTTTTGGCCTTCGGTGTCCTCCGGAGGCATTGCCAGAGAGGAGGGTCCTGGAGAGGGAGGCCTTGCCAACTCCTCTCCCTCACTCTCAGAGTCTGCATCTGTCGATAGCCCAGGCTCAGGCAACGGAGCCACAACAAGGAAGAAGACTGGACAACCATTTGTCTGAAATGTTTTAGGGTCTCCTGCCTGAGGAGGGGGTTGGACTAGAAGACCTCCAAGGTCCCTTCCCACTTTGTTATTCTGTTACCAAGCAGGTACTGGAGCACGTGACACCAGATATGTCTCTGGAAAGCACTGCATCTCACTTACTTTGGCCATCTCATGCATGGAAATTAAGCGGAGGAAGCAGTTATGCTTTTCAAGAGTCAGTGGTAAAAGGAAACCAGGATATCAAAGAATACAACAACTCAAAGAAGTAGGGTTGGATTAAATGACCTACAAAGTCCCTTCCAACTCTCTTACACTGTTATTATTCTGTTTTTAAGTAATATAAGATTGGAAGATATGGCCCAGTGAATCACCCGAGAGTCGGACACGGCTGAATGGATAACATAATCATCATCGGATACGATATTATTCTATTAGTGAAGAGACAGTTTGTTCTATTCATTATTATTATTATTTTTTACTTACTTGGTCTCCTTTTGGTCCCTCAGGGCCTAAGAGTCCCTAATAATATAATAATAGCAGTAATAATTATTATGATTTGAAAGCCACTGGCATTGTCGCAATCACCATCAGTCAATTGCAAAAGGCAGCTTGGCTTGCAACAGCTTAAATCCTGCTGTGAATCGTTTAACACAGGGATGTGTCAATTCATTTTCCCAGTGAAACTGTTGTGGAGGGCAGAACAATAGGGTTGTGATTCTGTGAAGGTCTGTAGGCATGCACACACATCAAATCTTAACCCAACAACAACCCTTGGAAGTACAGTGGTCTAAAGCACCCTGTTATTAAAACCAGCTGCCTGCAATTACTGCTGGTTCGAATCTCGCCAGGCTCAAGGTTGACTCAGCTTTCCATCCTTTCAAAGGAAGGTGAAATGAGGACCCAGATTGTGGGGGCAATAAGCTGACTTTGTATAAAATATACAAAAGTATGAAGGCTATTGCTTAGCGCATTGTAAGCCGCCCTGAGTCTCCGGAGAAGGGCGGCATATAAATCAAATTTAAAAACAAACAAACAAACAAACAAAAAAACCAAAAGATGTTTCCCATCGGAGTCACCCCCTTCCCTGCAACAGATCCATCTCTCACATCAAATACAAGTTGTTGTGTGAAGCTACAATTTGCATTCATGATGGGGGGACGCAGCTAATGTCACGATGAAAATATGGTGCAGGCAGGGGTTATAGTGAGTCACGACGAGATTTAAATTCCCCTCAGAAAAGCATAAAATGCACCTCACCTTTTCTCCCTTGATCCCATCTTGTCCCCTTTTTCCCTGGATTAAAAAAGAAAGAAAAAGAATAAACGCCATTTTTATGGTAAATCTGCAGAGTGGAGTAAATCAGTAAACGTTTGATTTTCATATTGTTAGTCCTCACTTAGTGACAACAATTGGGGCTATCAACTCCGTCGCTTAGTGGAATATCGTATGATCCTGATGGACTTATGGCCTCACTTCCCCTTCCCCAGAAAGAGACTGTGAATTCTAGTTCTGCCTTGGGTGAAAGCCAGCTGGGTTGTTTGAGGTCAATCACCAGGGGATAGTGAGTTCTAGTCCTGCCTTATGTATGAAAACCAACTGGGTGACTTGGGGCTGATCACCAGGAGAGAGTGAGTTCTAGTCCTGCCTAATGTATGAAAGCCAGCTGGGTGACTTTGGGCTGATCACCAGGAGACAGTGAGTTCTAGTCCTGCCTTATGTTATGAAAGCCAACTGGGTGACTTTGGGCTGATCACCAGGAGACAGTGAGTTCTAGTCCTGCCTAATGTATGAAAGCCAGCTGGGTGACTGGGCCAAACACCAGGAGACAGTGAGTTCTAGTCCTGCCTTATGTTATGAAAGCCAACTGGGTGACTTTGGGCTGATCACCAGGAGATGGTGAGTTCTAGTCCTGCCTTATGTATGAAAGCCAGCTGGGTGACTTTGGACTGATCACCAGGAGAGAGTGAGTTCTAGTCCTGCCTAATGTATGAAAGCCAACTGGGTGACTTTGGGCTGATCACCAGGAGACAGTGAGTTCTAGTCCTGCCTAATGTATGAAAGCCAGCTGGGTGACTCTGGGCCAAACACCAGGAGACAGTGAGTTCTAGTCCTGCCTTATGTTATGAAAGCCAACTGGGTGACTTTGGGCTGATCACCTGGAGAGAGAGTGAGTTCTAGTCCTGCCTAATGTATGAAAGCCAGCTGGGCGACTTTGGGCTGATCACCTGGAGAGAGTGAGTTCTAGTCCTGCCTAATGTATGAAAGCAAGCTGGGTGACTTTGGGCCAAACACCAGGAGACAGTGAGTTCTAGTCCTGCCTTATGCCTGAAAGCCAGCTGCATGACTTAGAGCCAATCACCAGGAGACGGTGAGTTCTAGTCCGCCTTAGACTTAGTCCCGCCTTAGGCTGGATGAGTTTGGGCCAGTCTCTCTCTCTCAGCCAACCTACCTCACCAGGTTGTTGTGGGAAAATAAGAGGAGGAAGCTACGTTGGATATATTCACTGCCTTGAGTTATTTATAAAAAATAATAAAAATAAAAATGAAGGCAGGATGTAAACAGACAAAGGAGCCAAGAAATCTTTGCGGCTGTTCTTACCCTTAAGCCAGGGGGTCCTTCTTCCCCAGGAAATCCTTGCTCCCCTAAAGAGAAAGCCAGAATCAATTCAGGAGAAATTCCTGCTTGAAAAACAGAACTAAGCATAACAACAAAGATTTGGGTGAATTAAAAATAATTCAAAACTATTTTTAAGCTAATTAAAATAATAATTCAGCTAATTAAAAAAATGCAATTTTTTAAAAAAAAGTTAAGACTATTTGTAGCAACTTTTCGCCCAGTGTCTTTTGTTTACACACACACACACACATAAGCGGCTATTTCCTTAGGTGGGAATACAGTACAGGTAGTCCTCGATTTACAACCAGTCTCATTTAGCGACCACTGGAAGTTACCGCAGACTCCAAAAGAAGTACTTATCACACATACACGCAAAGCAGAGGTGGGTTTCAGTAGGTTCTGACCAGTTCTGGCGAACCCGTAGCGGAAATTTTGAGTAGTTCGGAAAATCGGTAGTAAAAATTCTGATTGGCCCCGCCCCCATCTATTCTCTGCCTCCTGAGTCCCAGCTGATTGGGAGGAAATGGGGATTTTGCAGTATCCTTCCCCTGGAGTGGGGAGGGAATGGAGATTTTACAGTATCTTTCCCCTGGAGTGAGAAGGGAATGGTGATTTTATAGTATCCTTCCCCTGGATTAGGGAGGAAATGGAGATTTTACAGTATCTTTCCCCTGGAGTGAGAAGGGAATGGTGATTTTATAGTATCCTTCCCCTGGATTAGGGAGGAAATGGAGATTTTAGAGTATCCTTCCCCTGGAGTGGGGAGGGAATGGAGATTTTAGAGTATCTTTCCCCTGAAGTGAGAAGGGAATGGAGATTTTACAGTATTTTTCTCCTGGAGTGGGGAGGGAATGGAGATTTACAGTATCCTTTCCCTGCCATGCCCACCAAGCCACGCCCACCAAGACACACCCACAGAACGGTAGTAAAAAAATTTGAAACCCATCACTGATGCAAAACGCATTTTGTTTTATATACTTTTTTCTTTTTGTATTGTAATTTTCTTTTTTTGTTTGTTTGTTTTCGTATTGTAATTTTTTTCCTCCCCCCCTGTTTAATTCTGTATTTTAACCTTGGAAATAATAATAATAAAAATAAATAAAAAAAGAGGTAATGCAATGATGCAATTCCAAAGTTCTGATGGACAAGCCTGTTTTCGGCCAAAAACCTTGCTGGGCTAAAATGGCTTCCCTTAATGACGGCAGCGTTGGCTTAACAACCATAGCATTCGCTTAATGACCGCTGCCATAAAATCAGGCATGGTCGTATGATTCCTTAACATGACTTAACTGCAACGCTGTGATTAATTTCAGTCGTAAGTCGAGGACTACCTATATGGAGTATCCAAAATTATTCAGAGCCAGAAAAGAAGAGAAGTTACTTTCTTTTGTGAATTTTAATTGAATTTTAATTTTAAATTTGGATCGTCTCGTAAAGCCGTCAGCAGAAAATCCTCAGGCTGTTGCCGAAGGTATCTTTCATTTTGAAATATGAACGGAAAACCATCTATCAAAACTCACTTTTGGCCCCTGGAGTCCTGGATGCCCCATAATTCCCTGCGATGGGACATAAAGAAGACAATTATTGCATCCTATCAAATGTTTATTTATTAATTTTGCAGCCTTTCTTCCCCCAAAGCTCCCCATTCGGGCTCAAAATCAACATTTCCTTTTTCTTAAGATTCACTTTCTTTCATTTTTGGTGTTCCATTTAGAAAGAAGAAAGAAGTTAGCACCCACCCCTCTCCTAGGAAAATGAGATATTTTAGGAAATATTAAAAAGGGCAGAATATTTCCCGTAAAAGCGAGGCAGAAACTCAGCCCTGCCCCCCATCTTTGTCAATGGGCCATTAAGGCCTGGACTAGTCTATTCTACATAACAAAGATCTACCTCCTTCAGGCAGAGCCATAGTAGGAATTGCCCAAAGCCCTTTCATTACATCATCACCCAGCAAGGCTCAACCAAGCCTGGGACAAAGACAACCTACAAAGTTACCCCTGCATGACCCCATGGGAGTCTGACATCCAATCAGAATACAAGCTCAAATTCAAAGCCCAACAGAGGGCATAAAACTCAGGCATTCTCAGCATCTCTGCCCTTTGTGCCCAGGATCTCCAAGGCATGTGATCCTGTCCACCATTAAACCATCATTCCAAGCAACTTCCATGAATCCAGTGTCTTTTTCCCCACTTGGAACTGAACCCAGAAGGATATTTCTTCCAACACAGAGAAAGGGGAATTTATTTTGGTTACGGACTTCTACGCTAGTTTTTTTTTTCCGTTTGTTTTTTGCAGAGAGGTGGCAGCAAAGATATACCAAGAAATATTTAAAAATTGAGTGAAAGGAAAGGAAAGGAGAAGAGAGGGAAGGAAAGGCCAAGGCAAGGAAGGGAGGACGAGAGGAGAAGGGAAGGGGAAGGAAAGGGAAAAGGAAGGCAATGCAAGAAAAAAAGAAAAAGAAAATTCACTTTTAAAAAGCGGGAGGGGATAGGATTAATTTTTCTTGAAGGGCTGAATTGTCTCAGCATCAACTGTTTGACCTTGAGCAAGCTTAGAAGCTAAGCAGGGTCAGACCAGGCTGGTATCTGGATGGGAGACTACAACTATAATCCTTGATTTACAACCACAATTGAGCCCAAAATTTCTGTTGCTAAGTGTGATGGTGATCAAAAGAGGTGGCTTTTTTTTCTTTGGCCCTGTTTCACGACCTTTCTAACCACCGTTGTTAAGTGAACCACCGCAGCAGTTACATTAGTCACAGGGTTGTTAAGCGAATCTGGCTTTATCTGCTTAGTCGCAAAAGGGGATCGTGTGACCCCGGGGACATTGCAACCGTCATACGCACATGCCAGTTGCCAAGCATCTAAATTTGGATCATGTGACCATGGGAATGCTGCAAATTTAATTAATAATAATAATAAATAATCAGCGTGAAAAACAGTCATAAGTCCCTTTTCTCAGTGCCATTGTAACGGTCGCTAAACGAATGGTTGTAAGTCAAGGACTAGCTGTACTGGTTGTTCATTGTTCTTTGAGGTCAGCGACGGATGGGCTCCAGATGTTTAATATTCTGTAATCCGTCAAAAGATATTTCTGTTTGTATTATTATTACAATCTGTAGGTATTATTTTGAACCCATAATTAAAGAACAAAACTTTATGACAGAATCAACGCCTACCTTATCTCCTTCGTTTCCCTTTAACCCTGGCATCCCCATCAGTCCGATTCCAACCTCGCCCTAAAATGGAAGAAGTGAAGATTTTTTTATTTATTTATTTATTTATTTATTTATTTATTTATTTATTTATTTATTTATTTATTTATTTAAATTTTTATACCGCCCTTCTCCCGAGGGACTCAGGGCGGTACACAGCCACAATAAAACACGTAAATCCATACAATTTAAAAACAATTTAAAACTTATTAAAATAATTTGGCCTTATATTTAAAAAACTAAAACACCCATTAAAATTCGTTATTAAGCCTGCCCAGTCTGTTGAAACAGTAAAGTCTTAAGGGCACGGCGAAAGGTACGTAGGTCAGGGATCATACGAATCCCCGGGGGCAATTCGTTCCAGAGGGCAGGTGCCCCCACAGAGAAGGCTCTCCCCCTGGGGGTCGCCAGTCGACATTGTTTGGCCCACGGCACCCAGAGGAGCCCCTCTCTATGAGAGTGTACCGGCCGGTGGGAGGCTATTGGTGGCAGTAGGCGGTCCCGTAAGTAGTCAGGTCCTAAGCCATGGAGCGCTCTAAAGGTGGTAACCAGAACCTTGAAGCGCACCCGGAAGACCACCGGGAGCCAGTGCAGCTCGCGCAGGAGGGGTGTTACATGGGAACGCCATGTCGCTCCCATTACCACCCGCGCGGCCGCACTCTGCGCCAGTTGGAGCCTCCGGATGCTCCTCAAGGGGAGCCCCATGTAGAGAGCGTTACAATAGTCCAGGCAGGAAGTGACGAGCGCCTGAGTGACTGTGCGTAAGGAGTCCCGATCCAGAAAGGGACGCAACTGGCGAATCAGGCGAACCTGATAAAAAATCCTCCCGGTCACGGCCGTCAAATGCTCTTCTAAAGACAGCCGTGAATCCAGGAGGACACCCAAGTTGCGAGCCCTGTCCGTGGGGGCCAATGATTTGCCCCCAATAGTCAGTGATGGCACCAACTGACTATATCGGGATGCCGGAAACCACAGCCACTCGGTCTTGGATGGGTTGAGCCTGAGCCTATTCCTCCCCATCCAGATCCGCACGGCTTCCAGGCACCAGGACATCACTTCAAGGGCATCGTTGCGGTGGTCCGGTAGGTCATTACTACCGGTTCGCCCGAACTTGTCCGAACCAGCTGAATAACACTTCTGGGCAAGACCGAAGCTGTGACAATCGGGAGGAGAAGATTGAGTTGGAGCAGTTTGTGAACAGAGGATCGGAACTGAGGTGAAACTATTTTCAACTTCTAAACTAGAGATTTAAACCAGTGGTGAAATCTAAAATTTGTTACTACCGGTTCTGTGGGGGTGGCTTGGTGGGTGGGTGGGGTTAATGTGACTGGGTGGGAATGGCCATTTTTTTTTTTTTTACTTTTAAAACCATTTTTTCTACAACCTCTTTGCCAAAGAAGTTGTAAAAAAATGCTTTCAAAAGGCTCTGACGATCCCAGCTGAGTTGCCTGATCGGCAGAGGCTTTTTTTCTTTTAAATGCCTCTGCCGATCAGGCAACTCAGCTTGGATCGTCAGAGGCATTTAAAAGAAAAAAAAGCCTCTGATGATCACGCGGCTCAGCTGGGCATGGGGGGGGGCGCCAGGGATTTTTGCTACCGGTTCTCCGAACCACCCGCCTCCATCGCTACCGGATCGGGTGATCCGGTCCGAACTGGGAGCATTTCACCCCTGATTTAAACCCAATAAAAGAATTTTTAAAAGAAAGATCCTTAAAAGAAAGCATGAGAAAGCGGCGAATTAGTACACGGAGATGGATCGTAGACCCTAAAGAGAAATAAAACTTTAATGGGAGAATATGAAGCTTTCAACTTTAAAATATAGAAAGATCGGACTGGAACTTGCAGTGTTAAAAAAAGTGACTTTAATTTGCTGATAATATATATATATATTTAAATTTGATTTATATACCGCCCTTCTCCGGAGACTCAGGGCAGCTTACAATGCGTTAAGCAATAGCCTTCATCCTTTTGTATATTTTATACAAAGTCAGCTTATTGCCCCCACAATCTGGGTCCTCAATTTACCTACCTTAGAAAGGATGGAAGGCTGAGTCAACCTTGAGCCTTGGCGAGATTCGAACCTGCAGTAATTGCAGGCAGCTGGTCTTAATAACAGGGTGCTTTAGACCACTGTACTACCAATATCGTCTGATTACTGGAAGATATAGGACAGGTACCTTTTCACCTTTGGCTCCCGGAAGTCCAGGTGGACCATCCAGTCCGATTGGACCAGGTAAGCCAGGTTTCCCCTGAAAAAGTCAAAAAGAGTCTCTTTGTTAGGTTTCCGCTGAGATAAGGATACACCTGTCTAGAAAGTTAATTCAACCTTTAAGCCATATTAGAGGGCTAACAGCAATTGAATAGGCAGGGATGGTACAGGTAGTCCTTGACTTATGACTACAATTGGGAAGGCACAAGGAGCTAATTATAAATGAGGGTTACCAACTTATTTGCTTTGTCCCTACTAGGGGTATCATCTCCCTTGAGTAAAAACATTCCTACAGCTCTTCCTCCACACGATGAAGAGATCCGGTTAGGAGCAGAAGATCCCACTCACCAATTCTCCTCTTCCTCCTTTCTCTCCTTTGACCCCGCTTCTGCCTCGGGGACCCTAAAAAAACAAAGAGGTTGGCTTTACAAAACACGCTGAGCCAGGCGTGATTGACAGCTCGTGATTGAGACGTGGTCGAAATCCAGTCGTGGTCTTGGCAGCAACCAGGCCATTACAGGGCAGGTAGTTCTCGACTTACAACGTTTTGTTTAGCGACCGTTCAAAATGACTGAAAAAAAAAGTGACTAAGGAGTGGTCCTCGCACTTATGACCGTCCCGGCGTTTCCCCCCCCCACAGTCACATGATCAAAATTTGAGTGCTTGGCAACTGGCATGTATTTATGACGGTTGCAGAAACCCGGGGTCACATGATCGCCATTTTGTGACGTTCCCAGCCAGTTTCCAACAAGCAAAGTCAATGGGGAGAAGCCCCATTTGCTTAATGACTTAATTGCAGTGATTTGCTCAACCAGCGTAGCCAAATAGCTCGCCAAATGGGATGCGATTCACTTAACAACTGTCTTGCTTAGCAACAGAACACCTAATCTTCATTGTGGTCGTAAATCGAGGGCTACCTGAATGGTTTCACCCAGTTGATTTTAATCTGGGGATAGCAAAGGCGTTGTGTTCTGTAGATGTCGGTACAAGGCATGAGCATTTATGCAAATGGAAAGTCATCAAGGAGAGAAGTAACCTAGAACTAAGGAGAAATTTCCTGACAGTGAGAAACAAATTAACCGGTGGAACAGCTTGCCACCAGAAGTTGTGAATGAAAGAAGAGATTGGACAGCCACTTGTCTGAGGTGGTATAGGCTCTCCTGCTTGAACAGGGAACTGGACTAGAAAACCTCTAAGGTCCCTTCTGTTCTGTTCTGTTCTGTTCTGTTCCGTTCCGTTCCGTTCCGTTCCGTTCTATTCTAGTATTCTATTCTATTATTCTATTCTATTTTCTATTTTATTCTATTCTATATTCTATTCTATTCTATTCTATTCTATTCTATTCTATTCTATTCTATTCTATTTATAACTGAAAGGTCATTTCACTGCTAGGAACAGATGAATCTTAATATTTGTACACATTCATCTCCCATTTTTCTACATCGCTTTGCAAATCTTTCTCAATAGTCTTCGCACAGAGTTCGTTCAGTTATACACCATTTTCTACATGATTGCCCCAATATGCTTCTTTTCATGTGCTCTAATTCATAATTTTATGAACCCGCTGTATCATGCACGATCATATTCCGAGACATAATATTTACAGAGAACTCCATTGCAAATTCCAGAGACGCTCGAAATCATAAGATCCGGTTTGCATAGTAATGTAAGAAAAGGGAATTATAAAAATAGGAGGTTCATGAATGCCCCATGCCTGACTCGCTTTTTTATTAAGAGCTTTGAAGAGGGTTTTGGACTGATAAAATAATAATTTAAATCTTTTTTTTTTAATGATACTGTGCTTGAGAATACCTAACAATCACATAGAGCAGTGATGGCTAACCTTTTTGCCATCACGTGCCAGGAAGGAGGGGGGGCAGGGGAGGTTCACGTGCACGCGTGCCCACACCCATAATTCTATGTGCCCCGCCCCGCGCATGCACATGTGCATGTGACTCCCCACCCCCACCCCTCTGCTCTTGGCACGTGATGGCCCGTTTTTCTTTCTCACCTGGCTCCAGTTCTTCTCTATGCATCTGGGGAGGGCGAAAACAGCCTTCCCCATCCCATCAGAGGCCCTCCGGAGGCCCGAAACAGCCCATTTCCCAATTTCCAGTTGGACAGGAAGTGATGTTTTTTGCTGTCCCCAGCCTCCAGAGACTCCCGGAGCTAAGCTGGCGTGCCAGGCGACATGGCTCCGTGTGCCACCTGTGGCATGCGTGCCATAGGTTCGCCATCACGGACATAAAGTCTTTGGTGCTCTCTGAGCTTGGTGGTTTTCTTGTAGACGTTTTATGACTGAACTAGGGAACATCATCAGTGCTAGGAGGGAATGGGGTTTGCAGAGAGGAGGAGGAGGAGGAGGAGGAGGAGGAGGAGGAGGAAGAAGAAGAAGAAAAGGACAGTGGGTTTCTTGGTGCTCTCTGAGCTTGGTGATTTTCTTGTAGACGTTTCATGACCCAACTAGGGAACATCATCAGTGCTACATAAGATGGGTTTGTGGAGAGGAGGAGGAGGAGGAGGGCCATGTTACATTTGTTAAGTGAATCACTGCAGCTGTTAAATGAGTAACACGGTTATTAAGTGAATCTGGTTTCCCCATTAGACTTTGCTTTCCAGAAGGTCACAAAAGGGAATCACAAGAGCCTGGGACACTGCCACCATATATGTGAGTCAGTTGTCAAGCATCCAAATGTAACCATGGGGATGCTGCACATAAGTGTGAAAAGTCACTTTTTTCAGTGCCATTGTAACTTGGGCCACTGTTGTAGCTTGAGGATTACCTGTATTATGAGTAATAATATGCTTGCACCCAGAGATTACATCCTAGATTCAATTTGTATGAAGGCCAACACCAGTTAGAGATCTGGCAGTTGTGATTTCACATTCGTGTGTGTGTGTGTGTGTTGTGGCCTGCCAGCGGCCTGCGTAGATCGTGGCTGATCCCAATGAAGAGGAGGCTGGTGTGGTGTCGTGCCAGCAGCCTGCGCAGCCAGCGCTCGTGTCGGACAATGAGGAGACCGAAGAGGATGTGATGCCAGAGGCAGAGACTCAGGCAGGGCCTTCAGAACCTCCAGAGGCTCCTTCAAGTGCAGAGAGCGAAGTGGAGGAGCCTCTCCTCAAAGCTCGGGCACGCAAGGCTGCCAAAAGGCAGGAGTGGCTACTCAGGAGGAGGAGGTCTCCTCGAGAGTAAGGTTTGAGGATAATTGGCCACTCCCTTAGCCTATTTAAGTTGCACGCAGTTAGTAATTTCTTGCTGGAAACAACATGTAATTATTACAGAGCATTTTGGAGAGTGAGTGTCTTATCATATCTTGTTTTCTGGGCTGGTTGCCAACCTTTGCCGGACTTTGTTTATTCTTGGTACGTTATAACTTTGATAAGGACCGTTGGTGTGTGTCACAATCCTTGGGAATCCGGAGCTGGGATCCAGAACAGTGTGTGAATAACTAGGCACACACGCACACAGACATATACCACATTTTCAAAGTAACAAGTAGTTGAGCCATTAGTGATCTTCATGGGTTTATTTTTCATGTTCAACTTCCATAGCCTTCTAGTGTTCTACTAATCTCTTAAGATGGAAATCTCTTGAGTAAATATGAACGTGAAAAGATGGCAATAGCGCTTAGACTTATATACCGCTTCACAGTGCTTTCCAACCCTCTCTAAGCGGTTTACAGAGTCAGCCTCTTGCCCCCAACCATCTGGGTCCTCATTTGACCCACCTCGGAAGGATGGAAGGCTGAGTCGACCTTGAGCCGGTCAGGATTGAACTCCTGGCAGTTGCCAGAATTAGCTTGAAATACTACAGTCTCACCACTGTGCCACCACAGCTCTTCCTTCCTTCCTTCCTTCTTTCCTTCCTTCCTTCCTTTCCTCCCTCCCTCCCTCCTTCCTTCCTTCCTTCCTTCCATCTTTTCCTTCCTTCCATCCATCCATCTTTTCCTTCCTTCCATCCATCCATCTTTTCCTTCCTTTCTTCCATTTTTTTCCTTCCTTTCTCCCTCCCTCCCTCCCTTCCATCTTTTCCTTCCTTCCTTCCTTCCTTCCTTCCTTCCTTCCTTCCTCCCTCCCTCCCTCCCTCCCTCCCTCCCTCCCTCTCTCCCTCCCTCCTTCCCAAGCAATAACACTTAGACTTATACACGGCTTCACAGTGCTTTCCAGCCCTCTCTAAGCGGTTTACAGAGACAGCCTCTTGCCCCCAACAATCTGGGTCCTCATTTTACCTACCTGGGAAGGATGGAAGGCTGAGTCAACCTTGAGCCTGGGGAGATTCGAACTGCCAAATTCCAGGCAGCCGGCAGTCAGCAGAAGAAGTAGCCTGCAGTGCTGCACTCTAACCGCTGCGCCACCGTGGCGCAGACCTCACGGGAAAAGAATCTCATGGAGTCTAAAAGAGGAACCGACACTAAACGAAGAAAAACACTACTTACTCTGAGGCCTGGGTCTCCAGCTTCACCCTGGAATTGAAACAGCGGAACATGTCACAAAGTGCGGAAACGTTTCACAGGATAACGGAATCACTGAATTGGAAGCGACTTTGGGGGTCTTCTAGTCCAACCCCCTGCTCAAGTGGGAGACCTTACTATTGCGGACAGATGGTTGTCTCTTCTTAAAAGCCTCCAGTGTTGGAGCACCAACAATTTCTGGAGGCAAGGAGTTCCACTGGTTAATTGTTCTCCCTGTCAGGAAATTTCCTCCTTAATTCTAGGTTGCTTCTCTCCTTGATTAGTTTCCACCCATTGCTTCCTGTCCTGCCCTCTGGTGCTTTGGAGAATAGCTTGACCCCCTCCTCTTTCTGGCAGCCCCTCAAATATTGGAAGACTGCTATCATGTCTCCCCTAGTCCTCCTTTTCATTAAACTAGACATATCCAATTCCTGCAACCCATTCTTCGTATGCTTTAGCCTTCATACATTTAACTGATTGGCTGAAAAGTCTAGAGTCGTGATGGCGAACCTATGGCACGCGTGGCACAGGTGGCACGCGGAGCCATATTGGTGGGCACACGAGTGTTGAACTAGCTCAGCTGCAGCGTGCATGTGCGCGCCGGCCAGCTGATTTTCGAGCCTTCTGGGCCCACCGGAAGTCGGCAAATGGGCTGACTTCCGAGGGCCTCTGAGGGAGTTGCGGAAGGCCATTTTCACCTTCCACAGGCTCCAAGAAAGCCTCTGGAGCCTTGGAAGGGCGAAAAACGGGCCTACAGGGCCCACCGTGCCATTGCCTGCCAAAAGCGAGGGTAGCGCGGTGGGGTGGGGCGTGTTGAATTATGGGTGTGGGCACGTGCGTGTGTGACCCCCCCTGCTCTCCCTGCTTTTGGCACGTGACGGCAAAAAGGTTAGCCATCACTGGTCTAGAGCAGTGGTGGGTTTATCCCGGTTCATCCCGGTTCGGCCAAGCCGGTAGTGGTGACGATATGACGTCACCGGTTCTCTTTGTTCGGGAGCTGGGCCCTCCCGCCCCATGTTATTCTTACCTTTTATTTGGCCCCACCCCCAATCTATTGCTGCCCCCCGAGTCCCAGCTGATCGGCTAGAAGGAAAAAATCTGTTTAAACTCTTGCCGCGGGGCTTCAAAGGGCCGCCCTACAGCTGATCAGTGTTAAAAGGCAGTGTGGTGGTAGACCGGTGCCTCCAAAAACAAATGAGTAGACTGGTACAGCTCTGCAAGCAGTTAAAAGCCTGGTAGACCAGTACCTCTGCTAACAAGAGCCAGGTTTAAGGCACGCTGTTATTAAGCTGGTTATTAAGACCAGCTGCCTGCAATTACTGCAGGTTCGAATCTCGCCAAGGCTCAAGGTTGACTCAGCCTTCCATCCTTTCTAAGGTAGGTTAAATGAGGACCCAGTTTGTGGGGGCAATAAGCTGACTTTGTATAAATATCCAAAAGGATGAAGGCTATTGCTGAGCACATTGTAAGCTGCCCTGAGTCTTCGGAGAAGGGCGGCATATAAATCAAATTAAAAAAAAAAAAAAGGCAGAATTGTCACATGACCATCAAGCCACGCCTACAAAATAAGCCACGCCCACAGTACTGGTAGTAAAAACATTTAGAACCCACCCCTGGTCTAGAGTCACAAGCAGAAGTGGTATTCAGCCGGTTCAGACCGGTTCGGGCGAAACGGTTGCGGCAACTGCAGGTGGCTGACCCGGACGAAAAGCCCTCCTATTTAGCCACGTTTTTGAGGCCGGGCACATGAGTGGAAGGTGAGCGCATGAGCAAAGAGCATGCGCGGGAGGCCGGGCGCATGTGCAGAAGTTGCCATGCGCGTAGCGATCATGTGCATGTGGGGCGAACCGGTGGCCACAATATGTGAAACCGCCCCCTGGTCAGAAGCCAAGGAGGCAATATAGGTTGGCTTTAAAAATGCATTGGGAATGATTGACAACTAGGGCAGCCAATGAGACGCAATGCACAACAGATTAACAGAGTTGCAGGTCATCTAGTCCAACCCCCTGCCCAAACAGGAGACCCTACATTGTGGCTCTACCTAGGATCGAACTCACAACCTCCCGATTGTGAGGCTAGAGCTCCACCTCTAGGCCAAAATCTTACATACCTTCACTGACGAGCCAGGCGGTCCCTGGGGTCCAGATAGGCCTGGCAAACCTGGCGGGCCTGCTACACCGGGAACCCCCGGCTGCCCTTTTTGGCCCTGAAATAAACATATAAAATATATTCAGCCAGATATCACAGCAGAGTTTCTCAATCTGGGCAGCTTGGAGACGTTTGGATTTCCGCTCCCAGAATTCCTTCCGGCGAGTAAGAGGCACAGATGCTTAGAATTCTACTTTCTGCTCCCAAGATGATACTAATCTGATCTGAAGCTTTGGGGTGACAGTCTTAACCCTCCCAGATGTCAGAAGAGGAAAAAGATCTGTAGAAAAGGAAAAGGGAGAAATATCTGTAGCTCAGGGCTGAATTGTGGGGAACGATTCAAAAAATTTACAGAGGTGCAGAAATGGATAGACTAACGTTGAAATTGAAAGATAAGGAAGACTCGCAGTATTTTAAGATATGGCACAGTTGGTATGAGTGGATAAACCAATGGAAAAGAAGGTAAAGTCAAAATTTAGTAAGAAATTAAAAGTAATAATTATACACCGTCGTTAAGGGAAAAAAAGGAAAATAAGTTTTTGTATATATGTGTACTTATATACATTATATATACTTTGTTTGTTGTTTGTTGATATTGTTGATTGTATTTAAAGGTTGTGAATGTTTTATACAATTTTATTTTTTTTAAAATCTAATAAAGTTTGTTTTTTAAAATTAAAAAAAAAGAAAAGGAAAAGGGAGAAATATCTGTAGCTCAGGTCCTCCTCCTCCTCCTCCTCCTCCTCCTCCTCCTCTCCTCCTCCTCCTCCTCCTCCTCCTCCTCCTCCTCCTCCTCCTCCTCCCTTTCTCCTTCCTTTCTCCCTCCTCCCCTTCTTCTTTTCCTCCATTCCCTAAAGCCTCCTCCTCCTCCTATCACTGATGATGTTACCTAGTTGGGTCATAAAACATCTACCAGAAAACAACCAAGCTCAGAGAGCTCCGAGGACCCCTCAAAATATTTTCTTTTACTTACAGGAGGACCTGGATGTCCGCTTTTTCCTGAGATGACCTCCATGCTTCCAAGCACGTATCCTGGTTCTCCCTGCAGAAGAGACGTTGTGTTTATGTACTGCTTATCCGACAGAGCCCAAATCTACTTGTGGTATAAAACCCACAATGTGGCTTTTTATGACCTGAGGATCAATTCATGCACATACAGTTGTGATCGGTGAATTATACATTGGGTGTGCTTTCTGCTTGATGGTTTGTCAGGTGGCAATCCCTGCTTATCTGGCTCATTCGATGATGTATTTTAGAGATCCACAAGTTCCTTTACTCCAATATGAAGACCAGGAGAAGATCTCTCAATACAGAGATTTAACAATTTAGGGTTGTTAAAGGGTTTGAAAAAGGACTTTCAGGGTCTGTCTCTCAAATGCTACCCAAATATAAGACCCCCAGTTTGTGTCAAGATTGAACCGCTTTGCTTCTTTCAAAACTTAACGCTTTTCAACTTGCCAATAAACTGGAGAGAGGGAAATGGGAAATGGAATGTGGAGAAGGTATGCAGAGATTGTGGAAGCCATCAAGGTCACCGCTGCAGGTGCTCGGGAAAGAGAGGGACTGTTCCCATAACAAAAAAAAAAACAACATTTCATAATTGGACAATGGGCTTACCCAAGGGTGGGGAGAATGGGAAGTTATGGGAAGAGCCTTGGTGGCGCAGCAGACTAAAGCACTGTTAAGAAACACCAGCTGCCTGCAATTACTGCAAGTTCAAATCTCACCAGGCTCAAGGTTGACTCAGCCTTCCATCCTTTCGAGGTAGGTAAAATGAGGACCCGGTTTGTGAGGGCAATAAGCTGACTTTGTATAAAAAAAGAACACCGCTTGGGGGCCCCCCGAAAGCCCTACTAAGCAGGTATATACAAAAGTATGAAGGCTATTGCTTAACGCATTGTAAGCCACCCTGAGTCTCCGGAGAAGGGTGCCATATAAATCGAACCAATAAATAAATAAATTGTTTAACTGGGTCAAACCTTTGCGCAGGAAAAACCAGAGCTGGTTTCTTTACTTCAGTACCCACATGGTGTAGCCAATAAAGTTTTGCTTTCGGGAATTCAATTTTTTTTTTAAATTTGATTTATATGCCACCCTTCTCCGGAGACTCAGGGCGGCTTACAATGCGTTAAGCAATAGCCTTCATACTTTTTGTATATTTACACAAAGTCAGTTTATTGCCCCCACAAACTGGGTCCTCATTTTACCTACCTTAGAAAGGATGGAAGGCTGAGTCAACCTTGAGCCTGGTGAGATTCGAACTTACAGTAATTGCAGACAGCTGGTGTTAATCGCAATGCTTTTAGTCTGCTGAGCCACCAGGCTCTTAACTCTCCCGAGAGTGTTTTCCTTGTTTTGAGTTTGCTTATTGGACAGTTGACATTTTGATTGTGTACAAGTAGTCCTTGACTGGATAAGTGTGAGGACTGTACAGCACCATTGTGCCATTGTGGTCACTAAATGAATAGTTGTAAGTCGAGGACTAACTGTAAAGCAAGTATCTAAGCTCATGGGGTCCTTTCAACACAACAGTTCTTGCTCTAATTTCAGGTAAAAGGTCTTTTCAAGTCCCAATTCTGAAGAATCTTTATGGAAGATTGAACTAGAAAATATTGCACAACATGTGGGTGCCTTCGCAAAAGTCAGGTGCCCTTGGCATAGAGCGGGGTCTCCAAATCTGGCAACTTTAAGACCAATAAACTTCAACTCCTAGCATTCCTCTGCCAGCCATGCAGTGGTGGGTTTCAAAAATTTTTACTACCGGTTCTGTGGGTGTGGCTTGGTGGGCGTGGCATGGCTTGGTGGGCATGGCTTGGTGGGCGTGGCATGGGAAGGATACTGTAAAATCTCCATTCCCTCCCCAATCCAGGGGAAGGATACTGCAAAATCCCCATTTCCTCCCGATCAGCTGGGACTCGCGAGGCAGGGAATAGATGGGGGCGTGGCCAGTCAGAATTTTTACTACCGGTTCTCCGAACTACTCAGAATTTCTGCTACCAGTTCGCCAGAACTGGTCAGAACCTGATGAAACCCACCTCTGCAGCCATGGCTGGCGGGAGAATTCTGAGAGTTGAAGTCCACATGGTCTTAAAGTTGCCACATTTGGAGATCCCTGGCATAGAACTAAGGCTACCTATTACATCTTAGGTGTGGTATCAACACGGTTTTAGTGTGTACAAGTGTAAAACACAAAACAAAAACTCACTCTGTCTCCTTTAGACCCAGATGGGCCTGGGAATCCAGGAAGTCCCTAGTAAAACCATGCAGAGAAAACAGATTTAGCTTGGTGCCAAAACAGGAGCGTTCAAAATCATGCACTCATATATCACACAAATCCAGAACTGAGACCCAGTTCGATCTAGTGGCTAAGGCACCAGCTAGAAACCAGGAGACGGTGAATTCTAGTCCTGCCTTAGGCATGAAAGCCAGCTGGATGGCTTTGGGCCAATCACCAGGAGATGGTGAGTTCTAGTTCTGGCCTAACCATGAAAGCTGACTGGGTGACTTTGGGCCAATCACCAAGAGACAGTGAATTCTAGTCCCGTGTTAGGCGTGAAAGCTGGCTGGCTGGCTTTGGGCCAATCACCAGGAGACAATGAGTTCTTGTTCTGGCTTAACCATGAAAGCTGACTTTGAACTAATCACAAGGAGACTGTGAGTTCTAGTCCCACCTTAGACATTAAAGCCGCTGAATGATTTTAGGCCAATTGTCGAGAAACATTGAGTACTAGTCCTACTTTAGGCATGAAAGCCAGTTGAGTGACTTTTGGCCAATTACCAGGAGACAGTGAGTTCTAGTTCTGCCTTAGGCATGAAAGCCAGCTGGGTAACTTAGGGTTAATCACCAGGAGACAATGAGTTCTAGTTCCACCTGAGGCATGAAAGCCAGTTGTGTGACTTTGGGCCAATTCCCAGGAGACAGTGAGTTCTAGTTCTACCTTAGGCATGAAAGCCAGTTGAGTGATTTAGGGTTAATCACCAGGAGACAGTGAGTTCTAGTTCCACCTTAGGCATGAAAGCCAGCTGGGTGACTTAGGGCTAATCACCAGGAGATGGTGAGTTCTAGTCCTGCCTTAGGCATGAAAGTCACTGGCTGGGTGACTTTGTGCCAATTACCAGGAGACGGTGAGTTCTAGTCCCACTTTAGCCATGAAAGCCTGCTGCGGACTAGAACTCACCGTCTCCTAGCTTCTAGATTAGTACTTTAACCACCTGCACAGATTCTCTATATGCAACTTACTTGGTCTCCTTGTATGCCCGGGAGTCCCTGCCCATTAAGAGAGAGAGAGAGAAGCTGTTAAAAACGAAATCATCAGGGTAACTTTTATAAATCAATTGTGATCTTAAGGGCATGAAATATCTACTCTTAATCCAGGGGAGCCTGGTGGGCCCACTCGTCCAGGTCTGCCAGGTAATCCCGGGATCCCATCTTTTCCCGGAAATCCCTAAAAAAAGCAGGAAAGAGGAGAGGATACGGGTGAGAAACACGGCCCACCTCCTGTTGAGGGCTTAACAGACCCCCGTAAAAGGTGGAAGGGATCTATTTGATTTCCAAAGTGGAAATCTACTCACCCGTTCTCCTTTTTCCCCCTTGGTGGCGAAAGCAAACGGGTCGTAGCCTCCTCCTCGGCGTAAACTTCCTCCCACAAAGCTCTGTAGAAGCAAAATCAGTGGTGATATCCAGTTGGTTCTATCCGGTTCAGACAAACCGGTAGCGGCGACTGTGGGAGGCTCCACCCACCTGCCCGGACGTCATCATGTCCCGTTTTTGACCCTCTGCCCTCCGCGCGCACGCTCACATTTGCAAAGCAGTAGCGAAGGTAAGTGAATACCACCCCTGACCAAAGTCCACTCTCATTTCAGACAGTGGTGGGTTTCAACCAGTGTTACCACCGGTTCGCTTCATGCACGCACTTTGTGCATGCTTCATGAGCACGTGCTAGCTTTGCTTGCACGCACACCAAACTTGCGCTCCATGCAAGCGCAGTGTATTAGGGAACAGCTGAGATGCGGCAATCCGCTCTGCTGGGCTAAAAATGACCAACTATAAGGTATGTATAACGCAGGGGTGTTGTGGTCCGCCAGCAGCCGGCGGAACTGGCAGCGGAGTCGGACAGTGAAGAGTCTGAAGAAGAACATGGGCCAGTCCTGGAGTCTGGGGAAGGCCCGGACGAGGACTCTGCGTCGGAGGCAGAGATGGGGCCAGGGCCATCGGGGAGTGATGTGCGGACTCCGGAGCCTCCAGAGGCTGACAGCAGAGAGGCAGAGGAACAGGAGGAGCCTGTTCCTAGTGCACGCATGAGAAGAGCTGCCAGAAGGCAAGAGCAGCTAAAGCAAAAGGGACGACTCAGGAGTAAGGCCAGGAGATGATTGGCCCCTCCCATAAGGCTTAAAAGACCAGCAACAGCTCTTAGGCTCTTTGCCGGAAAACAACGTTGATAGATTTGCTTCTTGTCTTGCTGCATTTCTTTCTTGTCGGCGTCTTTTGCTTCTGAACTTTTGCCAAGAAAAGCCTTTGGCAGGTTGCCTAATTAGACCAAGGTTGGTGATAAAGCTGAAGAATTTGTGTTATGAAGAATTTGTTTTGAATGAGTTTGGATTACACTGAGAATGAGTTAATTCTCAGCTGTTCTAATAATGTCTGTTTCAAACTGATTGCGTCTGATAATACCTTCTTGGGCCTGGGTCACAACAAGGGGCGGATGGGAGGGCCAACCTAACCATCAGAGAGAACCGGTTCGCTCTCAGCTCACCATCGTTGCTACCGGCTCACCTGAACCGGGCTGAACCGATAGAAACCCACCACTGATTCCAGAGGTTTTTGGCCCCTAATGGATCCATCTCAGAATGGTTTTCTTCTACTCCATGTTTTAAAAACAAGGATCTCCAAACTTGGCAACTTTTAAGATTTGTGGTCCTTCAACTCCCAGAATTCCCGCACCAGCGTTCTGGGCTCCATTACGGCTGTAAGTTGAGAATGAGTTGTATCTTTGCTCCTCGTCCAACACTACCGCTGCTATTCCACATTGGGGAGTGGGCTGAAAGAGAAAGGCTGGTCCAACTTCCCCTCAAAGAACTGTCAGGCGCAAAAGAATCAGGATCACAAATTCTAGTTAATATTTACGGCTCGCGCCTATAAGAGTCAATGGAATTCAAGGGGGATTGAACTCGGAGCCTTTGTGGCAACGTAATGATTCTAGGCTGATTGCTCTCTTGACTCCACCTCCAGACTCTGCCTCTTCTTCTCCTGCAAGTTCTTCCATCTCTGGGCAAAGACATGTCCTGGAATCTTTCCTCCTAACCCAGTCCCTTCCCCCAAAGAGTGACCCTGACTCTTAGATTAAGAGTTATCGTTTCGAGTAATGAACTCCGGGAAGTCAGGACTCTGACACTTTGTTCAGATTCAAGAAACCCTTTATTGAGTACATTGTATCAGCACGTAGGAAGGGGAAGCTAGCTCTAAATTATTCCCGCGTTTAGGGATAAAGAATGAGACCTCCCCACCAGGGGTGGGATTCATATACTGTAGCAACCGGTTCGCCCAGCATGGGAAATGTGAGTGCGTGTGCCATCACAAAACACAGCAATTTGCTCATGCGCCCCATCCACACATGCGTGAGATGTCAAACAACAGAGCAATTCTCTCGCATGCACCGTCCGCACATCCATGTGACGTCAAAAACACAGTGGTATAGGACGGGATTGTGCCCGGGTGGGTGGGTACCACCCGCAGGTCGCCACTACCGATTCGCTTGAACCGGTCCGAACCGGCTGAATACCACCTTTGCTCCCCACTCCCGCTATGTCGCTCCGGTCACATGGGCCGATCAGTCCAGATGTAGGTTCCCGCCCAACTTCAACAGGTGTCCATTGACATGACTTTGGTTCTCATGGCTGGTAAATGTTATGGCTAGCCAGCTGAAGCACCACATTCCTAAGCCCCCCCATCCGTGCTTTGCTCCCCCCCCTTCAATGGCAACCCAGGAACGAAGCAGAAGAAGTAAGCACGGTGTCATCTGAAGTCATTTTGCAGGTTGACAAATCCCCCAGGTGACCCCAAATCCATCCCCAGGTGGCCTCCATAACTCAGATTCCCATTTTCTCAATCTTAACCCAAAACTGAACTACAAACGAGCCCACCCCACCCCACCCCCCAGGTTCAGAGGCCATCCATATCTGCCTTACCTCCAAGCATTGTGGGTCACAAGGTCCTTGCGTGGCGAACGCTGCCAGGTGAGTAGGAGGGGAACTGGCGACGGTTGACCTCCTTGGCTCATCAAACAGCTGTTCTGTGGGGCCCATAGCTTTGCCGGCCAACTTAGAACAAAGGACATAAATTAGTCCATTCTGCTCCAACACTTAATCCAGAAGAGCTAAGGGTCATATGATAAACCCAAATATCTCTACAGTCTACACAGGTGGATTCCATCAAGTTAAGGTAAAGATAAAGCTAAAGGTTCCCCTCGCACTTATGTGCTAGTCGTTCCCGACTCTAGGGGGCGGTGCTCATCTCCGTTTCAAAGCCGAAGAGCCAGCGCTGTCCGAAGACGTCTCCGTGGTCATGTGGCCAGCATGACTCAACGCCAAAGGCGCACGGAACGCTGTTCCCTTCCCACCAAAGGTGGTCCCTCTTTTTCTACTTGCATTTTTTTTATGTGCTTTCGAACTGCTAGGTTGGCAGAAGCTGGGACAAGGAACGGGAGCTCACCCCGTTACGCGGCACTCGGGATTCGAACTGCTGAACTGCCGACCTTTTGATCGACAAGCTCAACGTCTTAGCCACTGAGCCACCACGTCCCATTCCGTCAAGTTAAAGTGGCTTAAATTCCAGCTAGTATGTGGGTCGAGGATTGCAACTTTAAAGGCATTCCTATGAATATTTATTTGAAAATAATTTATCAATGTGCTTAAGGGGTTTTGTCCCTGTTCCAAGGGGAGGGGTAGGGGGGGGTGGGCAGGATAAGAGACAGTACAATCCAGACCTGGATTGTCAGAAAAGGAAGAGATTGTGGATAGCTACTTCTACAGTATATCCATTGGGTGAGGATTGTATAAGTTTAGTCCGGCAAGATTGTCTCTACGGTGTATCCAGAGAACCAGCTTGGTCTAGTGGTTAAGGTGCCAGGTTAGGAACTGGGAGACGTGAGTTCTAGCTCTGCCTTAGGCATGAAAGCCAGCAGGGTGACTCTGGGCCAATCACCAGGAGACTGTGACTTCTAGTTCTACCTTAGACATGAACGCTAGCTGGTTGACTTTGGGCCAATCACTAGGAGGCGGTGAGTTCTAGTCCTGCCTTAGGTTTGAAAGCTGGCTGGGTGACTTTGGCCCAATCACCAGGAGATGGTGAGTTCTAGTTCTACCTTAGGCATGAAAGCCATCTGGGTGACTTTGGACAAACACCAGGAGACGATGAGTTCTAGTCCTGCCTTATGCATGAATGCCAGGCTGGTTACTCTGAGTCAAACACCAGGAGACGGTGAGTTCTAGTCCCACTTTAGCTATGAGAGCTAATTGGATGACTTTGTGTCAATCTCTCTCTCTCTCTTTTTCTCTCTCTCTCTCTGTCAACTTGCAAAGCTTTCAAGTTGCCGTGAGCAGAAGGGAGGGAGAACTGAAGTGAATTCCATACATTCTTTCTGACCGCAATCAGAAGGAGGGTGTTAGGTTTCACAGCCAGCCAAAGTGGTTAATTGGAGAATGTGATTTATGACATGGCCAGAGAGGAGGGGAGAGACAGGGTCATAGGGGAACGTAAATCTACGTAGGATCAGTCCTAACTGCATCCCAGTATTGCCGGAATGTTGCTCCTAATAAATGACTATATTTCCTTTGAAGTTTGGATCATGGCTCATGAATTAATTAGGGCATCTTTCGGAAACTTGACACTCTCTCTCTCTCAGCTCAACTCACCAATGGTGAAATCCAACTTTTTTTTTACTACCAGTTCTGTGGGTGTGGCTTGGTGGGCGTGGCTTGGTGGGCGTAGCAAGGGAAGGATACTGCAAAATCTCCATTCCCACCCCACTCCAGGGGAAGGGTACTGCATAATCACCATTCCCTCCCCACTCCAGGGGGAAGGATATTACAAAATCCCCATTCCCACCCCACTCCAGCACCAGCCAAAGGTGGTATTTGCCGGTTCTCCTAACTATTCAAATTTTCCGCTACCGGTTCTCCAGAACCTGCTGGGTTTCACCCCTGCAACTCATCTCACAGAGTTGTTGTTGTTGTGGGGAAAATAGAAGGGGGAAAAAAGGAAAATTGGATATGTTCACCGCTTTGAGCTCTTATTGACAAATAATAAGAGGTGGGGTTTGAAAAACCTAATTACAAAAATATCTAAATAATAAATAAAGAACTCAACCTTGGCTGGATGGCTTTATGTCATTGTTGCACTAGGCCTGATAATGACCATGGTTTGCCAGGACTCAAGATAACCATAATCTTTTCTATATATATAGGATTATGGAATAGTCCACCATAGAATAACACCCCTTTGCCCTGTGCCCAAAAAGAAAGATGCAAAAGAACTTATTTACCTTCAAATGCTCCGGCATATCTCTGTTCCCTTGCCAGGATCCCAAACAAATGATTTCCACCAGTTCTTTGATGATTTGGGTCAAATCGTCAAAAGTGTCAACGTGAAAGAGACGTTCTAAATTCCGATGTAGGAGGATCTGCTTCAATTCCTCCACGTGAGCGCCTGAAATCCCTACAGGAATTATTTGGATTCCTGCAGGACAAGAAAGAGCAGATCAAAAAATCCAGATGGAAAACTGTTCCTATTGGGTATTTTACCAGAGAAATATAGCAAAGAAAATATATTTAATTTAATTTAATTTAATTTCCAATTTATATACCGCCCTTCTCCCTGAGGACTCAGGGCGGTGTACAGCCAAGATAAAAAACATAGAATACAAATATTAAAACATTTAAAAATATATATAAATTTTGGCCCGAAAGTTAAGAATCACAGACTAATTAAAAAAATTTAAAAATTTTTGATTATATGTTTTTGATTTTATATGTTTTTGATTTTTGATATGTTTGATTATACATGTTATAACTGCAGCGAGGATTGTATTTGCACAAAACTGGAAAGCAGGAAAAAACCCTACAGAGGGAGAAGTAATTAAGAAAATATTGGAATGTGCAGAAATGAAATAGATTAACATTGGCAATTAAAGAAAAGGAAGAATCAGAGTATTTTAAGGTACGGGGGCAATTTTACCAATGGTTAGAGAAGAGATATACATGAAAATTATTGTAATTAAAAGATTTTGGGAAAATGAAGATGTAAAAGCAAGATAGAAATTTGGAAAAACTGTTGTAATAAATTAAATGAAAATATAAAGGTAGGATAGAAATATAGTAAGAAAATGATGGAGGAGGAAGTAGAGGACAGAAAATATGTACCCAGATGACACACTGAATGATTAATGATGTATTGTATTGTTTGTTTGTTTAAAAAATAAAAAACTTTATATATATACATATAAAAATCCAGATGGAAAGAAGGATTGAAGTGCGGTGCCTACAGCTAGTCCTTGATTTACGACCCCATTTGAGCCCAACATTTCTGTGGCTAAGCGAGACAGTAGCTACGTGAGCTTTGCTCCATTTTATAACCTTTCTTGCCACTGTTGTTAAGTGAATTGTGCCTAGGGAACAATTAGATAAGAGGGGACGTAGCCCACAACTGCATAATGGACCGAGAAACAAACTCGGAAAGGAACATCTCTAATTTCTCAGTCTCTAAAAAAGACTGGGAGATTTGTACTTTCAGACTAGCAAGATTCTGTTAATATAGCCTTACGATAACGCAGAATTAACTCACCTACAGTAGTGGCCAAAATTGTGGAAACCTTTTGAGCTTTGATGGCTAATAACACCACTTTTTTTTTGGAGTTTCAAGAGACTCACGTTCCACTGCTGGAATGGCCTGGGAATAGCCCAGAGCTTAACCCAACTGAAAATCTATGGAGTCGACTAAAGAAACTGGTTAGTCACAAGCAACCCAGAAATAAAACCCAGTTAATAGAAGCCATCCTTCAATCTTGGTTTCACATTAGAACAGCTGCAGAACTCAAAGACTTGGTTCACTCCATGGGAAGACGTCGTAAGGCCGTCATTCATGCTAAAGGTTACCCAACGAAGTATTAACTGACATGGGGATCATTTTTGTATATCTCGTTTTTTCTATGGTGATAATTTTTGTATATCTCGTTTTTTTCTGCACGTTTCCCTTTTCTTCTTTATACTGTCACTGCTATTCTAATAGCAAATCCTTCATAAAAGTTATTGCATTACATTCTTGATTCAATTATCTTTCCATTGATATATAATTTTATGGTACTATTCCCCCCCCCCCAAAAGTGGTGTTATTAACTAGTTTTAGAAAATACGCTTTTCCCAAAAGGTTTCCACAATTTTGGTCACTACTGTAATTGTGTTTTCTGTCTGGTCTATCTGAAAAGGTTGACAGGCAAAATAGAAGGAGAAAGAGAGAGAAAGGATAGGATACCGAATTAAGAGTGGAGAGACCAATTTCCAGACCTCCTCAATGCATGGAAGCCAAGTGGGTCATTCTGGAGCAGTCCTTCCTCCTCAACTCCAAAGGCAGTGTGGAATAGTGGTGGAAGTGCTGGACTCGGAGCAAAGATTCTTGGGTTCAAGGCCCCTTCAACCATAGAGACTGCCTGAGTGAATTTAAACCAGTCCAACTCTTTCAATCCAAGATTAAGGATGGTACAGAGATGCTGGCTCAGGAGTGGGGAGACTTAGGTTCTAGACTCCTTTCAGCCACGGAAGTTCTCTGGAGGATGTTGGGTTAGTCTCTTTCTTTCAGCTATAGAGCCAATATGGAGCAGTGGTGGACAAGGAGCAGAGAAAACTAGATTCGAGGACCCTTCAGCCTTCAGATACTTTGGGAGTCTTGGGACCAGTCCCTCCATCTCAAGCCAAGAACCAGGGTGGAACTGTGGTGAAGGTCCTGGATCTGAAGCGAGGAGATTTGGGTTCTAGCTCCCCCTTAACCACAGAAGTTCCCTGAGAGATTTTTGGCCAGTTATTCTCACTAATGCCCTATCTTTGATGGAGATGGAGGTGGAGGTGGAGATGGAAGTGGAGGTGGAGGTGGAAAGACAGAGATATGGAGATGGAGGTACAGGTGGAGGTGGAGATGGAAAGACAAAGAGATGGAGATGGAGATGGAAAGATGGAAGTGGAGGTGGAGATGGAAAGACAAACAAATGGAGGTGGAGGTGGAAGTGGAGGTGGAAGTGGGAGAGACAGATAGAAGTGAAGGTGGATGTGGATGTGGATGTAGAGATGGAGATGGAAGTGGCAGTGGAGATGGTGGTGGAGATGGAGATGGAAAGACAAAGAGATGGAGGTGGAGATGGAAGTGGAAGTGGAGAGCCAGATAGAGGTGGAGATGAAGGCAGAAAGGCAGAGATATGGAGATGGAAGTACAGGTGGAGGTGGAGGTGGAGGTAGAGATGGAGATGGAAGTGGCGGTGGAGATGAAAAGACAAAGAGGTGGAGGTGGAGGTGGAAGTGGAGGTGGAAAGACAGATATAGAGATGGAGATACAGATGGAGAAGAAGGTGGAGGTGAAGGTGGCTGTGGAGGTAGAGATAGAGATGGAAGTGAAGGTGGAGATGGAAACAAAGAGGTGGAGATAGAGGTGGAAATGGAAGTGGAGGTGGAGGTGGAAGAGGTGGAGGTGGAAATGGAGATGGAAAGATAGAAAGATGGAGATGAAGGTAGTTGTGGAGATGTAGGTGGAGGTGAAGGTGGAGGTGAAAGTAGAGATGGAGATGGAAGTGGGGATGGAGATGGTAATGTAGGTGAAGGTGGGAGGTGGAGGTGGAGAGACAGAGATATAGAAATGGAGGTGGAAGTGGAGATGGAAAGAGAAAAAGGGAGGTGGAGGTGGAGATGGAGATGACGAGACAGAGAGATGGATGTGGAATTGGGTAGTGCAACTGAGTTAGATACAAGCAGAGGTAGAGGCAGAAATAGAGACAGAGAGGGAGATGATGGAGATGGAGGAACAGAGAGATGGAGATGAAGATAGAGATGGAGGTAGACCCCTCTGATATCTAAAAAATCTATTTTCTTCCTTTTGTACAGAGGGGAGGGAGTCTGAAATTCACAACTGTTTGGGATCAATAAGGTAAGCGGAACACGGAAATCCAGAGATCTTGTAGCACCTTTTATATCCAAACGTTCTTAATGTCAGAAGCATCGAATTCCAGAGATTGAAATCCATAACTACCTAGAATGTGAGCCAGTGTAGCTGGGGGCAGCACTTCATCCAGGGAGGGGCCATCGGTCAGCAAGATCAGGATGTGTGGGACGGCAGGCCTCATTCCCTTGGAGACTTGAAATATTTCTTTCAGCACGTAAGCGATCCCTCTGCCTGGGAGAAAACACAGAAACTTAGAAAGGCATTGACAAAATCCCCATCGGTCAATTGCAGAAGGCAGCTTGACTCAGAACAGCTTACATCCTGCAGACAATATTGGTAACTCCATCAACTCTCTGAATCTACTTATGTTGTAGCTCCGTTACCTGAGCCTGTGTCATCGTTAGGAGAGGACTCCGAGAGTGAAGGGGAGGAGTTGGCAAGGCCTCCCTCTCCAGGACCCTCCTCTCTGGCAATTGCCTTCGGTGTCCGCCGAAGGGCAAGAGATAGGGCCCGGGCCAAGCACGTTCACGCAGCCACAGATGGACAGATGAGGGTAATGAGTCTTGGCTGGATCCACGCCAGCGTCGCAGAGATAAGCGCGCGCAACAGAAGAAAGGGCGTGCCCGAGATTAGGCTGAGTCACTGGACCACACCCCACAGGAGATAAAAGGGAGCGTGGTGGCCAGTCAAACCTTGTGACGAACAAAGCTGAAAGCTTCCACGCCATTCTGCATTGCCGGACATTTGGCTATAGACTTTGCTGGATTATCTCTGGACTTGATTGACTCCGTAATTATTGAGCTGTTTCTTTTGATGTACCAGGAGTGGGGAGAAGTTATCTCTCCTCTTTGTAAATAATAAACTCTTGGCAGGCAGCCACTAGTTGTTGCCAAGTTCCGTTATCATAAGGAAAAGGATTTTGTCGGCTGGTTTGGTCTTTAACTCCTGAACATCTGTTGGTGTGTGTGCGTGGGGTTGGGGACAGAACACCTTATCCCAGATCCTTGGAAAGGAATAACAGAAGTGGAAAGGACCGGAATTTCCCTTGCCTAAGGAAGAGGGTTGTTAAATGAATCGCCCCTGATTTTTACGACCTTTTTTTTTGCCTGCAGTTTGTTAAGACAATCGCTGCAATTGTTTAAAATGAATTATGTGGCTGTTAAACGAATCTGTCTTCTCCCATTGACTTTGCTTGTTTGGAAGATGGCACGGAAAGTCAAAACCGCTGATCCCGTGATCCTGGGACACTGGCGACAATCATAACTACACGCGGATTGCAAAACACGTGAATTTTGATTGCAAGACTGTAGGGATGTTGCAACGTTCATAAGTGTGAGGACTGGTCATAAAACACTTGCTTCAGTCCTTCTCTTCTCTAGACTGGCCAAACCCAAATCCTGCAACCGTTCTTCATAAGTTTTAGTCTCCGGGCCTTTGATCATTTTAGTTGTTCTTCTCTGCACTTTTTCCAAAGTCTCAACATCTTTTTTTGTAATGTGGTGACCAAAACTTGCTGCATTATTCCAGGTGTGGCCTTACTAAGGCTTTATAAAGTGGTACCAATACTTCACGCGATCTTGATTCTTTCTATGCCTCTGTTTATACAACAAAGGATTATATTCGCTTTTTGGCTGCCGCTGTTCTGTCCCCAACCACACGCACACACACCAACAGACGTTCAAGAGTTAAAGACCAAACCAGCCAGCAAAATCCTTTTCCTTATGATAACGGAACTTGGCAACAACCTAGTGGCTGCCTGCCAAGAGTTTATTATTTACGAAGAGGAGAGATAACTTCTCCCTGCTTCTGATACATCAAAAGAAACAGCTCAATAATTACGGAGTTAATCAAGTCCAGAGATAATCCAGCAAAGTCTATAGCAAAAAGTCCGGCAATGCAGAATGGCGTGGAAGCTTTCAGCTTTGTTCGTCACAAGGTTTGACTGGCCACCACGCTCCCTTTTATATATCCTGTGGGGTGTCCAGTGACTCAGTCTAATCTCAGGCACGTCTTTTCTTCTGTTGCACGCGCTTATCTCTGCGACGCTGGCGTGGATCCAGCCAAGACTCATTACCCTCATCACTGTCCATCTGTGGCTGCGTGGACGTGCTTGGCCCCGGCCCTATCTCTTGCCCTTCGGCGGCACCGAAGGATTGCCAGAGAGGAGGGTCCTGGAGAGGGAGGCCTTGCCAACTCCTCTCCTTCACTCTCGGAGTCCTCTCCTGCCGATGACACAGGCTCAGGTAATGGAGCATACCACTACCTCATGTTTAAGTGATTGTCCAATAGGACTCCAAGGTCCCTCTCGCAGTTCCTGTTGTGACCTAGGCTTACTGAGTCATTACAAGGCACAATTAGTCCCAAACAAACCTATTTTATTGTAACAGCTGAGAATTACGTTCATTCCCAGCTGAGTCCCAATTAGTAGCAACACAAGTCCTTCGGAAGAAGTCCTTCAGGATAATCACCAACCTTTATCTTCTTCGACACCCTGCCAAAGGCCTTACTTGGCAAAGCCCCACAAAGTTCAGAAACAAACAAGAGACACTGACTGGAAACAGAGTTAGCAACTTTGCTTTCCTGCAAAAAGGCCCACGTGCCTCTGTTTGTCTTTTAAGCCTTATGGGAGGGACCAATCATCTCCTGGCCTTACTCCTGAGTCGTCCCTTTTGCTTTAGATGCTCTTGCCTTCTGGCCTTCCCCAGACTCCAGGACTGGCCCATGGTCCTTCCCAGCCTCCTCATTGTCCGACTCCACAGGCTGCTGGCGGACCACAACAGTTCCTGGTTTTGAAACAGGTTTCGCCTGATCTGTACTTGTACCTATGATTTTTACACCTGCCTAGGTGTAAAATCTTGCTAAATGGATGGTCATAAATCAAGGACTGCCTGAATGAATTCATCTGAGAATTTATTCTCCTACGAGCCCTTAGGATATCTAGTCATCCAACTCAAACTGATGAATTGACACAAAACAGATAAAATGTCCCTCTTGAATACAATACCCACCAGTCTTCGTGTTCCCACCGTTATAGACGAGCCTCTTGAGAGCGTTTTGAACTCGGATCCGGTCCGGAAAAGTGTTCAAGTGGAATTCGGTCCTCGGCTTTTCACTGTATTGAACTACAGAAATCTGGAAAATAACAGAAAATTTTGTTTAAAAATATATATATAAAGAGTTTAACCTGCATATCAGTTAAAAAATTAACAGGTAACATGTGACTCACAACCATTTATTTAGTGACCGTTTGAAGTTACAACGGCACCGAAAAATGACTTATGACTGATTTTCACACTTACGACCGTTGCAGCATCCCATAGTCACCTGATCAAAATTTGGATGATTGGCAGCTGGCAGGTATTTATGACGGTTTTACTGTCCCGGGATCATGTGATCATGTTTTTAACTTTCCCAGCCAAGCAAAGTCAATGGGGGAAGGCAGATTCGCTTAATGACCGCCTGTTTCACTTAGCAACTGCAGTGATTCGCTTAGCAACTGTGCCCCCCACAAAAAAATCGTAAAAATTGGGCAAAAAAATGGGCAAAATGCCTTGCTTAGCAACGGAATTTTTGAGCTCCATAGTGGTCATAAATCAAGAACTCCCTGTGTTTCCCTGCCAGGGAAGTCCAAAAATGTTACCAGGGTGGCCACAAAGACTGCGGCATTTTTGGGGGGATTTCACGGAGCAGAGAAGCAGAATTTCATTTGCATGATGATTTTATTTTTACCTCCCGTGTTCCCTAAATTAAAAGTTCCCCATTGGTCAGCTAACTGTATCAAGCTCCTTTTGAGTTTTCCCACAACTTTAGGAAATAGTCTCCCATGATAGTTTCAATGCATTGTGACTTAAAAAGATATCAATAGAAAAAAAAATATTTGTAGCTCAGGGCTGAATTGTGGGCTCCTTGGTGCTCTCTGAGGTTGTCGGTTTTCTCACAGACGTTTCATGACCCAACTAGGTAACATTATCAGTGCTAGAAAGGATGGGGTTATGCAGAGATGGAGGGGGAGGAGGAGGAGGAGGAGGAGGAAGAGGAAGGTTGTGGGTTTCTTGGTGCTCTCTGAGAGTTGTTTCCTTGTAGATTTTAAATTTAGGGTTTTAAATTGAGCCTATCATTTAATAATTTTAATTATTTTTAAATTTTGTCTGTCTTTGTGCTTTTAATCAGGCTGTACACCGCCCTGAGTCCTTCAGGAGAAGGGTGGTATAGAAATAAAATTAATAAATAATAAATAATAAATAAATAGATGTTTCCTGACCCAACTTGATAACATCATCAGTGCTGGAAGGAATTGTGCTCTCTGAGCTTAATTTTTTTCTTACAGACATTTTATCACCCAACTAGGTAATATCATCAGACCTAGAAGGGAGTGGGGCTTGTGGAGTGAAGGAGGACGAGGAGGAAAAGGAGAATTAGGACTGTGGAGTCCTTGGTGTTGTCAGGGCCGGGTGGTTTTCTTGCAGACGTCTCATGACCCAGTTAGGGAACATCATCAGTGCTAGAAGGGAGCAGGATTTGGAGGAAGAGGAGGAGGAGGAAGGTTGTGGGTTCTTTGATGCTCTCTGAGAGTTGTTTCCTTGCAGACATTTCATGACCCAACTAGGTAACATCATCAGTGATAGAAAGGACGGGGGTTATGGAGAGGAGGAGGAAAGGGAGGAGGGGAAGGAGAGACTGTATGGTTTTTGAAGCTCTCTGAGCTTCGTGGTTTCCTTGCAGATATTTCATGACCCAGCTAAGTAACATCATCAGTGCTAGAACGGAGCGGGATTGTCTGTCTGTTTGTGGTACATAAACAGAGAGCAAACCTCACCTCCTTCCAACACTAATGATGTCACTGAGTTGGGTCATGAAAGAAAACTACCAAGCTCAGAAAGCACCATGGATCCCTCCTGAACAAATACACGTGAGACAAGAATTTACCTGGGTACCTTCAGGCCCAATTTGAGGGAAATTTGAAACCAGGTGGAAGAGGAAATCCTTCACTTTGATAAAGTTGTCTGGACCGATGCTCGAGGATTCGTCCACTAGAAAAGCGATATCCGCTTTGAATTTGCTACAGGCTAGGAAAGAGAGGAAAAGGATTGATGGATTTATCGAAAACATCGATCACATGATCCTCACCTGCGATCATCACAGGGGACTTCCAAGAAGCAACGTCAATGGGGAAAGCAAGATTCGCTTAACCACCCCGGCCAAATAAGTCATAAAATCGGGCGTGACTCACTTAACAATCACATCACTTAGGGATGGAAGTTCCGATCCCATTTTCTGGTCGTAGGTCGAGAACTACCTGTCGTTGGGACTTTCTCCCAATTAAACCCATGATTATCTCTCCTTGAATAAGAGGTTTTTGTTCAAACAACATTGATTTATATAATCCCTGGAAATAAGAAGGGATTTTCCCAACAGTGAGAATGATTACCGTACTTTTCGGAGCATAACTTCCCCCCATCCTAAAAGTGAGTGAAAATTGCAGTGCGTCTTATACACCGAATGTTGCCGAAGCCCCACCCACCCTCTGGCCCCCACGCTTCGGCCATTTTTGGCCTCCGTGCATCACGTTTTCAGCTTCCGCAGGCACCGTTTTATACCTGTTCCAGGCTTCGGAGATCACCACAGGACAGCACATTACTGTCAGCACTTCAACCTGCATTTACTCTAGTGCTGACATAAGAAGGAGAAGAGGGGCCAGCTGGCAAGAGGACGCTTGACATTTCACCTACTTATTTTCCTTGAAGATAATATCCCCTAGGAGATGAGATGGGAGGGGGGGACATTCCTGGGAGCTTAAGTAGTAGATATGGGGAGAGTGATTTGGAAGAAGGCCAATGAGACGCAGAGAATTGGGGAACGGAAAGGGAAGGTTTGGGGTTAGGAAGTCAGAGTTGGCTACACCACGATCGGAGCCAGATTGTCGTGCTCAATAAAATGAAAGATTTCTTCAAAGACTATCTGTTTGGAAATGCAATTTATTTTATTTGAGATGACATCGAAACCTGACAATTACCTTATAACAACTTTATTGTCACTTTGAATGTATACTAATCGGCATACATTAAAATGAAAGTTCGTTGCAGACAGTTCTCGTAGGTTCCCGACATAAACATGACAAAATAAATTCCAGGCGGGAATTTATGGGAGTTTGTGAGTCTACGATCAGCGGTGGGTTTACAATATTTTTACCACTGGTTCGCCCCGCGCGCCTTCCGCGCATGTGCCTGTCCTCAAAAACATGCCTAAATAGGACAGCATAGAGGTGGGGCAGGGGGGCAGCCACACATGATCTCCGCTACCGGTTCACATCTCTGCCTACGATGCTAAATTCTTTCCCCACTGCCTAATATTCATTCTCACAAATGAATCGCCACGGAATACTTCTCAGAACACTTCACGTCTCGCTAGAGTTGTGGAGCTTACGTGAACCATCCGAGGGGATTGAAGGGGTGGGAACCGAGGGATCCAGGATCTTCCGACTTTGGGCTGTGGCGGCAACGTTGAAGCTCGTCTCGAAAGAGGCAACTGTTGGAAACGTGAATTGGTTTGTATTCGTAAGTGGGAGATTTGTCAGAAGCGATGTTCCAGATGCTCCCGTCGAAAGTGCGCTGGAGAGGTTCCTGCGTGGTCCAACTACGAACCAAAAAAAAAAAAAAGAAACTTTGTGAGAGAGGTCAATTTTTCCACAATGGGTAGACTAAATCAGGGGTCTCCAACCTTGGCAACTTTAAGCCTTGGCGGATTTCAACTCCCAGAATTCCCAGGCCAGCAAAGCTGGATGTCAGACTTCGATGCTATCTCAAAATAAATGAATTTCCAAACTGCCAATCTTTAAGGAAATCTTTTCTTTAATTGAGCACAGCCACCGGATCATGACTCGATGCGGACAAGACTGACCTTTTGCCCCCCAATCCCTCCCTTTCCGATCCCCAAATCTCTGCTTCTCATTGGCTATCTTCCAAGTCATTCTCCAGACTTCTTGTCTCGTCATTTCCCAGGAATGTGTCCCCCCCTCCTCATTTCCACGACAACCCAGCTTCAAAGGGATTTAGCAGGCAAAAGTTCAGAGTTTATCTCTCTCCTCTCTATGCCAGCACTGAGGCACTGACACTGGAGGGCTTCAACTCCCAGAATTCCCCAGCCAGCAAAGCTGGAGGGCTTCAACTCCCAGAATTCCCCAGCCAGCAAAGGACTTCAACTCCCAGAATTCCCCAGCTAGCAAAATTGGAGGGCTTCAACTCCCAGAATGCCCCAGCCAGCAAAGCTGGAGGGCTTCAACTCCCAGAATTCCCCAGCCAGCAAAGCTGGAGGACCTCAACTCCCAGAATTCCCCAGCCAGCAAAGCTGGAGGACTTCAACTCCCAGAATTCCCCAGCCAGCAAAGCTGGAGGACTTCAACTCCCAGAATTCCCCAGCCAGGAAGGCTGGAGGACTTCAATTCCCAGAATTCTTACCCTCTGGGGCAGCCAACTTGAAGGCCTCGTCCAGGAGAATCCCCAGAGTAAGGGCAATCTTGACCCATGAGGCTTTCATTGTTCTACAGAAGATGGCCGTCCAGGGGAAAAGGCATCATTGAAAAGTTTGGAAGTGCAAAGTTCTGCAACAGAAAGTTGAATTTTTAGGTTCAGCGGGAACCGTAGCAGTGAATATGGTTCAACCAACACCTTGGCCATGGTAGGCAGGCAGCTTCTGCTCCAACTTCTGTCCAGGTGGGTCACATTTCCCACTTCGAAAGCGGCACGGCATTTTGCTGAGGGTGGGGGGAAATGGCACTCGGAACCAATATGGTATATTTATTTATATCCCACCTTTATTATTATTACTATTTTTTTTAACAAATAACTCCAGGTGGTCAACATACCTAATACTCCTCCCTCCTCCTATTTCCCCCACAACATCAACAACAACCCTGTGAGGTGGGGTGGGCTGACAGAGAGGAACTGGCCCAATGTCACCCAGCCCATCCTGCCTCAGCCATGAAAGCTAGCTGGATGTCTGCCTGCCTGCCTGCCTGCCTGTCTCTCTCTCTCTCTCATTGATCTCTCATCGATCTGCCTATCAATCAATCATCTATCTCCATCAACTATCTCTGTTTACCTGTCTACCCATCTACTACCTACCTACCTAATCTGTCCCTATCTATCTTCCTACCTACCTACCTACCTACTGTATCTACCTATCTTCCTACCTAATCTATCTATCTACTGTATCTATCATTTACTGTATCTATCTACCTACCTACCCTATCTATCTATCTATCTATCTATCTATCTATCTATCTATCTATCTATCTATCTATCTATCTATCTATCTATCTACCTACCTACCTACCTACCTACCTACCTACCTACCTACCTACTGTATCTACCTATCTTCCTACCTAATCTATCTATCTACTGTATCTATCATCTACTGTATCTATCTACCTACCCTATCTATCTATCTATCTATCTATCTATCTATCTATCTATCTATCTATCTATCTACCTACCTACCTACCTATCTACCGTATCTATCTATCATTGATCTGCCTATCAATTAATTATCTATCTCTATCAACTATCTATCTGTTTGTCTACCTGTCTACCCATCTACTACCTACCTACCTAATCTCTCTCTACCTACCTACCTACCTAATCTCTCTCTCTCTCTACCTACCTACCTACTGTATTGATCTATCATGGATCTGCCTATCAATCAATCATCTATCTTCATCTACTATCATCTATCTGTCTACCTGTCTACCACTCTACTACATACCTACCTACCTAATCTGTCTGTCTGCCTGCCTGCCTGCCTGTCTCTCTCTCTCTCTTTCATCTCTCTCTCATCTCTCTCGTGCTCTCTCTCAGCACCACACAACAATCAGACAAAAAAAAATACATACATTAAAAACAAGCCTTTGAAAATACAAAAAAAGGACCACAGTAATTAGAAGTTAATTAAAATGCAATGCCCAGCACTCCAGTTTAATGGCTGTGCGATGAGCCCGAAAGGCTTCCCTTCGGTGGGGGATCCAGACAGAGCCGAAGGAAGGAGAGATCAAGTCTACTTACTGGTCTCGGACTTGCCCACGTGAGGGTCCCCCGTTCTGGGTTGGTAGCCTGAGAACTTCAAGAAACATCCAACGCCACCAGAGAAGTGGGTGGGCTGGTCAGGGGTCTCCTGCTCTCCTTCCAGCCTTTTCAACAGGGTGGATGGAGGCAAATCCGAGTCAAAATGAAGACAAGTGGAATGGGGGGACAGGAGGAGGAGGAGGAGGAGGAGGAGGAGGAGGAGGAGGAGGAGGAGGAGGGGGAGGGGGGGGGGGGGGGGAGGAGGAGGAGGAGGAGGAGGAGGAGGAGGAAGACTGATTGACAAGGACTCTTTCTTTAATCCCCCAGACAAATGAAGGTTGTCAGGCTAGTTTTTGAGGGGTCTTGTTCCCCCCCCGTAAGGGAAGGAATGTGGAGGAGGGAGGGAGGGAAGAAAGGAAGAAAAGAGAGGGAGAGAGGGAGACGGAGAAAGAGAAATGGGGAGGGGGAGTTTACCTCTTGAGCAAAGCCCACCTCAGGAATGACTCTTCAGGTTGTACCACCCTGGAGGAAAGCAGCAGTTCCAGGCGAGGCCTAAAGGATGAAGAGAAGCAGAGAACAACAGTTGGAAGGGACCTTGGAGGTCTTCTAGTCCAACCCGCTGGAGTTCTTACACCAGTGTTTCTCAACCTTGGAAGCTTGAAGATGGGTGGACTTCAGCTCTCAGAATCCCCCAGCCAGCGCTGCTGGCTGGGGGATTCTGGGAGTTGAAGTCCACCCATCTTCAAGCTACCAAGGTTGAGAAACACTGCTCTACACTATTCTGGGCAGGTGGCTGTCCAAACTCTTCTTAAAAACTTCAAGTGATGATAGAGCGTCCACAACTTCTGTCATTCCACTGATTCATTCTTCTCCCAGCCAAGAAGTTTCTCCTTACTTCTAAGTTGCTTCTCTCCTTGATGAGCGTCCATCTGTTGTTGCTTCTTCTCCTGCCTTCAGGAGCTTTGGAGAATGGGCTCCCCTTTCTTCCTTCTCAGAGACAATGGGCCACCCCAAAAACAAGAGAGACCCAAAGAGAGTCAGCTAGGAGAAGGTTTAACTTGAAGACCTGGTTGGTAAGTTCATAGAGGACACGCTCAGTGGTCAACCTTCCCAACAAGCCATAAACCCTCCCAAACTTCCACTAGAGTGGAAAGCCAAAAGAAGGAAGCAATTGGAAAGCAGGTTAATTATGTCGGTAGAGCCTTGGTGGTGCAGCAGACGAATGCGCTGTTAAGTAGCACCAGCTGCCTGCAATTACTGCAAGTTCGAATCTCACCAGGCTCAAGGTTGACTCAGCCTTCCACCCTTTCGAGGTAGGTAAAATGAGGACCCGGATTGTGGGGGCAATAAGCTGACTTTGTATAAAAAAGAACACCACTTAGGAGGGGGGCGAAAGCCCTACTAAGCAGGTATATACAAAAGTATGAAGGCTATTGCTTAACGCATTGTAAGCCGTCCTGAGTCTCCGGAGAAGGGCGGCATATAAATCAAACCAATAAATAAATAAAAAAAATAGTTGAGAAGAAGCCATGAAATGGATTAACTAACTCAGAAAGCAGTGAACACCAATTGGCTACTGGTGGATGAGGAGGAGGAGGAGAAGAGAGGGAAAGAAGCGAGGAAGGAGAGAAGGAAGGAAAGGAAGTGGGGGAGGGAGGGGGGAAAGAAGAGAGGAAGGAGGGAAGGAAGGAAGAAGGGAGGGAGGGAGATAAGGGATGAAAGAAGGAAGCAAGGAAGGAATGGAGGGAGAAATGAAAGAAGGAAGCAAGGAATGGAGGGAGGGAGGGATGGCAGAAGGGGAAAGAAGGAAGGGTGGAAGGAAGGAAGGAAGAGAGAGAGGGAGGGAGGGAGGAAAGGGGAAAGAAGGGAGGGAGGGAGAGAGGGAGGGGGAAAGAAGGAAGGGTGGAAGGAAAGGAGGGAGGGAGGTAAGGGATGAAAGAAAGAAGGAAGCAAGGAATGGAGGGAGGGAGGGACGGCAGAAGGGGGAAAGAAGGAAAGGAGGGAGGGAGGGAGGGAGGGAGGGAGGGAGGAAGGAAGGAAGGAAGGAAGGAAGGAAGGAAGGAAGAAAGGAAGGATCCAGATTACAAACCGGTTTGAGGGCAGCTGGCCAAAGTAACCTCGTGCACGTAAGGCTTGATTACCTCACTTCAATCACTTACTTCATCAGCTCTAAAATTCGTGGCAAACTCGGGAAGTTCACACAGGCTGAGCAAACCTGCTCCGTCTTGCCCAGGCCACGTGCAACCCCATTCCTCCTTGGCCATAGAAAAGACGCCGCCCCCTCCCCTGAATTCAGTGGGGCCGGTGCATCCTTACAGCTTCTCCCCTTCTGATGCTGGCTTGTTCAACATTGACACCCGGGAGGCTGTAGTAAAAAAAAGAGAGAAGTACTCCCTTTTAGAAAAAAAACACACACAGCAGCCAATTCGTGAGCTCGACGCCTTCCCGGTGACTTCCCTCCCCGACATTGTCTTCGACCACTGGACCCAAACGACCCCCCCCCAAATCTGCCAGCCCCATAAATCCACCGCGAAGAGACCTTCACCACCCCAAAGCCAACCAGCAAGCACAAGCTTGCAAGATTTGTTCCTCACCCCGGGGTGAACGTCTTCAAAGCATCGATGGGTGATGGAGGCCCACGCCACATTTTTCACCTCTGGGTCATCCTTGGATGGAGACCCATCCGTCAACCGGAGCTGCGGCCGGTCACGTTGAGCGGAGGGAGTTTGGGTCGGCCCGCGAGGATTTTGGGATGAAGGGTTCACGTAGACTTCCCCAGAAAACCCAAGGGTGCAGATTAAAAGCAGGCATGGGTTAGGGGGTGGAAGGGAGGGGGTCTTGGGTTGATGGCGGACCGAGGAGCAGCTGTTTTGGGTAGTCGAGGATGTGGCGGTGCCCAGGAAGAGATTCAGAGAGGGAGGAATATGGACCTCTCACTTCTGCAGTTGATGTTCTCCACACCATACCATTGCAAACTTTCTTCTCCTCCTCTTCCTCCTCCTCCTCTTCCTTTTCCTCTTCCTCCTCCTCCTCCTCTTTCTCTTCCTCCTTCTTTTCCTCCTCCTTCTCCTCTTCCTCCTCCTCCTCCTTTTCCTCTTCCTCCTCCTCCTCCTCTTCCTCTTCCTCTTCCTCCTCCTCTTCCTCTTCCTCCTCCTTTTCCTCCTCCTCCTCCTCATTTCCTCTTCCTCCTCCTCCTCCTCCTTTTCCTCTTCCTCCTCTTCCTCTTCCTCTTCCTCCTCCTCCTCCTCCTCCTCTTCCTCTTCCTCCTCTTTTTCCTCCTCCTCCTCCTTTTCCTCCTCCTCCTCCTCTTCCTCCTCCTTTTCCTCCTCCTCCTCCTCTTCCTCCTCCTCCTCTTCCTCCTCCAACCCCACTCCCTACTAACACTGATGATGTTACCTAGTTGGGTCATAAAACGTCTGGAAAAAAAAAACACCAAGCTCAGAGACCGCCAAGGACCCAACAGTCACCCTCCTCCTCCTCCTCCTCCTCTCCACAAAACCCCACTCCCTTCTGGTACTGATGAAATTACCTAGTGGGGTCATGAAACGTCTGCCAGAAAACCAAGCTCAGAGAGCACCAAGGACCCCACATTCCTTCCCCCTCCTCCCCACAAACCCCCACTCCTTTCTAGCACTGATGATGTAACCTAGTTGGATCATAAAAGGTCTGCAAGAAATCATCAAGCTCAGAGACCCAACATTTCAACCCTGAGCTAGAAATATTCTGTTGGAACTAGAAACTCCCCACAATAATTCCCACATCCCAGGTTCCCAAACTAGAACCATTGGGATTGACGATTTCCCCCATGCCTTTCTTTCAGGCCCCTTCCCCACCATTAAGAAAATTGACAGGAGCGGATTCCTAGCATAGTTGTGTGTTTTTCAGCTTGCGGGAAAAGATGAATTTGCCTGGGCTGGTCCGTGCCTGCCGAGTAACCCCACACCTTGACAGTGTATTCCAAGGGATTGTAAAATAAGAAAGTAGTAAATATGCCAGAGATTCCCTCGGGGGGGAGGGGGAAGAGGCTGAGGGAAAGGCTTTCAGATCCAGAAGATCTGTTAGTTAGTTCTTGGGGACAAGGCAAGATCTCTTTGCTGCAAAAAAACAACAACAATGATTTCTGGTGGTTTCTTCCAGATGCCTAGGAATAGGCATCTAGTGATACCTGTTCCTAGATTTCCCCAGCCCAGGGTTTCTCAACCATGGACACTTTCAGATGTGGGGACTTCATCTCCCACAATTCCCCAGCCAGCAAGGAATGTGTGCAACCTTTGTCTAACTCCCCAAACTTGGCAGCTTTAAGACTTGTGGACTTCAACTCCCAGAATTCTCCAGCCAGAATTCCCACAACACAGTCAAACTATTTACTAAGACTGTTATTACTGTTATTCTTCTCATCCTTCTTACCTATCTCCTTCTACTTATGGCTATAACCTTGTTGCTTGTATCTTTAGGATGTATATTGTTTTATTTAGTTTTCTGGTATGATTTGATTGCTTACTTAGTATCCTATGACTATCACTAAGTGTTGTATCTTATGATTCTTGATAAATGTATTTTTTATGTACGCTGAGAGCTTATGCACCGAAGACAAATTCCTTGTGCGTCCAATCATACTTGGCCAATAAACTATTCTATTCTATTCTATTCTATTCTATTCTATTCTATTCTATTCTTCTATTCTATTCTATTCTATTCTATTCTATTCTATTCTATTCTTATTCCTACCAGTTTTCCTACCCTACCCTCTATTCTATTCTATTCTATTCTATTCTATTCTATTCTATTCTATTCTATCTATTCTATTCTATTCTATTCTATTCTATTCTATTCTATTCCATTCCATTCCATTCCATTCCATTCCTATTCCTACCAGTTTCCTACCCTACCTACCCTAAACCCTATTCTATTCCCTCTGCTAAGTATTTGTTATCTTTATGCGTGTAGAAAGTCCACAAACGGTTTCCCGTCTCTTATAAAGCTGTCTAGTCCAACAAGCTTGAAAGCCTTTAACCTTCAACCTTCTGCAAATATTCTTCATCTTGAATTTTGTGCCCACCAGGGTCAACTCAAAATGACTCCAACCTACTACGTATTTGGATCGGTCTTATTAAAAAGTTGCAGGCGCCACTGATCAAAACTACATTACACTATTTGTAGTGTACACTACTGTATTTCACGGTTTATTAAATGCAAATCTTTGAGGTAGAATTGATGGATTTCTCCCTCCTGTTCAGGTTTAATAACCCCGAAAAGCTTCGTTTCTTCTGTGCATCAAAGGGGTACCCTGCTTAATATATAAAGATGGGCAGAGAGCCACCAAGCTAATTGCTTGCATATTTTTTTTTCTCCTAAAAGCATCCATCAGAAAGGACATGTAAGTCTTTTCTTTTCTTTTCTTTTTTTAATAAAATCCTGATTGACACCGGAATCAACACAAAGAAATTGTGTCTCAAAATAAGTTTGCTTGAGAAGAGGTGGTTGAGGAAAACAGGTATGTGGCTTTGATTACTTTGATCTTTTTAGATCAGCCTAAAAAGGAGAAAGGTATGGATTCTGTCAGGTGGAGATCAACACCCAGAAATATATTTTCCTAGCAACAGTATACGGTCATTTACATTAATCCTCTAACAGTCCTTGGTGCTCTCTGAGCTTGGTGGTTTTCTTGCAGACGTTTCATGACCCAGCTAGGTAACATTATCAGTGCTAGGAAGGAAGCGATTTGTGGAGAGGAGGAGGAGGAGGAGGAGGAGGAGGAGGAGAAGAGGAAGAAGAAGAAGAATTGTGGGATCCTTAGTGCTCTCTGAGCCTGGTGGTTTTCTTGCAGACGTTTCATGACCCAGCTAGGGAACATCATCAGTGCTAGAAGGGAGGGAGGTTTGCAGAGTGGAGGAGGAAGAGGAGGAGGAGGGCCGTGGGGTCCTTAGATGCTCTCTGAGCTTGGTGGTTTTCTTGCAGACGTTTCATGACCCAACTAGGGAACATCATCAGTCAAGAGGTCACAAAAGGAGATCCCATGACCCAGGGACATTGCAAACATTATATATACATGCCAGTTTTCAAGAGTCTGA